TGTGTGACTGTCTGACTGTTTATGGAATCACTGCATGCCCAGAACCGATACGAGGGGTGCAGAATACCGAACCATCTTAACAGTACAGTAAATGAATAGTCTGTTGATTGGCCTTATGACTCTTTCGTAAACTCTTTGGAATTGCTCAGAGCGGTTTAAAATTGGTCGGAAAGTGTTTGTATTGGTCCTAAGACCACTCGAATTGGAACATTTTGGAACATTGGTAACATCGGTTCTAGACATGCAGTGATTCCCAAACTTGGTTTGAGTGGTCCTAGGACTAATATAAACACTTTTCGACCAATTTTAAACCGTTCTGAGCATTTTTAGGACAATATTCATTTTTGTTCATTTTCGTTCATTCCATGAACCTGGGTAATGTTATTTGAGTTTTGATGGCTCTTAGGCCTAGTTTTTACCTATATCCATCTTAGAAAACCGAATTGAGGCTTCCCAGCACTTAAATACAGCCAATACTTCGATGTGCCCATGTTCCAAAAATCTGGATTCTCAGGAGGATTATTGTGCCAAAATTGGAACATTTTGGAACATAGGTAACATCGGTTCTAGACATGCAGCTGCAGTGATTCCCAAACTTGGTTTGAGTGGTCCTAGGACTAATATAAACACTTTCCGACCAATTTTAAACCGTTCTGAGCATTTTTAGGACAATATTCATTTTTGTTCATTTTCGTTCATTCCATGAACCTGGGTAATGTTATTTGAGTTTTGATGGCTCTTAGGCCTAGTTTTTACCTATATCCATCTTAGAAAACCAAATTGAGGCTTCCCAGCACTTAAATACAGCCAATACTTCGATGTGCCCATGTTCCAAAAATCTGGATTCTCAGGAGGATTATTGTGCCAAAATTGGAACATTTTGGAACATAGGTAACATCGGTTCTAGACATGCAGTGATTCTCAAACTTGGTTTGAGTGGTCCTAGGACTAATATAAACACTTTCCGACCAATTTTAAACCGTTCTGAGCATTTTTAGGACAATATTCATTTTTGTTCATTTTCGTTCATTCCATGAACCTGGGTAATGTTATTTGAGTTTTGATGGCTCTTAGGCCTAGTTTTTACCTATATCCATCTTAGAAAACCGAATTGAGGCTTCCCAGCACTTAAATACAGCCAATACTTCGATGTGCCCATGTTCCAAAAATCTGGATTCTCAGGAGGATTATTGTGACAAAATTGGAACATTTTGGAACATTGGTAACATCGGTTCTAGACATGCAGTGATTCCCAAACTTGGTTTGAGTGGTCCTAGGAACAATATAAACACTTTCCGACCAATTTTAAACCGTTCTGAGCATTTTTAGGACAATATTCATTTTTGTTCATTTTCGTTCATTCCATGAACCTGGGTAATGTTATGCTACTTTCGATGGCCCTTAGACCTAGCTTGCAACTATATCCATCATTTACAATTATTTTTGGCATTATTTAGAGCTTATTAGGGCAAATAAATGCATGGCACACTTTTGGCACAATTTTGGCACATGTTCCAAAAATGTTCCAAAAATGTTCCAAAAATCTGGATTCATCAACTCGACCTTTCAGTGCATAAATTTGTAAAATCGTGAACATTGTGGAAGATCGGGACATGGTTTCAGAGTTTATTTGGACCCGCCATATTTCAGAGAATGGTTTAGTTGATATGTATCGGCAAATCGACTACCAAAACCAAATTTTAAGGTCGGGTCACTTTGTTCACAATTTTAAGGTTACTCTGTCGGTCACGAAAATAGTGAATTTCCTCGTTTCGGATTCATGGACTGTCAACAACAAGATAAAATGGCGGGTATCTCCCGTTGTTGTGATGGTATGATGGTGCTACTCTGTGCCAAGGCTGTAGGGGATTAGTCCTACGAGCCAGGGAGTGTGTATCACCAGCCAAAGCTGTACCAATGCGCAGTTTGGTGATTTGTCGACTACTTCCTTAGGATACTTGAGAGAGATTCCTAGATTCTCTTACTTGGTCATTGGATAGTTCGACCGCCCTTGCAGCATCGCTGCAGCCTAGTTCACACTCCAGCCCACCAAAGAATTTCCGTAAGGGTAGCTGTAGCTGTTCAAAGGTGGGTTATCTGGAAACAACTTACGAAATTCTGAACAGCTTTGCCCTTTGAGGTGGAGATTTGATCGGATAGAGGTCCATAAACGTGGCCCTATTACTGCACATAAACCATCATACAATGACTGTTGACGTTGGGTACTGGTCTTGCTGAGACTAAGAATGGTGACTTTGAGTCCGTGTCTCTCCTCCTTTGCCGCACACAATCATGATATTTCCAGAGCTAATGGTATTTTTGGGTGTTACACCTTCACAAAAATTTAAACAAAGCCTGTATACGCCGAAAAAAGCTTAACCTGGTAACCTTGTTGCCTGCACAAAACAATTATACCTGCACATTCAATGAGATCGCACGAGTGATAGCCACTCATTTGTCCAGAAAAATAAACTTTGCACACTTTCAAAGATATTTCTTAGCTAACTGTGCAGTTATGCCATCTGCAGCTAAGGTATCTGACTAGTGAGGGGCCAATAAAGTTGGAAAGTAGACGGAGGTCTAGCTTTTTAGAAAGGACGACTATGATATATATAAGATCCTGTAGTTCAAATTTACATTCATCATTGCTAGAATACATTCCTTAAATCAAATTTTCCAAAAATTGTTCCAGATTCTCCCTCCTCTTTGAATTTGTACTGTGAAAATATTTTCAAACTTTCCAGGACTTCATCCTCTGATCCCTAAATTGGCACAACAACATTTTGCTGGATGTATCGTTTCACATTGCTAGATTTCAATTCTGAAAGCAAATTGGATAGTCACCATTCTGTGTTTGACCACACTTTGCTTCGGTTACGATGTTGATGCTCAAGAATGAATTTCATTTGTTCTAACGACTTAACTAACGACTAAACTTTGGTTAGTTTGTTTGAATTTTGAAAGGTTACAAGACTGATAAGGGATTTAAAAACAAGTTTAACATGTCAGTAAACAGTGTTGACTGATTGAAGTAGCTCGTCAGCCTAGCCGGCGGTAACTGCTATTTCAAGTACGAAGTTTAAAAACTTCAAAAAACTTTAAAAACTGGTTTTTTGTCAAGTCACAGTCTCGCGAGTACGCCCACTTTCATTCGTTTTATTAGTAAATCAAGTAGGGCAAATACAATGCTTCTAAAATAAAATAGTTCTGAATCCAGTTAGGAGATATGGTATGGTCCTTTGCTTTCTAATTTCTATTGGTAACAAATTCTTTTAGCGAAGACTAGAATCTTGTTCCTGTAAAATTTTGGTAAATGGCTGCAGCTACTGGACAAATCTCGACCTTGTCCTGAAGTTGTATTTCACTTGTTACGAAAAGGCGGAACTTAAAGAGGACAGCTGAACATTCCTATTGGGTCACTCTGTTTAATGTCTAAGCTGCAGATGAAATTATAGAGGACACATTATGGGGGGGGGGGGGGGGGGGGGGCGGGGGGGTATGCCAACTCCGGTCACTTTGCTAACGCCTACTCGCTAGAACGGTCAACACTTTGGTCGGCGGATGGCATAAAACTGCTCATGGCAAACAAGTTGCTTCAGTTTTCTTGGATTCAGACAACACATTTGGTGATTAATTACTGAGTTTTTGCAAAATCTAATTTTAAATATGAGTAATAGCTAACATGGATCAAATTTCACACATTGTTACGGTATAAAATTCACTAAAATCGCCTCGCTTGTTCAAACTTACCTATTTTTTGTAAATAAACGATGCCTTGTGAAAAGTTGCTTTTTCATTTGCTTAAAATCTCATCTAAATCTAACTTTTAACCACAACGTGTTGGCTACTTGCTGCTTGAGTGAGAGTTACACCATTATTCTAACCCCTAATTAGTTTACTGATGACTGCATGCAGTGTCTAACTTCTTGACTTGATTGGTGTTTCCATAAAGTCATACCTTCAACTGTTCGGTTTCCTGGGTAACGTAAGTTCAACTGGTGTAACCATTGGTGATTATCTCAGTGGAAGGATAATTTGATAATTTGATAATTACCCTAAATACCCATCCCCATTACTCACCAATGGCCGATATTTGATAATCAAATCTCGCTTAGGAGGTAGGAAGGAATATTCATTCGAAATATTTCAAATATTTGTCATTCCACTTTCGTATTACGTAGCACACCAGGAGTGTTGAGTATATGTCATGCAGTATCAGTATAAGTATGTAGTCGTTTAAATGGGGGAGTTGGTTGCAAGATGCGTGTTGTTTGAACCTTTCTTAGTCACAGTGCCACCCTAATGAACAACAGTAACATTTTGTCTCGCTAAAACTAGCGTTAGTTCGTTACAGTTGTTAATCTAGCCTATCACTGAAATTCTAAACTACCAGAACATGCTTCTCATATACATGTTTGGTTTCACGCGACGTAGTGACTTAAGATCTGTAATGAACTGATAATTTTTAGATTATCTTTAAGGAAACATGACAGTTTGTCAGAGAAGCCACTTTGAATTTAGCGATCGTAAGGTTGGGCCGTAGCTTATGACCTTATTCGTGTTCTTTATTATCTATAAAACGCCAACAATTAGGTTTTGAAGCTAAGTTATTTAGTTTATTCCTTGGTGACAGTAATTAGTTCTTACATTTTCGCGAGTTACAATTGAATAAGGACACTCCTACACCATGCCAGGAGATGGGATAGGCAGCTAGAATCGAATGGAATGTGATACACTATATTAACTTTCCCGACTATGTTTGTTGTCTTGTAATTTATCGTACACTTCCTTTTCGTTTGATATTGTCGTCAGCCAGCTCAGTAGCTCATCTTGTTTCTTGCAGTATATTATAAACTCAGTAACTAAGGCTAAGATCAGTATACTAGTGGAATCGAGGGGGCTCGAGCTTTAAATTTAAGTTCTGGGGTCTAAGTGGTAAAATAATTAGAGAATGGACGATAAAATAAACAACTAAATTAGATAAAGAACAAAGAAGTTACCTCCACGGAAGCCAGCAGTCTTCTTAGGCCTATCATCAATAAGGAGGGTGTCGAGAGGAAGAGAGTCAGGGAGGATAAAGTAGCGGATGTTGTTACCACGGATACTCAGCGTCTCCAGCTTCATCGGCTCCCTGAAATAGCAGATATCATGATATCTTATGTCATGGTGCGAAATTAATCTAAAACAATTTAAAGTTACATCCTGTCTACAATTCGAGTTTAATACGATTTTAATCAGACGTTCATACATCTTAAATTCCTGTTTGTAATTTCGGACTGGATGTGTTGAAATATTTACAAAGTACGAAACTGTATTTTCTCTAAAATATCATTGTTATATAACTTTATAATACATCCCAGTAGTTCGATTGGTTGGGCATTGGTTGTACGGCATGCTTTGAATCCCCTCAGACTCATTTAAATTAGGTATCTGTTTACATCGGTACTACCAGAACATTGTGTGAGAATTGTCTAGGAACTATGTCGGAATGTAGCTAGGAAGTAGGAATGTGGCTGGGTAGACGCACATACGAAATGTTCACACCTACTTAACTTATCAGCGGGGCTTCCAGCAGCGTACTCTCTTTTAGTTTCTAGCCCTTTCGCTTATCAGCCAGCACTCTGGATAGTGTGTTCTTAGAATTTTAGTTTTTAGCCCTATCGCTCATTAGCCAGCACTCTGGATAGTGTGTTCTTAGAAATTTAGTTTCCGGCTCTTCTAGGGTTTTAGTTTTGGTTTCGTAGATTTTCCGGTCATTTCGGAAATAGCGGGCTGCCAGATAAATTAAGTGCGTACTACGTTGTCATTGTGGCTTTTAGCTCGCCACGGAAAGAATGGTAACATTAGGTTGGGTAGTGTTTGTTGTAGAATGTAGCTCCGCATTAGTTACACTTATAGAGGGTACTGTATTTTCCGGTATTCTAATTCGATCATACGACGGAGTGAAGTATTTTAAAATCTACGTTTACGTTGTAAGCTATCTTAAGTCATCAAATATGTATTATAAGCTTTGATTAGAGTAGTGTGTCTTATTATTTGCAAATATCACATGTGCTCGATCATTTGGTCACGTGTCGAGTAATCCACCAATGGTAGCACGGTAATCAGTAGATTTGCAGGAGCACTGGGTATCAGTGTGATACGTACTAGGAGCTTGATTTTCGGTAAACTTGAAAGTTGAAAGGACTATGTTTAGGATGTTGCAAAATTCAGATCAAATTAAATCTTTAGTAGTACTCAGTACTCTTCTCTTTAGTAGTGAGTTCTTTTCGACTGTGGCCTATATTGAGTATATTTGGGAGTACGTATGCATCAGTCTTTACTTTCGTCTGTGACTGACGCTTGTGCTTGATAGCTTTAATTCTTATTTCCAACCGTACTTGTCACCCTAGCGCACAATTATATTGGGCGACTTGCCTTTCAGTGCACTATGACGCGTGGTAAGAGATTCGTGATCACATTTATACCTCAACATCTTATCCAGTGAGATCTTAAGCAAGGTACAATTTAAACATAGAATTCCATAATTTTCCATAATTTAAAATAAAATTCCTTATATTATCCCTATTATTGTCTAGTGCTTACAATTCTAGTGCCAACAAGTCTACAACTGCAAGAGGAATTGGAGAAATATTATGTGTCACAGTGTCATGGTCGTTTCTAATTATATATAATATGTGTCCAGACCATTTCTGTGTCAATTAGGACCGCCTTGACCGCCTTAATATGGTAATTACAGCATTGCAGAGTGCACACTCATGAATACAATAATGTATTTGGCGAGTGAAATTGAGGTCCTAGCCCCTCTGCGATGCTTCTTTGCTGCTAAAATACTGTAGTAAAATCAGTATCCCACTCTATTTACCTGAGTTAATAGTAATAGTTCTATGTTTATAGTATGCACTGAAGGGGTATCCTAGGAAGTTTCTTGAACTTCTAACAGGTACCCCTCCTCATTTAACCCTCAATTAAGTTTCCTATCATTCGGCTGAGTCGACCGAGGAGATCGCATAGATCCAATGGATCCTTAGCTACTCCCTAGACTAGGTGACACTTGGATTCGAACCCTGAACCTTCTGCGCTAAAGGCGGATGCTCTTACCACTAGGCCACCTAGCCCCCTATATATAATTACCTTGCCATATTCACAAGTTCGTAGAGTTACTCGAGCAACTGTCTCTAGGGGTGTAGACTGTAGCTACCCAATTATGTCAGCGATCTTTAGCCAGTGAGCCTAATTCCTCATTTAGCAAGTTAGGTGTCATTTCAACTATTCGTGGGTTACTAACTTTTCAATTTATAAAGTCACCTCGAAGAAAATGTTCCCCAATTTGTTGCCAACTGACGCGAAGGGAATGACTTCTAATCTTTATTGGTCTCACGAAACTTTTTGCTTTTATTAGGTATTTAAACTTAGCAGAGGAGCAACGCCGTTCTAAATTCATGTTTCAGTATTCCATGACCCGAATATTTAGCACGAGGTTGATGACTTTGTAAACGAGGTTGAAGAGCCACCAGAAAGACGCGGGGCTATTGTATTAACGACAATGTATCAAGTAAAGTCATCTGTAACAATAGTTCCTGATGGCAGCATGTGACGGCCACATAATAACTAATTACTAGTTCTAGTTTGGTTAACAGTGACATGTCACTTGTCAGACCACGCTGCCTATTATAATTATATGATTGAAATGAGTTAGGACCAACATCTCAAGGGGCTAGCCGCTAGATATGACAGGTCGCTAATTGTTATCTTGTATAATAGAATGCAATTAACTTGGCATGGCATGTCGTCATTTGTCGTCTAATTATAATTGCTTAACCGTAATTTAATCTTAGCTTTTGTCAAATCTTAGAAAGGTTTATCAAGGATCCAGTTAACTTTATTTCGCGTTCATTGTTAAATTGTCCTCGTAGTTATGTAGAGAATGAGAACTACTTATTTAATCTTAATATAATTTTATAGACGGTATTCTGATAAGTATCTACTTTCTTATTCCCGGACGGCTCCAGCTTAACTCACAGTTTTCCCACCTCAACTTCACACCAGTTTTATAGCACCTCCTTCGCAAATTCCTTTCACCAGACCTTCAAAGTAACAACCTTCAGTCTTCACGAATCACGATCCTAACACTAGTCCAACACAACCAATCACAGATCATGATCATGAACACAAATCATGTCACACTTTATTAACCCCCCTAGCCGTTCGTGGTCTCACCTCTAATGAGTTCGTCGTAGGAAGTTCTCATACGCAATGGTTTTGTAAAGTGCCTTTAATGCAATTTTCCTAACTTAAACTTTTCGAGTCACCGACCTAACTTGTGTATTACTTCAAAGATCAAATCGAGTTGCTTCTCGAGTAATCCCGATCTAGCACCGGCCTCTGCAGTTATAGTAGTCAGCTAATTGTAAATTAAAAACCGATATTATTGCCCGTATATTTCTATATAATCAATTAAATATGTTTTCAATACCTCTCTCCCTTTCCAGCAAGTAGTGAAAAAGATAAACAAAGATCTGCTCGACGACAATATGGCAAGCACTCCATTCTTCGACTTTCCATCCACTACTCAAATAGATCAACCAAGAGAGCCCTTTCTACCAATAAGCCCCACAAACGATATTGGGAATGAAAGGGGCATGACAATACCAGAAATGCAGATAGCAGGAACAATTCTCCTCATCTTCTCACTAATTTCCATCCTGATAAACTGCTACTTCTCGGTCCTGATCTTCAAAAACTGGAGCATATTCAAGAAGTCTCTCTACTACAACACCAACCTGTTGTGCCTGCTCCTGACGCTCGCTGATCTGGTCTTCATAGTGCTACTGGGCTTCCCAACCGCCCTTCACTTGACATGGATAAATCATTTTAAAGGTAATCCGCTCATGCACTTCTACTCGCAGAAAATAGCCTTTATTCTGTTCAAGTTTATTTTCTTCCTGAGAATCCTTATCATATCTGTGTTGTCCTTGGATAGATGTCTCCATCTCTTGAAACCTGTACAATACAGTAAACTAGCTACAAGACGTAGAATGAGGTACGTTATTGGTCTGATATTTACAGTACCAATCCTGATAGAGCTTGTTCCCACACTGGTGGTTTTCTTTCTCAATGACACGAAGGTCGTATGTGGACGATTCCGGGACCCTGAATCCACTTCCACTGACCTTATAGCATTCAAGACCAACTTCTCGGTACCGCTGACATGCGAAACGATGCTGGATTTGACTCCACCTGGAACTACTTTCCCTCTGTTTGAGCTTATAGTTATCATGACAGTCACCATCCTAGCTTGGTTAGTCATAGTAACTTCAAATTTCTCCATTATCCTTATGATTGTGAAACATGCTTTGAAACCAATCAACTTGGAAAACCCCGAAAGGAGAAAGAAAATGGCAAATAATCTAACTCGGAGCTCAATGATGGTAGTTTTCATTGCGGCACTGTTCTTTGCATCAAGTTTTCCTTATGTTTGGATATCGTTAACAGGATTTGTTCGCTCACACGTCTTGACTGATGGCGAAAATGGCACATTGAATTCAAAATCGATGTTCTACTTAACCCTACTAACCTTTCTCCCGGTCATTTTTCATCCTTGGTTATATCTGCTAAGACTGAAATCCGTTAAAGATATGACGCCCCAATTTTCTAAGAACGTAGCCAAGTCATTCAGCATAGCAATTGACAACATACGACAGTATCTGCCGTTGAATGATGGCCGTGTCCGGTCAAAGAACGATTTATCCAACATGAACAACACAGACACGTTCAGGATGTCCCCGATTCCAAGATCCCCTAGGCTACAACCAGATGGGATAAGGCCAGGCAACACAAATGGTCAGTTTCTATATCCCGGAGATACCCGATCTTGAATTGAGACATTAAAATGCATTGATATCATGTTATTAAGATTACATTGCCAAAGGAAAAGAATTATATTTTGTGTATAAATTCATCTTCACTTTATCTTATTTTACTAAAAGCCCGTGTCTTCTCTGAAGGAGTATACACACACAATTTTTTGTAAGTCGTACGCACGATACTTGAGAGGACAATTTTTCAAATTTAAGGTAAATTCTGCTGTGTAGAAAACAAAGGAGGGACGTTAATTTTACCATCTAGACCAAAACCATAATTTAAAGCATGTAGCCTAAGTAAAATGTCACAAATGAACAATAAACTAACCTGTTCTTGAGGGTCATCTTGACAGTTTTGAGATGTGTGTTCATGCTCATGTCCACACCAGTAATGGTACCGTGAACCACTGTCCCGTTCTTCAGCTCAATCGTGACTGTCTCGTGAGAGAGCTTCATCAAAAACCTGCAATAGAATACGTAGAACATCTAATCTTTTGTCTAAGCAGCAGTAAGCGGTCACAAAAACAGATCAATTAAATTGAGACGTAGGGTTTCATCACTCTAAGGTAATTTAGTAACAAGTTAAGTCTTGGTTATTGGGAACAAATTAAATAGTCGCCTTAGGTTAAATGGCAATGATACACTTCCTGTTAGTGGCTGAAAACTTAACAATCGATGCTATAGGCCCATCAATGACTGAACATAACTCATTCCCTTTAAAATAGATTTTACAGGATTATACAACAGATCGGTAACTTTCTTTCCAACCGAACTTTGTAATATTCGTCACTGTAATATCCTATCAATTGTTTGCAACTAATAAGTGCAATTAAGGTGCATGCTTAGATCAAGAATAATTCAAACAATTCAAACATAGATACGTACCTTACGAGTTTCATGGTTGCAAGTAGAGTTAGCTACGATCAACCGATACAGAAAAATAGGAAAAACGATAGAGCTATTCGCGCCGACAGAACAAAAGAGCGCTCTCCGTAGCGCTCGATTCGTATAAAGATTCGTATAATTCTTCTCACGTCTCGCCCAATTCACACATTGCGCGGCGCGTTTCACAAAATTAAATTGCATGCAAACTAGAACATTTATTTGACAATAATATTGACAAAAAACAAAAATTTATCACTCGGAACGACAAGTTGAAATAAAATAAAACGCTGTATTACCTAGCTTGCTAGTTTTTAGTTTACTGGGCCGCGCTTTGCTCTAACCAGAGCCCTCTCGCTTGCAGTAGCGCGCGACCGCCGGAGGCGGCAAAGAGGGCTCTATCCATGGCCACAACTGGCACCACAAATCGTGGTGCCAGATTTCCTCCCATATTTCTGATGCCGCGCGGGACGTGTCAGTCATTTTTAGTCATGTCCGTGGATTGTGATTGTAATATACAATGTATAGGAAAACAATATTTTCTCATTGGATTTGATTTTTGTAGAGAGCTAATATACCTTCTTTGATCATGCACTCCATTTAACAAATTTTGCTTGTTCCTTAGTTTGTTGCAATCATTCAGTTGATCATTCGGCGGATGATTCAAAGGGCCGGGACATATTTTAATGTTAAATTCTCAATAACCAGCAGACTTGTTACCTGCAGTTACCTTGCTACACTTTTGTCTTTTGCAATTGGACTTTAGATTTATTTTCTCATTGGATTAGATTTTTGTAGGGAGCTAATATACCTTCTTTGATCATGCACTCCATTTAACAAATTTTGCTTGTTTCTTTGTCTGTTGCAATCATTCGGTTAATCATTCGGTGGATGCTCCAAAGGGCCGGGACATATTTTAATGTTAAATTCTCAATAACCAGCAGACTTGTTACCAGTTACCTTGCTACACTTTTGTCATTTGCAATTGGACTTAAGATTTATTTTCTCATTGGATTAGATTTTTGTAGGGAGCTAATATACCTTCTTTGATCATGCACTCCATTTAACAAATTTTGCTTGTTTCTTTGTCTGTTGCAATCATTCAGTTGATCATTCGGCGGATGATTCAAAGGGCCGGGACATATTTTAATGTTAAATTCTCAATAACCAGCAGACTTGTTACCAGTTACCTTGCTACACTTTTGTCTTTTGCAATTGGACTTTAGACTTATTTTCTCATTGGATTAGATTTTTGTAGGGAGCTAATATACCTTCTTTGATCATGCACTCCATTTAACAAATTTTGCTTGTTCCTTTGTTTGTTGCAATCATTCAGTTGATCATTCGGCGGATGATTCAAAGGGCCGGGACATATTTTAATGTTAAATTCTCAATAACCAGCAGACTTGTTACCAGTTACCTTGCTACACTCTTGTCATTTGCAATTGGACTTAAGATTTATTTTCTCATTGGATTAGATTTTTGTAGGGAGCTAATATACCTTCTTTGATCATGCACTCCATTTAACAAATTTTGCTTGTTTCTTTGTCTGTTGCAATCATTCAGTTGATCATTCGGCGGATGATTCAAAGGGCCGGGACATATTTTAATGTTAAATTCTCAATAACCAGCAGACTTGTTACCTGCAGTTACCTTGCTACACTTTTGTCATTTGCAATTGGACTTTAGATTTATTTTCTCATTGGATTAGATTTTTGTAGGGAGCTAATATACCTTCTTTGATCATGCACTCCATTTAACAAATTTTGCTTGTTCCTTTGTTTGTTGCAATCATTCAGTTGATCATTCGGCGGATGATTCAAAGGGCCGGGACATATTTTAATGTTAAATTCTCAATAACCAGCAGACTTGTTACCTGCAGTTACCTTGCTACACTTTTGTCTTTTGCAATTGGACTTTAGATTTATTTTCTCATTGGATTAGATTTTTGTAGGGAGCTAATATACCTTCTTTGATCATGCACTCCATTTAACAAATTTTGCTTGTTTCTTTGTCTGTTGCAATCATTCGGTTGATCATTCGGCGGATGATTCAAAGGGCCGGGACATATTTTAATGTTAAATTCTCAATAACCAGCAGACTTGTTACCAGTTACCTTACTACACTTTTGTCATTTGCAATTGGACTTAGGATTTATTTTCTCATTGGATTAGATTTTTGTAGGGAGCTAATATACCTTCTTTGATCATGCACTCCATTTAACAAATTTTGCTTGTTCCTTTGTTTGTTGCAATCATTCAGTTGATCATTCGGCGGATGATTCAAAGGGCCGGGACATATTTTAATGTTAAATTCTCAATAACCAGCAGACTTGTTACCTGCAGTTACCTTGCTACACTTTTGTCTTTTGCAATTGGACTTTAGATTTATTTTCTCATTGGATTAGATTTTTGTAGGGAGCTAATATACCTTCTTTGATCATGCACTCCATTTAACAAATTTTGCTTGTTTCTTTGTCTGTTGCAATCATTCAGTTGATCATTCGGCGGATGCTCCAAAGGGCCGGGACATATTTTAATGTTAAATTCTCAATAACCAGCAGACTTGTTACCTGCAGTAACCTTGCGACACTTTTGTCATTTGCAATTGGACTTTAGATTTATTTTCTCATTGGATTAGATTTTTGTAGGGAGCTAATATACCTTCTTTGATCATGCACTCCATTTAACAAATTTTGCTTGTTCCTTTGTTTGTTGCAATCATTCAGTTGATCATTCGGCGGATGCTCCAAAGGGCCGGGACATATTTTAATGTTAAATTCTCAATAACCAGCAGACTTGTTACCTGCAGTTACCTTACTACACTTTTGTCATTTGCAATTTAATCCTGGACCAATTTAATCCTGGATAAACGTTCTAAAGTGCTAAAAATATGGTAGAACTACATAATCTCTGGTCGAAAAATATCGTGTCAATTAATGTCAGTATTCCAAAATTTTGCAAAACTGACATTGACATTAATTGACATTAATTGACATTAATTGACATTAATTGACATTAATTGACGTTGCATTCCCCCCCTCCCTACAAAAATCTAATCCAATGATAAAATAAATCTAAAGTCCAATTAATCCTGGACCAGGCAAAAGTCCTGCTCACATTGGGACGTTCGCTAAGTTTCTCGATGTAATTGGACTTATATGACCCTAAATAACATAATTGACTCGGGTACACTTTTTCACCAGTGGGGCATTTCTCGGAATCACGCCCTTTTTGACCGCACCCATATCGCGACCCCCACTATAAATTATCTCGGCTTCTGATTGAGATACAGACCTCAGCTATGAACCAAACTGTGCCTAAGATGCATGTTTATATTAGTGCTATGAAGATACTTAAGGCCTAAGAGACTTAGTTTTTGAGAAATCGCCAAAAATCCGATTTTACTATATTAGCAGTCTCGAGAGTAACAATTATCACACTTATTTCAAGATATCTCCGCTTCTGATTGGAGCTAAGCGCTCATTTTGGGCATTAAAATGGTCAGAATCATCATATTGAGTGGGGTAGAGCATGGTTTTAAAGTCTTCAGACTTCAGGTTGTTGAGTTATTAGGTCAGATCCCATTTTTACGCTCTCGCTAGTAGCAATTGATGCACTTATTTCAAGATATCTCAGCTTCTGAATGGAGTTTAACGCTCATCTTGGGCATTGAAACGGTCAGAATCATCAGATTGAGTGGGGTAGAGCATGGTTTCAAAGTCTTCAGACTTCAGGTTGTTGAGTTATTAGGTTAGATCCCATTTTTACGCTCTCGCGAGTAGCGATTGATGCACTTATTTCAAGATATCTCAGCTTCTGAATGGAGTTTAACGCTCATCTTGGGCATTGAAATGGTCAGAATCATCATATTGAGTGGGGTAGAGCATGGTTTCAAAGTCTTCAGACTTCAGGTTGTTGAGTTATTAGGTCAGATCCCATTTTTACGCTCTCGCGAGTAGCGATTGATGCACTTATTTCAAGATATCTCCGCTTCTGATTGGAGCTAAGCGCTCATCTTGGGCATTAAAATGGTCAGAATCATCATACTGAGTTGGGTAGAGCATGGTTTCAAAGTCTTCAGACTTCAGGTTGTTGAGTTATTAGGTCAGATCCCATTTTTACGCTCTCGCGAATAGCGATTGATGCACTTGTTTCAAGATATCTCAACTTCTGAGTGGAGCTGTGGAGATAAGCGTTCATCATGGGCATTAAAATAGTAAAAGTTATCAAATTAAGTAGCATCAAGCATGGTTTTAAAGTCTTTAGACTTAAGGTTATTAAATTATTAGGTTAAACCCTATTTTTATGCTCTTGCAAGAATGGTCACTGCAATGGTGGAAATATTTATTAAATGAACTGTAATTAATCGCCAGGAAAAAGTTGTTTGCCAAGAAATATCAGTAAAATGTCACTAAAACCTCTAGCACTAGGAACATGCTTTACCCCACTTAATATGATCATTCTGACCATTTCAATGCCCAAGATGAACGCTTAGCTCCGATCAGAAGCTGATATATCTTGAAATAAGTGCATCAATCGCTACTCGCGAGAGCGTAAAAATGGGATCTGACCTAATAATATAACTCTACAACCTCAAGTCTCAAGACTTCAAAACCATGCTCTACCTCACTCAATGTGATGATTCTGACCATTTCAATGCCCAATATGAACGCTTAGCTCCAATCAGAAGCTGAGATATCTTGAAATAAGTGCATCAATCGCTACTCGCGAGAGCGTAAAAATGGGATCTGACCTAATAACTGATTTTTGATTTGAAACTTTTACAAAATAGCAAGTATACAAATGTACAGCAATTCGAACAAACATATAAAATGGGCCGAAATGTATAAATGCTAAAAAGCGTGGGTCAGTGAAACAAGTACAGAGGACAACTTTCAGAACAGAAGTTTTTTGGCCGCCCAAAGTCTCAATAACATCACCTCCACCTAGTAATAAAATTATGAAACGTGAAAAGTGTGAAACAATCAAATAATATTGTATTTATATAATATAATTGTCTCTCAAATACAGATAACGTCCGTAAACTCTTAAAATACTCCTACAAGTACATATTATACTGATCGGTGTCCGAGAAACATGAATTACGTCATCATGGTGCCTTCTTAACACGGCTACAGACCTTCCGTTACGGATGTAGTGGTCGAGATGAGTCTGTTCAGCCCTCTTCTTCTTCAGGTCAGTAACCACGTTCTTCCTTGCTGCACGCTCTTCACTGGATCTATCAGGACAGATCCATACAACTCAACAACCTGAAGTCTGAAGACTTTGAAACCATGCTCTACCCCACTCAATATGATGATTCTGACCATTTTAATGCCCAAAATGAGCGCTTAGCTCCAATCAGAAGCGGAGATATCTTGAAATAAGTGTGATAATTGTTACTCTCGAGACTGCTAATATAGTAAAATCGGATTTTTGGCGATTTCTCAAAAACTAAGTCTCTTAGGCCTTAAGTATCTTCATAGCACTAATATAAACATGCATCTTAGGCACAGTTTGGTTCATAGCTGAGGTCTGTATCTCAATCAGAAGCCGAGATAATTTATAGTGGGGGTCGCGATATGGGTGCGGTCAAAAAGGGCGTGATTCCGAGAAATGCCCCACTGGTGAAAAAGTGTACCCGAGTCAATTATGTTATTTAGGGTCATATAAGTCGAATTACATCGAGAAACTTAGCGAACGTCCCAATGTGAGCAGGACTTTTGCCTGGTCCAGGATTAATTGGACTTTAGATTTATTTTATCATTGGATTAGATTTTTGTAGGGAGGGGGGGAATGCAACGTCAATTAATGTCAATTAATGTCAATTAATGTCAATTAATGTCAATTAATGTCAATGTCAGTTTTGCAAAATTTTGGAATACTGACATTAATTGACACGATATTTTTCGACCAGAGATTATGTAGTTCTACCATATTTTTAGCACTTTAGAACGTTTATATCATCAATTTATTCACTACTATCACATATGGAAATGTGAAATGTGAAAAAAATTCAGATCATTAAACAATACAACTAAAATAATACGGTTTCCCGAAATTTAATTTTCTTAAATGGGCGTGGCCATCCAAGGGCGTGGTTCTCAACATCATCAGAACTTAAAACCCACATTAAACGAAATGCCTTCACGACATTTATATTTGAATAACGAATCTTAAACAGCTAACATTACTCCTTCATACTAAAAAAGCCGATTCTAGATATTTTATCTGTATAAGAAACCAATAAAATATGGGCGTGGCCGGTGGGGACCGAAGATGGAAGAGTTGGAAGCTGAAATTTTTTTTGGTGGTCTTTGAACCTAAGGATCAACAGATAAAAACATACTCATAATTATTCAAGGACATTTTGTTTTTTTGAACCGGTCTAACTTGCATAGACGTGAATATCTTGAATATTTATCGAATAATGATAATCTCAAATTTCAAGACATACTAATGTCAATTAATGTCAATTGATGTCAATTAATGTCAATTAATGTCAATTAATGTCAATTAATGTCAATGTCAGTTTGGGGTTTTTATGGAATACTGACATTAATTGACGTTGCATTCCCCCCGTAGGGAGCTAATATACCTTCTTTGATCATGCACTCCATTTAACAAATTTTGCTTGTTTCTTTGTCTGTTGCAATCATTCAGTTGATCATTCGGCGGATGATTCAAAGGGCCGGGACATATTTTAATGTTAAATTTTGAATAACCAGCAGACTTGTTACCAGTTACCTTATTACACTTTTGTCATTTGCAATAGTACATTTGTTAAATGTACTATTGTATACTGTTCGATCTGTTGTTTTATACATTTGAGTTCACATTGCACTTTATCAGATCATAATTTCAGTCGACTAATATTTTCTTGTCTTTAAAACAGCTTATTGTTTAACATTTTACCAATTACTCTGTCTTATTGTGTTTCATTTTAAACTGTTCGATCCGAATTGTGAGTTTGTTTTATACATTTGAGTTCACAGCTGCACTTTATCAGATTATAATTTCAGTCCACTAATATTTGCTTCTCTTAAATCATCTCATTGTTTAACATTTGACCATATTTATTTTTATATATTTATTAGCATAATTTACAGCCATCTATATCTCTGAGAAACACTATCAGTGAACCTACCCCAGTATTGCTGTATTGGTTAGCAAAGTGAGTGATAACTAAATATGTGAATGACCCCTTACAAAGGATCCTGTACGTGCAGAAATAGTATACATCGAAGTACACACTCATCTGCACACTAAAGTTACACTCGCTACAGTTCATCTCTCGGATTATTCCAGAATTGCGCGCAAACACACGTGTTGTCTCAAACAGTGAAACAGTCTGTTTCATTGACATGTAGTACGCGTAGGTCGACACTCTCTCGTTGTGTACGTTTTGAGAACTTTTGTTTAGACTTTAGGGGCCATCTACTTGGGACGTCCGTCAAAATTGCAGATTTTCAGACCACCCCCGGGGAGCACCCCCTCCCCCTGTCCGGGTGTGTCCGAATTTTCAAACCCCCTCCCCCGGACGTCCGGATTTCCAGCTACTTTAAAGAGTACAAATAAAACCAACTCAAATTCATTGTTAATAAAATGTGTAGTCACTTAGAATAGACAATAATACATTTAGTGTCGAACAAGTTTAGCACAGTTACATTAAGGTACTTAAGTAGGTAGCCATCCAATGGAATAAGTTTTAAGGCAGTAGCAGAATATGCGAGTTGTGTCTCGGCTCTCATGAGCTGCTCTGGGAAACGACTTCTCGTTCAAAATACAGGGATCTAAACTTACTGAGTAATTAGTGTCAAAGAGTTGAAATAAATGCGACTTTTTCGTTAATTCTGCCAAAATTTCCGGACGTCCGGATTTTCAGAAACCACTCCCTATCACTGTCCGGATTTGTCTGAAATTCCAAAACCACCTCCCCCTCCCTTTTTGCTGGACGTCCTAAGTAGATGGCCACTTAATATTTTATTTGATGCAGAATAGCTGACAGCAGCTACAATTGTACATTTGACTCAGTCTTTCTGTGCTTTCATATCTTAAGTCTGATATTTACTTTGCTCCTAAACCTTCTTTTAGTTCTGACAAAGCAAGATTTGCCATGATACAGCGACTTTTTATGTCGTCATCGCTGCATAATTTAGACTTAAGAGCCAAGGTACTAATTGGCAGATAGCTGATATTCAGGGCTCTTTCCCCCTACACGATTTTGGAGCCCGCTGTTTGACAATATTTACACTGACAAAAATTGGTCGACTCTTTTATCTTATTCTCTCACATTAAACAACATTAACCAGGTTTTTTTCTTTCTAGAAATGACTATAATGTGACTATTGCATTGGATAGAGTTTTCCAATGGCATTGTTTTCTACCTATCTGACCTATGTTGAGTTTCGCCAAGACTTGACGGGACCATCACATCTTTTGACCACCCCAAAGTCTCACTCGTTGCGCCAACACAGCAGAGAGTTTGTGAGGAGGGGCCTATATCCCTGATCAGCGGCTTATCCTTTCGTCCACCACAACACTAACTCACACAGTAACTGATGACAATCCTTTCCAACTAATGCTCACTGAATTTATCCTCAGCGCTTCTGTTGACACAGCATGGCACCAGGTACTCTCCCTTATTTTTCCCTATTTATTTTGTTATATTACACAAGCTGAACTGGCTTGAGGGATACCCTTGATTTTTACACGTACCTCATTATTACATCATATCAAGTTTAAGTATGTTAAATTCGATTCTAATCGAAATAAAATGGTTAACATTTGCAAGATAGTAACATTTGTTTCACTTCAGGGACGGATCCAGTGATCCACTAACTTTTCCTATAAGAGATCTAGACGGACCTGAAAAAAGCACCTCCTGTAGTTCCCGCCTAAACAGTATCGAAAGATTGATCTAGAAGCTTTGACAGAGTTTTAGCTCTTTATGTCTGCCACATTGACTTTCTGATGAATAAAGGAAAAAATCATAAGCCTTTTACAATATCTAGCGCCAGCCGGCCGCGCGTTATTGACATTGTGTAGACCCTTTACTTTGAAATTTTTTAAAGCTTTTAAAAACGGCCATTTCTTAGGATCGATGTCCTTAAAGTTAGTTGTTCAGATCATTCAGAGGTTATCGTTTAAAGTTTAGTTCAGTCCAAAAAAGAAATCTGAAAGAAGGTAAATATCTTAAACCTCAGCTGCTTTTCCTAATATGCGAGATGAGTCTGTCCGACCAAATTTTATTTGGTTAGCCGTCAGGCCAGAAACTCAGAATCTCAACGAATCTTTATTTAGTTGCTTATCTTAAAATCTGTTTCAGGTAGGTGATAAGGTGACGTTTGCAGAGCGGCGTCTATTAAATATCATACCTTTATGTTTGAAGCTGAGACCGGCGATATTCCCAAGTAATACGGCAGATGAAGACACAAGTTTTAGTAAGGGAGGGCTCCTGCAGAGATCAATTCACGGACGCTAATGTTGCCTTGAATTATAGTATGATAACCGACAGAGTAAGTTTGTATTATATAATTAGTGTTTGTGAAGTTAAGTTGTAAATCAAGTCGGAGGTTTTGTGATGTATAAGTATAATGTCTTGATAAATGATTCAAATTTCTGATTGTCTCTAAATAGACTTAGTGAAGACAGATTCTAATAGAAATAAATAGTTGAATAACGTATCGACATAACTACGTCATACTCATATCCTCAATAAATGTAATGGATTTGTAGTGTTGTAATTAGTTTAAAACTAAGAATAAGTGTGCAGATGATAATATAGCAATATAATATTGTGCCCAGACCCTCCCAGATCTGCCTTCAGCTCCCTGTCGTAGTCAGGGATTATAAGGAGCTCTATCTACTTATCCCTTTTCAGGTGACGTTTGCAGAGCGGCGTCTATTGAATATCATACCTTTATGTTTGAAGCTGAGACCGGCGATATTCCCAAGTAATACGGCAGATGAAGACACAAGTTTTAGTAAGGGAGGGCTCCTGCAGAGATCAATTCACGGACTCAAATGTTGCCTTGAATTATAGTATGATAACCGACAGAGTAAGTTTGTATTATATGATTAGTGTTTGTGAAGTTAAGTTGTAAATCAAGTCGGAGGTTTTGTGATGTATAAGTATAATGTCTTGATAAATGATTCAAATTTCCGATTGTCTCTAAATAGACTTAGTGAAGACAGATTCTAATAGAAATAAATAGTTGAATAACGTATCGACATAACTACGTCATACTCATATCCTCAATAAATGTAATGGATTTGTAGTGTTGTAATTAGTTTAAGCTAAGTTAAAGTATAAGTGTGCAGATGATAATATAATAGCAATATAATATTGTGCCCAGACCCTCCCAGATTTGCCTTCAGCTCCCTGTCGTAGTCAGGGATTATAAGGAACTCTATCTACGTATCCCTTTTCATTCCTGACCCTGATTGTTGTACGTAGCTGTGACTTGTAATCTTCTCGATTCTCCCAGTTCAATTTCATTTGAACAGCTTCAGGTAGCATTTAAACAACAATTGTTACATGTTTAAATCTGGAAATATTCTTCGATCGTACACTTCTCTACACTGTTTTACACCATACATAAAAAATCAAGAAAACAACAAATTTTGTTGTGCAGCTGGATTGAACGGGTCGGCTCGCTCCGCTCGCCAAGGGCCCCCCAAAGAAAAATCCTGGCTACGTGCCTGTAGTGGATACTAAGTAAAAAGGCTTCCATGAAAAAAATTGCACATATAATATCTCGGTTCGGGATACTAGCCAAAATGACTTCTTTAAAATTGAAATAACTCCAGTTTTTAATATTCAGTTTTTTACTCTTTTTCTGAACTCTAGAATGTGACTGAGGAGTGATTATATTTGTCCTAGTATACTAATTAGCTAATATAGTAATCGGCTACAGACATATCTACGCCTATGTGGGACGCACACTAAAATTAATGGAAATAATTATCGGACTTTATTATTCACGGACCTTAATACCACAGACATTATTTTCACGGACATAATTATTCACGCTGAGGTCTTCAGAGGCACATATTAGGTGCGATGGGTGCGGGATCGCACAATTTACCGTTTTCCGCACATTTCCGCATAATTTATTGTTTTCTGCACACTTCCGCACATTTTGTAATTTTCTGCATATTTCCGCATAATCTAGCATTTTCCGCGTAATTTCGCATAATTTGGAAATTTTCGCGTTAAGATTTTCGAGTGTAAAAACCAAAATATGTTAAAAGTCGGGCCCTTTTAGGACCGTGACTCAGGCCCTTTTAGGACCGTGACTCAGGCCCTTTCGGGACCGTGACCCAGGCCCTTTTGGAACTCATACCCAGGCCACGTGACCCAGTTACCACGTGACCCAGGCCCTTTCGGGACCCTGACCCAGGCCCTTTCGGGACCCTGACCCAGGCCCTTTCGGGACCGTGACCCAGGCCCTTTCGGGACCCTGACCCAGGCCCTTTCGGGACCGTGACCTAGGCCACGTGACCCAGTTACCACGTGACCCAGGCCCTTTCGGGACCCTGACCCAGGCCCTTTCGGGACCGTGACCCAGGCCCTTTCGGGACCCTGACCCAGGCCCTTTCGGGACCGTGACCTAGGCCACGTGACCCAGTTACCACGTGACCCAGGCCCTTTCGGGACCCTGACCCAGGCCCTTTTGGAACTCATGCCTAGGCCACGTGACCCGGTTACCACGTGACCCAGGCCCTTTCGGGACCATGACCCAGGCCCTTTCGGGACCGTTACCCAGGCCCTTTCGGGACCGTGACCCAGGCCCTTTCGGGACTGTGACCCAGGCCGTTATGGAACCCTCGTTGTTACCGTACTTCGATCATACCTGCAGCCCTTTTTATCGGGTAATGAGTTCTATTTGTTGTAGCGTTGGCTTTTTTATAGTGGGCTTAATGGATCTTGGATCAAATGGTTTACAAGTACTGACGATCAATGCCAACAAGCGTGTCACATATTTGCGATCACGCATGGGATCTGATCGACTCTATCAAGACTCAAGAGGCGTCTTCAAATAACTGTCTCCTGATCTCTACCAGATCAAGTCACTGTTCTCAGATAACTGAATCTCAATATAGGTTCAATCATGGTCTTAGTAAAGAACTACACCCTCAGTAACACATAAACAGACCTATTTTTGATAAGAGCGGCGGTTATACGTTTAGAATTTCCAAAGTCCTTCAGAAAATGCAAAAGAAAACCGCACAATTCCCGCACAAATTTCGAAAAAATCGTCGCACATTTGCCGCATAATTGGTAAAAATTTACCGCACCTTACCGCACATTTTACCTTTATAGTCGGGTGCGGTACCGCATAATTTCGATTATTTTACCGCACCTAATATGTGCCTCTGGAGGTCTTCAGTGTGAAAGTAATGTCCGTGATAATTATGACCAATAAGGTAGATAACATGCTTGTCCTTGCATTTTAGAGTTCCGTCTAGCACCAGTTCTATGTTGTTGACCATGATCGGGGGGGGGGGGGGGGGGGGGGGGGCCAATGACTACTTTTGGGGACTTGGGGAATTACGTCAACGATTTTACCCCGAGTCCCCATGATTTTTAGTCCCCAAAAGTCTCCATTAGTCCCCATTTAGATTTATCCTACTTTTATCTTGGACAAAACATCTCGATCGTATCGTTATAAAACTAACTTGAAAACCATAAATAACTGTCAAAAATTCTGGGGACTTATGGGGACAAATGGTGAATTACGTCAACGAGTTGACCTCTAGTCCCCATGATTTTTAGTCCCCATTAGTCCCCAAAAGTCTCCATTGGTAGTCATTGCCCCCCCCCCCCCCCCATGATCTTTTGAGTCCTTGTCAAAGAGGACGGGGCAAATTTTGCAGCTAGGTCCATTACACCTCTGTAATTGTCCTACATCAAGGGTTTCCAGTTGTCCCAGTTGTCGATTCTTTTCTAGTGTATTACCGATTGAAGGGTGTTTCCTAGTGGCAAATACTATCCGTACATCCCCACATAACATTAACCTAGTAGCTTAATGACCAGATTAAGTTCTTAACCAACTTTGTAAGACTAATGTTATCAAGAGTGTTGTACGGAAAATACGAGGCTCTGTTGTGTCTTATCCTCAGTGTCTCTGGTTGGATTTCCTGGGTTCTCAATAGACCTCTGTATTGCTTTCGGCTCGATTTCTTCTAGTTTGTCACCGTTGTTGTTGTGTCCGCATCTGGCAAGATCCTCCTTTAGTTCGCCCAGGTCCTCTACACATGGTGGGGTTGGAAACTACATATGTATCTGATCTCAAGTAGTTCCTAGCATCTGTTTCCTTTCTAAATAGCTTGTACCAGATCTGATTTTCTGAGTCCAAGCTCAAGGTAAGGTCTAAAAAGTTAACCTTGATTCTATATGGTTCTGCCAGTTTGATTTAGCCAGTTTGTTCAACAATTCGACAAACATTGTAAATTGTCCCGCTGTCCCCATCCACACTCCAAATATGTCGTCGATGAATCTCTCCCAAAAGTTTATCAGGGTCGCACTCTTTATCTTTTTGCTAACCTTTTTGAAGAGCAACCAATGCATAGTAACGTCTGACACTTGTCTGGAGATACAGTTTCCAGTAGTAGGCATGAGGCAGGGAAAATTAGTGTGTGACTGATTTAAGCAGTTGGTCACCAGAGTTCAGTTCGAGTACTAATTTTAAGGAAATTAGTGACGTTTTATTGCTAATAAAATTGATTTGAATTCACGTATTTTTGTTGACGTTAACAAGGCTCATACCTCCCCCTCCTGTCAGCAACCGTCAGCATTTCCAAATACCCTTTTCCCTCGGCTGCTGACGTCATACATGAACGCTCGCTTATGTTAGCTATACATTTTGTAACAGCAACATTTACATTGTATTATGTATTATATTGTATTATGTAATTACATTAAATGACGGGTGGGCGACAATTTACCCCCCGACAATTATCCCCCCGACAATATAATTTAATACAATTAACCCTGACCCTGACCCTGACCCTGACCCTGACCCTGACCCTGACCCTGACCCTGACCTTGACCCTGACCCTGACCCTGACCCTGACCCAGGACCCTAACCCTAACCCTAACCCCAACCCTAGGCCTGACCCTGACCCTGACCCTGACCCTGATCCAGGACCCTGACCCTGACCACTGACTCTGACCCTGACCGGACCCTGACCCTAACCCGATCAATTGACCCAGTGTAATTACATGGGGGTCAATTGTCGTACTAAGTCCTAGATTTCGCGACAATTGACCCTAGTTTAATTACATAGGTAGGGGGTCAATTGTCGGTGGGTCAATTTTCGGGGGGCCAATTGTCGTACTAAACCCTAGATTTCGCGACAATTGACCCCAGTGTAATTACATAGGGGGTCAATTGTCGGGGGGTCAATTCACAATTGTCGCGGTACCTAAATGACATGTACTTTTTCAGGATCAAGTCAAAGTCAGGCCTGCAGCGACGAGCCCCTTTCTTTCGGATTGTGAAGTGTAATGTTAATGTTTAATGTAGCTGTTTAACGTCGAAAATTGTTAGTTTGTAATTGTTTTTGAGAAGCAAAATAATTAATCTGAGAAGTGTTTCCAGTTTTATAAAGCTCAGGCATGGGCACCGTATTGTTTATTTAGTTATATTTTATACAATATCTTTGACCTTTGTCGCATTAAGTTGTAGTACTACTACTAGTAGCGGGGTAGTACTAGTAAATACTGAATACTGTGTTTCGTTTATTCTATAAGTATATAAATATTGCATTGTGTATCTTTGTCGCATAGTACATAGTATAAGTTGATAAGTAGCGAGGTAGTTGATACTGTTTCGTGATGTATTTTGATCGTACAATCTTAATTATTCGTATTATTATACCGCAATTCCTGTATTTTATCGTCTAAAAGTGAACAATACCAAATTAAAATAAACAAGAGGCATTTATAGCCTTCGATAAGTATAAATAATCGCACACGATGTACGTGCACCCGGGGTTAAATACGACGCAATTGTCAGCACTGCGCGCGCGCACACGTACCATCTTATGTGTGCTGATCTGTATGTGCCTATCCTACTTGTGAAACAAGCGCGTCACGCAGTACGCGTAGGCACATGGCTATGTGAAGGCCGCGCTCAGCCTGTCATTCCACCGAATCTCTATTTTATGTTTATGAACATAATAGCCTGAGGTCCCCAAGTAAGTTTTTAGTTTATTGCTTACTTCTCTCACTCACATGGTCAGGGAAAGTGATACTGTACTTGATACCGCTGTACTTGATATACATTGCAACCCCTTTTTGCCCCTTTATACGAGAGGTATACAAAGTGTAACAACATTGTTGGTTACCTGGGGACCCCAGGCTATTATGTTCATAAACATAAATAATAAAGATTCTGCGGAATGACAGGCTGAGCGCCGCCCAGTAACGTTGTTGGTTGTACTTGCTCGAACCTTGCTCTATTCAGAGCCCTTGCGCTTGCAGTGGCGCGCGCCCGCCTCCCGGCGCTTGTTATGTGAAACAAGCTGCTCGAATTGGGAACATAATTGCTGAAAATCTAGAACTGTCAAAGTATCATTTGGAAACTCTATCACTGTTCATCAGATACTGATCAAAGCTAAAGACCTCAGAAGGTTTAAAAACTGTACTTATTACACTGGATCGGTGGTCGGAGGAGTGTGCAATACATAAACAATTGGTTTTCAATATCAGCACACTCATATCACTCAAGGGAATCAGAAGAAGACAAAAAGCCCAGCACCTTGGACTGGATGACGTATCCTTTAATTTCATTCCTCAGAAGACGAGCTTTGAGGTCTTTTAAGTTTGTTTATGTAAATTTTATGGATAATTTATTGGAGCTTTTATATTGTGTAAAATTTTTCGGACGAAAAGATCCCACCGCCTCAGCGGGTAGTTGATACACCTTTCACAAGCAAGAGCCCTTTTGGTCTACTTGCTGTGAGGTGTGTCAGCTACATGGGTTGGGGGTCCCCCTTTTTTTCTTTATTTCAATATCAGCTTTCCTCAACCCAACTTTCACTGTTTTGACTGAATTTTTGTTCATGGCACAAGACACGATTGAAGTACTGAACATTCTATTTCCAAAGAAAACTTAATAGACAGAAAATCGTCAGGATAGAATTGAAGAGACAGGCAATGTTATGCCACTGCTCTGTCCTTGACCGAAATTTCATGGTTTTGACTGAATTTTTGACCAGTGATCAATCAGTGAAGTCAGTGAGAGTGACACAAGTCGCCATCGTGGTACTGGAAGCTGTATATATCCGGAGACTACTTTGACGGAAGGAAAATTTTGAAAATGTCCTACCGGTAGGACATTTTCAGATTTGCGATTTCCGCAAATCAAATTTCACTGTTATGACTGAATTTTTCTTGAATGGCCACATCTAGCAAGTGAGTTCACTGTGGATGGCTCAATACACGATTGAGGTACAGAAATCTAGATTACCGACTGTGTTGTAAAGGAAGAAAAGGAAGACAAATAAAGTAAGAAGAAGTGTTGGTAAGTCAGCTTCTAAGTAGTTATCCCAGTAGACCACCAGAGAGAAAATGAATATTGGAAATGTAAAGGATTGTTCATTGTTTGACATCATCAAATTGTTTTACTCCAATAACAAGGCTATGTCGGTGAGTACCAGTACAAGAGCAATCATCGTAGCTAGCACCTTGGAGAGAACTAAAACTTGTGCTTACTTTCGTGAAGGCTACATCATATTGTCATCAATTAATTTGAGAGCAATGGCCATGTTAATAAATAGTAATTACATAATATCAAATAGGCTTAAATAAGATGTTAAAATCCTTTTAATAAATCTTGGTAATAACCAACAGTTTTTCCGATTGTTATGTCACCCACACAACTGCTTTGTCTGCTGAACTTGGTTTTCGTATTTGTACTGGAGTTAAAAGTCAGACTGCTACCACTAGTGGCATGCCAAAAAGCACGTTTCTATGGTAACTGAGATGGCCTACCGACATGGACAGTTTCCACACATTAAAAAGTTTTCAATCAGTTACGTGATCTGATTCATCATGATTCTCAAAACTACAGTTGTACCCCAGGATCACTTATCTGACCACGTGGAAGGATGTGAAATCGAGTGCAAATCAGGTCGCGGGTGCCTGGTGCATACATATATAATATAGATATATATATTACATATGACCTCTATTTGACCAACCTCCCATTAAGACGCTTGTTATCTATGCAAACAAATAGTGATGTGAGCAATGAAAGTGAATTATTATTACTACCTGGCGATGATCGAAGAATCGCAGTCGGAAGTTCCCTGCTCCGCCATTACAATCTTGTCAGACGTCAACCAGTATGGCTGCCACTGAGATATAGTTTGTTACTATGGTAACTGAGATAGAGCACGTTACTATGGTTACTGAGATAGAACACGTTACTATGGTTACCGAGATATAGCTTGTTACTATGGTTACCAAGATGGAGCATGTTACTATGGTAACCGAGATGGAGCATGTTACTATGGTTACCGAGATAGAGCATGTTACTATGGTTACCAAGATAGAGCATGTTACTATGGTTACTGAGATAGAACACGTTACTATGGTTACCGAGATAGAGCATGTTACTATGGTTACCGAGATGGAGCATGTTACTATGGTTACCGAGATAGAGCATGTTACTATGGTTACCGAGATGGAGCATGTTACTATGGTTACCGAGATAGAGCATGTTACTATGGTTACCGAGATAGAGCACGTTACTATGGTTACCGAGATAGAGCATGTTACTATGGTTACCGAGATGGAGCATGTTACTATGGTAACCGAGATGGAGCATGTTACTATGGTTACCGAGATAGAGCATGTTACTATGGTTACCGAGATAGAGCATGTTACTATGGTTACTGAGATAGAACACGTTACTATGGTTACCGAGATAGAGCATGTTACTATGGTTACCGAGATAGAGCACATTACATTAATATAGATAGGGTATGTGGCAATGGATAAACTGAATCGAGTCGAAGAAGAGACAATAATGATATATTATTATTATTATATTATACAAATATGTTTTGTTTGCCCCGATGGAGATTAACTTTAAAGCGTGTGACAAAGCAAAGTTGCATCGATTTTGATATTAACGGTAGTTTTAGTGTGCCCTCAGGGGATTAAATATTTATCCTATATAATTATGATTATTTATTTCGGTACATGACCAGCCTCCACTGTGGGTTTCACAACAACAACAAGAGTTTCATAAATCTGGAGGCAAAGGTATAATAACCTTATAACAAAAACTCAATTTCATAACAAAAACTCAATTTAATACTGAGCAGTATTGGCTATATTTCAGTTCCGATAATCGCAAAAATTGAATTCGCTGAATAACTTACCCATTGTTCTATATAAATGCCACTTATTTCAGAATTAACGTTGATTCGGATCTTTTTGGAGGAGTGGAATTTTATTTAATTTGACGACACATTTTTTGAGAGAATACCAGAGCAATCCACTTCACTACCAAGCTCTTTAAATATCAAGAAATATGTTTGAGTGTTGTTTAGATCTGATAGAATTCGCTAATTCGTTTGATCATTGTTCTTAATTTGTCATAACCACGCTAATAAGATTCTATTATTGCATAGTTTCATTAGAACAGTCGAATTAAGAAAGTCGTATAACCAAGTCTTTTGTCTTATCAAATTAAAGTGGATATCCTTCTCACTTCTGTGATTGGTCCTTGTAAATATGGTTAATTAGGACATTCTTCAGAACATTCCTTCGAAAAAGCAACAAAACGGAGTTTTTTTTTGTTGAACACAAAGATGGCTGCTGCCTGCTCTGTTTGTTACTGGTCGTGTAGGTAGCACAAAAAGTTTTGACGATATTCTTTCTTTAAAAATATTTTCCTTTCCTAATTTTCACTGTCGACAAACCGCCTAGTTGCTTTGTTTGATGATAGTAAGGCTTTCTAGATAAAGTTAGCTAGTTCACGTTGCAGTTTCATTACGGGTTGAGTATTACTAACCCCTGCAGTAATCAGCTGTAATTATTACTATTGTTACTCTATTGTATTGACAAAGTGGAAAATACAACACAATAGTTGGGACATTGCCGACTTGTGCAAGTTTTCAGGCTCGCCGTGCACGCGGAAATAATATAAAATAGATGATTAGGCGACCCATATAACTAGTTACTATTAATGCTTTCAGTCCTCACTAATGAAATAATGAAATAATCATATAATGAAATAATGAAATACATTCTTTTCATCCTTAACCTCACAGAAGCGACCACTGACTTCTGATCTTAACCTGAATGGAGAACATGGAGGCAGATAAGGACGACCTCACCACGAACCTTCAGCCACAAAACTTTGAGGCACAACGTCCTAGTGCTGGACAAAAGATTGAGTTACCAATGGTGATCTCCCCGGCCGCCAAGATCCCTTTCCCAGCCACTCAGAGTCTTAGACCAGCAAAGCCTTTCAGCAATGCTCGCCAGTCCCTGAAAGTCAATGCTCGCCAGGTCCGCCTCTCAATACGCAGTTCTAAAGTACATGTACCGGATGAGTTCCTACAGAGGCTAGATTTGGAAGCAGCAGCAGACGTCCAGAAGGGCAAAACACTTAGCATCAAGGACAAAGGATGGTGGAACTTTGTTTGCCACTTCGTATTTGACCCTTTTTCATTTATATACTACTGTTGGTTGTCACACATAGCACTGGCTGTACTGTACAACTGTATAGTTATCCCTGTGAGAGTTTCTTTTAGCGACCTTGAAGAAGGGAGCTTCTTTTCAACTTGGGTGATTCTTGACATCTTGGCTGATGCCCTATATGTCCTAGATTCCTTTGCTTCATTTCGAGTTGGTTTTTGGGAAAGGGGACTTTTAGTGTCGGACACTAAAGAACTTTTAAAGAAATATGTGAACACCATGGCGTTCTACATAGACTTATTCTGTATCATTCCTACACAGATCGCCTACGCATTCACAACAAGAAACGTAGCACTGCTGGCCCGGTTTAGCAGGTTCTTCAAATTTCACCGCCTGGTGAAGTGGAATGATCGAACTGAGTGCAGAACCAACTATCCGACCCTGTGGCGGGTGATAACGCTCTGTACCATCATGCTTATGATCATGCACTGGAACGCTTGCTTCTACTTCTACATATCGACTAATGTCATCACACAAGATCCACAGTCCAATCTATATCGCAACAAGTTCTTATATCCGGATTCGGAAACAATTGGAGCTACAAATCTGTATTCAAGCACTTCTATGAAATACGCAGTTTCGCTCTATTGGTCAACTCAGGCAATGACAACTATTGGTGAAGTTAAGCGACCAGAAGAACTTTGGGAGTATCTTTATCATACTATCATACTTCTGATTGGGGTCATGATATTTGCTTCCGTTGTCGGAAGCATCGGCAATATCATCACTAACTTAAGAGCCAATCGAAATGTCTTTCAAGCTAGACTTGATAATCTCAAGGAATATATGGGATACAGAAAAATTGGCAAAGATCTTCAAAATAGAATCGTTCGGTGGTTTGACTATTTGCGGGCACAGAACCACACTTTTGAAGAGGAAGATGTATTAAAGTATTTACCAGATAAGCTCCAAGCTTTACTCGCTGTCCATGTGCATTTAGAGACACTAAAGGAAGTGGAACTGTTCCAGAACTGTGAGCGTGGCTTCCTAACCGCCCTGGTGACAAAACTGAAACGTCAAGTGTTCTCACCCGGCGACTATGTGTGTAGAAAGGGAGACATTGGCAGAGATATGTTCATAGTAAAACAAGGACTGCTCCACGTGACCACAGATAACGGTCGACCCCTAGGTGCCCTCACAAGCGGCTCTTACTTCGGAGAGATAAGTCTGTTGAACGTGGGGATAAGCAACAACAGACGAACAGCCAACGTTCGGAGTGTGGGTTACTCTGACCTGTTCTGTTTGAGAAAAGAGGATCTGTTGCACGTCCTCAATGAATACCCTGAGATGAAAGAGGTTCTCAAGAAAGCAGCAAGAAAGCGGCTAGCTCATGACGGGGAGCCAGAGGAGGACGAACAGACCCGTGAGCATGAAAGGAGGGTAACGTTTACGGATATTGTTGAACAAACAGACAACCTTGAAAAGAGGTTGGAGGATCTGGAGCAGCTGATGCTAATGGTAACCAAAGAGATAAAGACGACCCATAAGAGCGTGTCGACACTACAAAAACATTTAAATAATATGCACCCAGGCTCTAACTCTAACTCTAACCTTAACTCTAACTCTAACTCTAACTCTAACTCTAACTCCAGTAGTGACCCGGAATCAGGATTTACAGAGCAAATCGTCTAGCAGCTCAACTGGGAAGATCCTGAAATAATTTTGAACTATCTTACTTTTGTTACGTTAGAAATTTTTGTTAATTAGGGGGTTTTTTGAAACACAAAATCGACTGTGATCATTTTAGTTCATTCTCTATAAATACGACTATTAAATTGTGTCTAACCAATAAAAATCTAGCATTTGTGTGCCAAGGTCTTTTCAGACCAAAGATATACTGGGTTTGGCAAAAGTAAAGGTCATAAGATTGAGTCATAAGATTGAGTGGAGCGGTGGGTACAAGGTAAAATAGAGTTTAAAGGGTGATTTAACATTTGCCACCAAATTTAACAAAAACACTGCTGGACATTTATGACAGGTCTTCATTAACGAGGTCGACATTGATTAATGAACAATAGAATGGTATGTGCTTTTAGACAGGTTCTCAGCCTGTACAGTACTCAGTACTGAATGGTATTCAAAACAACCCACGTACTTCTGTATGAATGTCTAATTGTATTTCAAACGCAGATTTTCAAATGAGTTTAATATTGATAAATATTATATATATATATATATTTCGTTGCTGTACTCCTACACATCAAAAGTCGGTGTTGATTAGATGTTCGAAATTCTTTGCATCATTTATTAAACATCGTTATCTCAAATTATTTGTTATATAGTGGTGTTGAAAGTATTAAAAAGTGTATATATACTGTATATTGTTAATCAGTGATTAATAATAATAAATATAATATAAACTAGACCTGCTTGAGGGTAACCAGGATGGTACCCAAAATCGGAAATCCTAATTAACTAGCAAAGATAAAAGGGAACGATAGAGAAATAATAGATGTCAATATTATACAGATAATATAAGATCAATAAATCATATACATAATATATATAATATTGATAAATTAACTTATTTCCTAGGTCAGGATTGGATGCCTTGCAAGAAAACTGATGCCAACCAGTTTGTAATGATATGAGTTAAGAACCACTTTATCAGCTGTAGCCTGTATGCACAGTGTCTACTATTGCAAGAAATGTTCTATTGATTTCCCTAGTGTATCTCGTTATGTGAAACACAGAAAACTCTTTTGTCAACTTGGTCGAGGTAAAGAGGATTTAAATGAGGGTATCCCGGAAGATGGTATTGGCAAGGTAAGATCTTCATAAACGGTGGTAGATGAATGATTTTTTTCTATTAAAAATGTGCCAATATTTTAACCAGAACTCCTCGCAATTTGCATGGTACGTTTACATTTGGTACCAGCCACCAGGTCAGAACTTAAATGACAATATTTCCCGGAAATTATCGGAAAATACCAACATTCTCTGGCGGAGCAGTACTAAGTTTATTAATTAATTGTGATTCAATCATCCAGTAGAAAATTATAAATTCTTTCGTTTATCTCTCATCATTAAATCATAAAAATTGCAGCTTTCGATTGCAGAAGCGACTAAGAGAATAAGTCGAGCTATAGAGTTGAGAACCAAAGAAGTTGACCCGGCCGTGTACCATGCTGTAGAACAAGTCAGACTTTACAAAAAGAAAATACGTAGTGATGGTGAGATTATATTGTATTGCCAACTTATAAAAATACATGTAGTGAAATCAAGCTGTTAAAAATACCACCCATAAACGACCAGCACATTGTCCATTGAGGACTGAAATCTCTGGAACAAAGAAATGAATTTTGCTCGATATGGATCATTTAAAAGTACTAAGATCAAATTTTAGCATCAATACTCACCTATAATATTAGTCAGGGAACTTTAATAACGAACCCCGCGACCATCATAATAAGACACAGTAAAATATGGCCTGATAAGTTAGAAGATCCATCCCAAAAAAATATTTGTTAGTGTGCTGGTCCCTTAAAGTTATCATTCAACAATCGGCAGAGGAAAATCGGGGTGAGTAAAATTACTATAATTCATCAAGGCGAAGTCTGCCTCATATGTCCGGTAAAGCTTCTCAGCCAATTCTGGGTCCAGCTTAGATAACTATTCCTTGGCTCGCAAAGCAGATGATTGCTTCCTGGGGTCACTTGAACGGTCATAGAATTCATGTAGTTTAATAGAGGTGTTGAGTCGCCGTTAAATATCCAGACTGAGTACGTGACTGTACTCCAGAGGTATAATTAGTTCATACCTGGCTTCAGGAATACACAATACTCGGTGATGGGGTTTGAAATGGCTGTTTACCCGGTGTAAATTGTCCACCAGCCACCGTGTGTACTGGATAAAAGTACTGGATAAAAGTAGGGTGCTTCTGAGTATTATCGATAATGTTATCCTTCTCATTCATCTCCTGTACTATCCTCCTCGCCATGTGCCCTGGCCATAGATTTTCATATTTAAGAGCAATACTCGGTCTACCATCCATTGTCTCATTTGATAGTTTATCTCTGAAAGCTGAGACAAGTCGGGTCCAGGGGTTTCGAACTACAGCGAAACTGAAGATCTCTTCACCACTTTCCTCACTAACCTGCTGGTAAACCAACTTTCCCACAGCATTTTGTAGCTGGTACCGTTTAGAGTATTTGGAGTGGACATCGTTTATTTTGCTTTGCTCTAAACGTTGTTCTAGAGCACCTCCTTAGAGGAACTCTATCCAATTAGAGCACCCTGACTTGGGGATTCCAGTAAATACTGTCCTTATTGTTGGGAAATATAAAGTATGTTTGGGTGCTCTACAGTTCCATCTACCCGGTAGAACATCTTTAATTGAATAGCCTAGAATGGAGAGTGTTCATTTGTCTTTCAATCCATTCTTGTGTCAATGGATGTAGAGGTGCATCAGTAGACGCAGATGTATCCTTTATGTTGTTATATTGAGAAACGTTGAGTTTGAAGAAATATAAGAGTCCAGAGAATACGATAAACAAAACGAGGGCTCTGATCTTGTGAACCATCTCTCTCTGGGCAAAGTAAGATTATTACAAATGAGGCTTAACGTATTTCCCAAAGGCTACAAATGAAACAAGTAAAATGGGTAATTGGGTAACTGTGTGATTTATAAACAAATACCCAGCATCTCTGTCCTCCGACATATTCATTACCTGGTTGTGTCCTGGTTAATTACCAGGTTAATTACCTGCTTAATTACCTGCTTAATTACCTGCTTAATTACCTGGTTAATTACCTGGTTAATTACCTGGTTTATTACCTGGTTAATTACCTGGTTAATTACCTGGTTTATTACCTGGTTAATTACCTGGTTTATTACCTGGTTAATTACATGGTTAATTACCTGGTTAATTACCTGGTTAATTACCTGGTTAATTACCTGGTTAATTACCTGGTTGATTATTTGGTTAATTACCTGGTTAATTACCTGGTTGTGACCTGGTTATGACTTCGGGATACTTAATACTAGTCTATGACCACTGTTTAATTAATGTTAATCACTGATTTTACAAATTATTTATATATTTTTATTGTAACATTTTATCACCCGTTAACAACAATTATAGTGTGATTTATAAACAAATACCCAGCAGCTCTGTCCTCCGACATATTCATTACCTGGTTGTGTCCTGATTAATTACCAGGTTAATTACCTGGTTAATTACCTGGTTAATTACCGGGTTAATTACCTGGTTAATTACCTGGTTAATTACCTGGTTAATTACCTGGTTAATTACCTGGTTTATTACCTGGTTAATTACCTGGTTTATTACCTGGTTAATTACCTGGTTAATTACCTGGCTGTGACCTGGTTATGACTTCGGGATACTTAATACTAGTCTATGACCACTGTTTAATTAATGTTAATCACTGATTTTACAAATTATTTATATATTTTTATTGTAACATTTTATCACCCGTTAACAACAATTATATTATTGTTCGTAATGAATGCTCATTTTCCAGGTAAGAAAATAAACGAGCAAAGAAATGAGGTGTTAAAGAGATTAGCAGATTTAAAGCAAGAAATGAGGGAATTGGAGGCAACTTTCACCGAGAAGAACAAGAAATACGAGTCGATCAAAGCTTACAGCAAAGTATCTGCTCTTGAGGTAAATTTGGAATTAGCAACTGTTGTACTCTCCTTTCACGAGTGTACACTTCATTTTAGACTGTTTCTTCATATGTTGTTATCGGCCTTTTGTTCTATATCTCATTACACACGGTTAGCAAGCTTTTTTCCACCTCACTTTTCATAATACTTAATTAGGCTTAACTGTCACCGATTTTCATACTTGTTTTCACGTGTTCATACTTGTTTTATTACATCTACTGGCTAGGTAACTGGAACAGAAGAACTTCTTGACGAGCTACATGACCTTAAGAACGCTATAGTTTATCTAGAGGATGAGATCGCCTCGAATATCGATTGTCTTCATCTTGTAAGTAAAACCTATGTTAGTGATTTTAAATATTTTAATAGATCATGAGTATCAGAATTTGCATTTTAATATTAAAATGATCTTCGGTAACGGTAACTATAGGAAGTAAAGTTTAATCTTATGTTAAACTGTGATTTCTTCAATTAGATTGAAAGCGGGAAATATAAACCGAGTGAAGCTCGCTTGCCTGAGAAACCAGACACAGTTCTAGATAACATATCCAGCAAACGAAACATCCGGGAGCACAGCACACGAAAGCATAGTACTCGAGAGCATAGTACTCGAGAGCATAGTACTCGAGAGCGAATCCAGCTACCAGCATTGAAAATACACACTCCTCTCTTGACCCCTCTCACAAAACCTGTAACACGTGATCTGACACGTGATCTGACACCAACACAGGAGGTGGACGGTAGAGAGCATTCCAGGGCGACCTCAGCTCCCAGGGTCTCCGTGCGACAAACTATACATTCGCTGGTCAGTTTTCAGAATCTGTATTGCATCATTTTAACAACTCACTTTTTAAAGTTTCATGACAACTTATTTGTTGTCATGGTATAAGATTTGGGATCAATAGAAACAATAATAAAGATATTTTTGAAAATAGTTAGGAGGGAAAAAGTGGGGCCCCTCCACAGGCCGTAGAGAAGGCAGATCCTGTTGTCAAGGTAACGACACACAAAAGAATTATCTTCGCTACCAAATTTATTAATAGCATGTTTGCGGGACCCGATGTTCTGTACATTCATGTTATTAATGTATGAGTCATTGATCTAAACTACTCGTGAAGTCTCACAAGGTTGTGCTACTTCTCAATTACTGTTACCATAGCAACAGATGTTACCTCGTCTCCCTACAATATAATATCTGAAATATTACTGAGATTGTAACCCTGATTCGTAAAAGGCACAAAAGTTATATGATATGCTGGGTCTTAACATTTCGATTACCGACTTAACACCCTGAAATGTGTTCCCTAATGTGCCAAAAATGTTTAGGACTGTTGTCTTTCATGCCTCCGATTTGTCTGTTGATATGTAATTTAAAACTGTATATTATACAAGTCGAAATCTACGAAATACACCATAATCTCCCTCAGAGACCAAATTTTCACAAAATCTGACCTGTAATTCTGTGAACTCCTTTATGAGTGATGCTCTTCTGATTTCTGGCTAGAAAATATTTGATTTCATCAATAATTGAATTGTAGGCTCTTAATCTACTTTAGTAAGGCAGCGAAACGAAAACAAGAATAACTTATGAACATCTATATTGTCTAAATAATTGCAGTTTTGAAAGAAAATATTTTCATATAGAACATATTATTATCGTTTAACAAAATACCATGCCTCATACTCTATCCACAGAGTATGAAGTAGTGCAGAAAGAAGGGCCTGAGGCCAAAAATAAATCTCATAATTATCTTCCGAAAGCAGTCCTTGCTGGCTTGCTTATGAATGGCGAGGAATTGGTCTTGAAATGTACTCTAATATCATATTAGTCCCAAGTAATACATTTGGTCTGTAGATGTAATGATATTAGTCACGTGCAGCCCCTCCTTTACAAATTTACAGGTATATCCATGAAACTCGATTGAACATAGCATTAGATTATTAATGAATTGCAAGCTGGTGTGTTTAAGAGAAACACTGTTGATCCTCCAATGCTTTGTCAGCAGAGGAGTTCTCAGGCCAACTGTGCACGTCAAAGGTAAATTGCTGGTTGATTACTCAATAAAATGTGAGTCGTGCTTTTCGAAATCTTGTCCTCATATACAATATATATGCAGCATTTGCAAATTCATCCATCTCATTATTTTTTTTTTAGTTTTCATTCACTTGACATTTGGAGCCATTAAATTTTGACATTTGATGCCATGTCCCGAAGGCCCATGCGGACCCAAATCAAATTAATTGTCGTCCACTAGCCCATCAGTGTAGTTTCTTATGTGTAACTTTTAGCATGCAGAGACTTCTTATCGAATTTGCATTCAGGATAATGATACGGCATCAGTCGTGTCCGCAAGGACTCTGAAACCTGGGTCAGCCGATTCTGTTGTTTTGCTCGGCAAACTTCAGAGAAAACGAGACATTATACTTCTCAAACGTGAGGTAAGATAACGTATGTTGAATGTTGATAAGTATATATTGTCGACGTATACGTGCTGAATCAATTGATGGTGTTAAACGATCGAATTTCTGGTTCAAAATTCCCGTAACCAACATGAGGCCGCGCGCGGCAACTGTCGTATCTGCCAAATGATAAATAAATGGAGAAAGTACCAAATCGTAAATAAAGTTTGGCGCGTTTATTCAACAATTTTTCAGTCGATCACTTATGTTATGTAACGACGTCCACCATTGAAATGTCAACCTCTTAAATAAAGCCTTTACAAAATTTTATTTTATGCCTCAGATTCAGGCCATGGAGCAGGGAGAAGAAGAAGGGGTTAGAGATGTGCTCTCTGATTCTGCTCTCATCCCGTACCTTCCTGAATCCGGAGTTGTTGTTTACATAGACTACCTTACACCAACATTCCATATTTCTGCTAACCTTATGTTGACCGTGATAAGGTAGGATATTTATCTCCAATCCCAAGACTATCTGTTTTTTGTGTGAAGATTATTAAACATAAATTTAAAGGCAGTGGGTACGTTTGTTTGACTTACTTCACCGCTGCAACAATATATCGCTACTTCGGATCGATCAAAATTTGCAAGGTTACATGAATTCGATAACCAATAATTTCTGAATCACAGGGACTCAAAGATAGTTTGTCAGACCTCCACATTTATAGTGACCCCCGCTTCACATGTATCATTCCTGGGTTATCACGAAACGTTCCCCAATCTAGCAGTTTCTAACGATACCTACCTGTATTCTTCTATCAGAACAGTGAGTGGAGAATATCGCTTAAATGATAGCTTTAAAATTGCAGGAATCTACAGTTTAGACTCAACTGTGATGAAAATTGGTTGCCCAAAATATATATAATGCTCCCTCAAATGGTTATTTTAAGACATTCATATCCAAATTATGCAAAGTTATGAAAAATGTATCATGCACGAAACCTGGGACAATCTCACATAATAATTGTATATTGATTGGTGTGAGAGAGTGATGCTACATCTCCCTTTCTATCCCAGTTGGAAGGAGAAGAGTTGGGATGGTGTTTGTTCAATTTATTCTCTGATAGAACACTAAATTCTGGAGCCTGGAGAATTCCTCTAAAATCACCTCCTTTTTCCCACGATCTGGTATCCACACTATACCACGGGGCCAGATCTCTCAATTACAGCCTAAGATTAAGGTTAGTGCCTAGCAGTCTCTCTTAGAACTGATGTTAACAGTTGTGTTCTTGTCCATGGTATCATCTAGTTGTGTTCTTGTCCATTCTTGGCTTCTCGTTATTTCGGTTATATTGTTTTTTCTTCCGTTATCAGGTGTTCAGTTACGTCGGTACATGATGCAATGTTGACTGCACCGAAACTAAAGCTAGCGCAATATAAAATTCATAATCCTGGTTTTGAAGACCGGCTCATTATCAGCAACAACGTGAACAAACCGGAGAATAAACAGGTGAATAGTTTAATTAGTGCCGACAAAAAATACTTGGAATCGCGAAAAGCCGAAAACTGTACTTTAAAATTCTCCGTAAAATGCTGATGTCTGTAAAAGTTTTTTTGTGAATCAGCGATATCGTAATGCCAATTGCCAATTTCCTTAGAAAATTGTTAGAAACCAATCGCAAGAGAAAGTAACTGAAACCTACGGCCCTCCTGACGACTTCGACCCAATCAAGGTTTAAAATTGTTACCTTATTCGCCCCCAGTCGTTATCAAAATATTTCAATTCATTGAAATTTCCCCTCACTCTCTGTAGCCTTCAATCTCATCGTTTCTAACAAAACATTCCTAGATACTCCGAAAAGGCAACAAATCGACACCTATCAGACCGATGCCAGCCCCTGCTAAAACCGCGACACCTGCAGTTGAACTGCTTCCAGTTCCAGAGCCACCTGAACCAACTGAAACCCCCGAAAGAATCAAGGGACTACACTACCACACCCTGATCCTCAACCAGCCCTCTTTACCACCCTCACTCTCTGTTCACGTGCAGTACTGTGAGATTGATGAGGAGTATAACATAAAGAACAGTGTCTCCTTCCCCTCCTCTTCTCAGCCTGTCGCACAACCCTTCTCAACCAGTACTCTTTAGATTACAAGACACTGGAGCTAGCCTGGAACCAGGAGGAGATAGTGCTGATATTTACTTACAAGGATGGAGAGAGCAATGTAGTTGGGTGGAGCTGGGCGCTCTATTCAGATAAGAGGCTGGAGCTGGAGGTGTTCAAACCTCCTATTCCCTCCTTCTCCAAACTCGCTCAGGTGAGAAAATTGTGTTCAAAGTTTTTATTGATCTCTTATCGTTCAGCGCTCAAAACTTAAACCTATTTTTTTGTTGATAAAATCACCCATATGCTCTCCCAGTGGCTGGAAGAGCTTGAGACAAACGACATTGCCACTGTTGAGGAGGAGTTCACTAGGATTGCTAACAGCGGATTACTGGTCAGGTACTACGACTCTAAAGAGTGGACGCCTCGTTTCCCTGACCGACCAGATGACTATTTCCTCCTCCCTCAACCAAGACTACCTACTGGTCAGCAGCTATGTAGTCAGCCATTAAATACTTAAGTTCGATATCTGTACTTGATTCCTGATTCAGGTAAGAACTATACTGTAATTGAATAGGGTGTAGAATATCGAAGCTTGGATTCGTCCAAGACTGATAGGAGAATATAAATGTGATTTTAGAATAATTGGAATCTAACTTCAGGGGCATTCAGACATGTGGAACCGAAACCAAACTTTACGGTACATGACAAAAACAGATCAATAACTCTGATAATAGGTATACTAAGATTTGTCGTTTATAAAAAATATCTCACCATTTTTAATTAATACCTACTAACTTCTGCAGCTATGTATCAAGTATTTTGAGTAGAAACATATCTGTTACCCTACGGATCTATACTTATTATCCTAACTCCCCTGACATAGTGACATAATCCACCCCCCCCCCCCCCCCTGACATAGTCGACCATAATCCATCCCCACCCCCCTCTGACACCGGTAATCCTTGTTGGTCCCCACCAGTGTGCTCCAACCAGTGTGCCCCACCAGTGTGCCCCACCAGTGTGCCCCACCAGTGTGCCCCACCAGTGTGCCCCACCTGTTACTAACAGCTATCTCCCCCACCAGTGTGCCCCATCTCCCCCCAAAACAGACGGGGCACGTTACCTACCCTCCTGTGTGACAATCTCACGAGTAACTGGTAGGATATTCGACCGGGACTTCAACATATTGGGACCCCAGATCTCATCCAGTGTGGTGCTGGACAGTGATATCTACAACCCAATCTACAAGTACAGCGTCAAGCTTCCTGGAGACCTGCCAAAAACTAGTATCACAGTGCTGAAGTTATACACTCTACACGCTATAACAGGTAAGTTCTGTGAGCTGATAACTGATTACGGGCTGTACCATCCTGGCTTATTTCATGAGTTACTTTTCAATATGTTTTACCGGTTACGTCAGTGGAAATACAAGGAGATTTAATCTAGATGTTCAGGACAGCTGACAACAGTAGGTTACAGTCTGCTAAATCTGTTCTGCAAGCGTGGTACTGTCCTGGAAGCAGAAGCAACGGACCCCTCGGTGGTACTCAACAAGGGAGCCATGCAGTTACCCCTACATATAGATGGCCCTGACGCTGGTCTCCCTCTCATGATGGATTCTCTCAAGGTGAAGTGTAAAGAGGTGTCTTATAGTGGTGGTTCTTTTCCGCATAAGCATTTTAACGTCAAAAAACTCTCGAATTTGAATTAGAGGGCAAGAGAATCAGATGGATTTTATCTATTAATAGGACCCTTAACAGAGCAGTAAGTGCCTCCGTAGCTCGGTGGTTAGAGCACTGGTCTTGCAAACCAGGGGTCACGAGTTCAATTATCGTCGGTAACTGAGTAGATTTTTCTTGCACGCGCGGATTGGAATGCTCGCCATACTTAACCCAAACCTACCTGCTCTTAACAGGACGTGTACTGTGCCCCCCCCCCCCCCCCCATACTTAACCCTAACCTACCTGCTCTTAACAGGACGTGTACTGTTCCCCCCCCCCCTCCATACTTGACCCTAACCTACCTGCTCTTAACAGGACGTGTACTGTGCCCCCCCCCCCATACAGGACGTGTACTGTGCCCCCCCCCCCCCCATACTTAACCCTAACCTACCTGCTCTTAACAGGACGTGTACTGTGCCCCCCCCCCATACTTAACCCTAACCTACCTGCTCTTAACAGGACGTGTACTGTGTCCCCCCCCATACTTAACCCTAACCTACCTGCTCTTAACAGGACGTGTACTGTGTCCCCCCCCCCCCCATACTTAACCCTAACCTACCTGCTCTTAACAGGACGTGTACTGCCCCCCCCCCCCATACTTAACCCTAACCTACCTGCTCTTAACAGGACGTGTACTGTGCCCCCCCCCCCCATACTTAACCCTAACCTACCTGCTCTTAACAGGACGTGTACTGTGCCCCCCCCCCCCCATACTTGACCCTAACCTACCTGCTCTTAACAGGACGTGTACTGTGTCCCCCCCCCCCCCATACTTGACCCTAACCTACCTGCTCTTAACAGGACGTGTACTGTGTCCCCCCCCCCATACTTGACCCTAACCTACCTGCTCTTAACAGGACGTGTACTGTGTCCCCCCCCCCCCCCATACTTGACCCTAACCTACCTGCTCTTAACAGGACGTGTACTGTGTCCCCCCCCCCCATACTTGACCCTAACCTACCTGCTCTTAACAGGACGTGTACTGTGTCCCCCCCCCCCATACTTGACCCTAACCTACCTGCTCTTAACAGGACGTGTACTGTGTCCCCCCCCCCCCCCTATACTTGACCCTAACCTACCTGCTCTTAACAGGACGTGTGCTGTGTCCCCCCCCCCCCATACTTGACCCTAACCTACCTGCTCTTAACAGGACGTGTACTGTATCCCCCCCCCCCCCATACTTGACCCTAACCTACCTGCTCTTAACAGGACGTGTACTGTGCCCCCCCCCCCATACTTGACCCTAACCTACCTGCTCTTAACAGGACGTGTACTGTGTCCCCCCCCCCCATACTTGACCCTAACCTACCTGCTCTTAACAGGACGTGTACTGTGCCCCCCCCCATACTTGACCCTAACCTACCTGCTCTTAACAGGACGTGTAATGTATCCCCCCCCCCCCATACTTGACCCTAACCTACCTGCTCTTAACAGGACGTGTACTGTGCCCCCCCCCCCCCCATACTTGACCCTAACCTACCTGCTCTTAACAGGACGTGTACTGTGTCCCCCCCCCCCATACTTGACCCTAACCTACCTGCTCTTAACAGGACGTGTACTGTGCCCCCCCCCCCATACTTGACCCTAACCTACCTGCTCTTAACAGGACGTGTACTGTGCCCCCCCCCCCCCCATACTTGACCCTAACCTACCTGCTCTTAACAGGACGTGTACTGTGCCCCCCCCCCCATACTTGACCCTAACCTACCTGCTCTTAACAGGACGTGTACTGTGCCCCCCCCCCCCATACTTGACCCTAACCTACCTGCTCTTAACAGGACGTGTACTGTGCCCCCCCCCCCCCCCATACTTGACCCTAACCTACCTGCTCTTAACAGGACGTGTACTGTGTCCCCCCCCCCCCATACTTGACCCTAACCTACCTGCTCTTAACAGGACGTGTACTGTGCCCCCCCCCCATACTTGACCCTAACCTACCTGCTCTTAACAGGACGTGTACTGTGCCCCCCCCCCCATACTTGACCCTAACCTACCTGCTCTTAACAGGACGTGTACTGTGCCCCCCCCCCCCCATACTTGAACCTAACCTACCTGCTCTTAACAGGACGTGTACTGTGCCCCCCCCCCCCCCCATACTTGACCCTAACCTACCTGCTCTTAACAGGACGTGTACTGTGCCCCCCCCCCCCATACTTGACCCTAACCTACCTGCTCTTAACAGGACGTGTACTGTGCCCCCCCCCCCCCCATACTTGAACCTAACCTACCTGCTCTTAACAGGACGTGTACTGTGCCCCCCCCCATACTTGACCCTAACCTACCTGCTCTTAACAGGACGTGTACTGTGCCCCCCCCCCCCCCATACTTGACCCTAACCTACCTGCTCTTAACAGGACGTGTACTGTGTCCCCCCCCCCCCCCATACTTGACCCTAACCTACCTGCTCTTAACAGGACGTGTACTGTGCCCCCCCCCCCCCCATACTTGACCCTAACCTACCTGCTGTTAACAGGACGTGTACTGTGCCCCCCCCCCCCCATACTTGACCCTAACCTACCTGCTCTTAACAGGACGTGTACTGTGCCCCCCCCCCCCATACTTGACCCTAACCTACCTGCTCTTAACAGGACGTGTACTGTGCCCCCCCCCCCATACTTGACCCTAACCTACCTGCTCTTAACAGGACGTGTACTGTGCCCCCCCCCCCCCCATACTTGACCCTAACCTACCTGCTGTTAACAGGACGTGTACTGTGCCCCCCCCCCCCATACTTGACCCTAACCTACCTGCTCTTAACAGGACGTGTACTGTGCCCCCCCCCATACTTGACCCTAACCTACCTGCTCTTAACAGGACGTGTACTGTGCCCCCCCCCCCCCCCATACTTGACCCTAACCTACCTGCTCTTAACAGGACGTGTACTGTGCCCCCCCCCCCCATACTTGACCCTAACCTACCTGCTCTTAACAGGACGTGTACTGTCCCCCCCCCCATACTTGACCCTAACCTACCTGCTCTTAACAGGACGTGTACTGTGCCCCCCCCCCCCCCCCCATACTTGACCCTAACCTACCTGCTCTTAACAGGACGTGTACTGTGGCCCCCCCCCCCCCCCATTCTTGACCCTAACCTACCTGCTCTTAACAGGACGTGTACTGTGCCCCCCCCCATACTTGACCCTAACCTACCTGCTCTTAACAGGACGTGTACTGTGCCCCCCCCCCCCCATACTTGACCCTAACCTACCTGCTCTTAACAGGACGTGTACTGTGCCCCCCCCCCCCCCCATACTTGACCCTAACCTACCTGCTCTTAACAGGACGTGTACTGTGTCCCCCCCCCCATACTTGACCCTAACCTACCTGCTCTTAACAGGACGTGTACTGTGCCCCCCCCCCCATACTTGACCCTAACCTACCTGCTCTTAACAGGACGTGTACTGTGCCCCCCCCCCCCCATACTTGACCCTAACCTACCTGCTCTTAACAGGACGTGTACTGTGTCCCCCCCCCCCATACTTGACCCTAACCTACCTGCTCTTAACAGGACGTGTACTGTGTCTCCCCCCCCCCCCCCATACTTAACCCTAACCTACCTGCTCTTAACAGGACGTGTACTGTGTCCCCCCCCCCCATACTTGACCCTAACCTACCTGCTCTTAACAGGACGTGTACTGTGTCCCCCCCCCCATACTTGACCCTAACCTACCTGCTCTTAACAGGACGTGTACTGTGCCCCCCCCCCCATACTTGACCCTAACCTACCTGCTCTTAACAGGACGTGTGCTGTGTCCCCCCCCCCCCCATACTTGACCCTAACCTACCTGCTCTTAACAGGACGTGTACTGTTCCCCCCCCCCCCATACTTGACCCTAACCTACCTGCTCTTAACAGGACGTGTACTGTGCCCCCCCCCCCCATACTTGACCCTAACCTACCTGCTCTTAACAGGACGTGTACTGTGTCCCCCCCCCCCATACTTGACCCTAACCTACCTGCTCTTAACAGGACGTGTACTGTGCCCCCCCCCCCCCCATACTTGACCCTAACCTACCTGCTCTTAACAGGACGTGTACTGTGCCCCCCCCCCCCATTCTTGACCCTAACCTACCTGCTCTTAACAGGACGTGTACTGTGCCCCCCCCCCCCCCCATACTTGACCCTAACCTACCTGCTCTTAACAGGACGTGTACTGTGCCCCCCCCCCCCCCATACTTGACCCTAACCTACCTGCTCTTAACAGGACGTGTACTGTGCCCCCCCCCCCCCCATACTTGACCCAAACCTACCTGCTCTTAACAGGACGTGTACTGTGCCCCCCCCCCCCCCATACTTGACCCAAACCTACCTGCTCTTAACAGGACGTGTACTGTGCCCCCCCCCCCCCCCCATTCTTGACCCTAACCTACCTGCTCTTAACAGGACGTGTACTGTGTCCCCCCTCCCATACTTGACCCTAACCTACCTGCTCTTAAGAGGACGTGTACTGTGTCCCCCCCCCCCATACTTGACCCTAACCTACCTGCTCTTAACAGGACGTGTACTGTGTCCCCCCCCCCCCCCATACTTGACCCTAACCTACCTGCTCTTAACAGGACGTGTGCTGTGTCCCCCCCCCCATACTTGACCCTAACCTACCTGCTCTTAACAGGACGTGTACTGTCCCCCCCCCCCCCCCATACTTGACCCTAACCTACCTGCTGTTAACAGGACGTGTACTGTGCCCCCCCCCCCCATACTTGACCCTAACCTACCTGCTCTTAACAGGACGTGTACTGTGCCCCCCCCCCCCCCCATTCTTGACCCATACCTACCTGCTCTTAACAGGACGTGTACTGTGCCCCCCCCCCCCCATACTTGACCCTAACCTACCTGCTCTTAACAGGACGTGTACTGTGCCCCCCCCCCCCCCCCATACTTGACCCTAACCTACCTGCTCTTAACAGGACGTGTACTGTGCCCCCCCCCCCCATACTTAACCCTAACCTACCTGCTCTTAACAGAACGTGTACTGTGCCCCCCCCCCCCCCCATACTTGACCCTAACCTACCTGCTGTTAACAGGACGTGTACTGTGCCCCCCCCCCCCCCATACTTGACCCTAACCTACCTGCTCTTAACAGGACGTGTACTGTGCCCCCCCCCCCCCCCCCCCATTCTTGATCCAAACCTACCTGCTCTTAACAGGACGTGTACTGTGCCCCCCCCCCCCCATACTTGACCCAAACCTACCTGCTCTTAACAGGACGTGTACTGTGCCCCCCCCCCCCCATTCTTGACCCAAACCTACCTGCTCTTAACAGGACGTGTACTGTGCCCCCCCCCCCCCCCATTCTTGACCCAAACCTACCTGCTCTTAACAGGACGTGTACTGTGCCCCCCCCCCCATACTTGACCCTAACCTACCTGGTCTTAACAGGACGTGTACTGTGCCCCCCCCCCCCATACTTGACCCTAACCTACCTGCTCTTAACAGGACGTGTACTGTGCCCCCCCCCCCCATACTTAACCCTAACCTACCTGCTCTTAACAGGACGTGTACTGTGCCCCCCCCCCCCCCATACTTGACCCTAACCTACCTGCTCTTAACAGGACGTGTACTGTGTCCCCCCCCCCCCATACTTGACCCTAACCTACCTGCTCTTAACAGGACGTGTACTGTGTCCCCCCCCCCCCATACTTGACCCTAACCTAGCTGCTCTTAACAGGACGTGTACTGTGTCCCCCCCCCATACTTGACCCAAACCTACCTGCTCTTAACAGGACGTGTACTGTCCCCCCCCCCCCCATACTTATAACCTACCTGCTCTTAACAGGACGTGTACTGTGTCCCCTGCTCCTGGCTGCTAGTAAGGCTCATGTACACCTCTGATGATGGTTCTATACCCCTGATGCCCTCTTACAATGATGGAGTGTACGCTGATAACCACCCCAATCTCTCTGCTACTGAAATATTCGTTCTCGACTCTTACAGAAAGAGACCTATCACAAATGGTTCGGATCCAGCTTTTATGTAATATTATTCTTTACCAAATGCCAAGAAATCAGACCATCAACACACATTACCCACTCAACCAGTCTTATCAAACTCATATATAAGTTGTATCCCATTCTCAATGATAAAAAAGTGTTATTCTTGCTTAAGGCTTAATTCACAACGTTGGCGCTTTTGTTATTTTTAATTTTATCTTGTCATGCTGATTCAATTTTTCCATTCTTATCTTACGTTAAGAATATTGCATAAAACTGTACGTAAATACTCCTCTCGTGGTTGCGAAGAAACTGTGTAACTTGTAATAATGCTTGAAAAACCTTAGATCACTAGTCCGGTGGCAAAAGTATGACTCAGATAAGACTAAGAGCCCGAGAGCCGCCTGAGGAGCCGCCCAAGTGCCGCCGGACTTATAATCTAGTAAACAATCAAGTAAATATTCCTATTGTGACAGGTAAAAAAGTGTGTAACGTGGATCCAACCCCCGCTGCTGTGATCAAGAAGTTGACCCGGCACAAAGGACAAGCAATCAAGGACATGGTTCCCGCTGAGATTATTGAGTATTCACCTGAGTTTGGGGTCGGAGTTAAAGTTGTCGGCGTGAAGGTAGTGTTTGATAAATTAAGTTGTGTAATGTGTATATGTATTGATTTAATTGCGATGAAAATCGTGGCTTCTATCTTTACGAATTGTAATTCCGAACCGAGTTGACTACCGGAGTTCAATTCCAGAATCAAAAATATCTGGAAAGCGGACCATATATAATAAAACAATTATTTATTTGTAATAGAACAATTATTTATTTTTACGGCACAATCAAACAATATCAATAATATATAAATCAGTGGAATCTTGAGGTTTTAAGGCGAAGGCCACTTCTCACCTTTGGATTTGAGAGTGACCTGCGCTTGAAACCCATCAACCATCCACTACGTCAATATACTTATTATACAAATATAGAAAATATAATAATCTAAAATTCTTTAAAAAAAGGTGGGAGGGTGACGTAAAATTTCGCGATAAAATATGAGTTTCTCAGAACCTGAGTTCGCGAGAGCCCGAGTCCACGCTGTTCACCTACCTACGCCTGAGCACGAGGGAGACAATGTTCAAGTTTACAGACCACCTCCTTTATAACGAGTGTGTGCAGTTTAACATCGGTCACAAGATCAAGTGGACGGATCAGATCCACTACTTCAAACACGTGACACCCTCTCCTGATGTCTTCCTCCTCGTTCAGGTGGGAAATAATGCTATCGTCATTGTTGGGAATTGTTAAATAATCTTCTGCAGTAAAACTTACCCGAGCTATACTACGTTAACGATGAATTTTAATACCGATTTCACTGAAAGAACATGTGTCTGTTCAATATGTGGCTACAGAAACAATAACTAAATCTTTATTTCAGTTTCTAGAGCACTTCAACGATCAATTCACCATGGTAGGATGGGTACAAATACAAATATTCAGTCACGCTGGGCCTATGACGTTTGTTAACAGAACCAATAGATCTGAGATGCCCCTCACATTGGGATCCCTTGATCCGTCCAGACAGTCCCGTCCTTTAGATCTGAAGTCTGAACTGGATTCTGAAGGTGGTGCTCCCTATGCAGTGGTAGAGGTATAGCATTAACACGTTAAATATTATAACTTACACAGTGGTAGAGGTATAACACGTTAAATAACACAGTGGTAGAGGTATAACACGTTAAATAACACAGTGGTAGAGGTATAACACGTTAAATAACACAGTGGTAGAGGTATAACACGTTAAATAACACAGTGGTAGAGGTATAACACGTTAAATAACACAGTGGTAGAGGTATAACACGTTAAATAACACAGTGGTAGAGGTATAACACGTTAAATAACACAGTGGTAGAGGTATAACACGTTAAATAACACAGTGGTAGAGGTATAACACGTTAAATAACACAGTGGTAGAGGTATAACACGTTAAATAACACAGTGGTAGAGGTATAACACGTTAAATAACACAGTGGTAGAGGTATAACACGTTAAATAACACAGTGGTAGAGGTATAACACGTTAAATAACACAGTGGTAGAGGTATAACACGTTAAATAACACAGTGGTAGAGGTATAACACGTTAAATAACACAGTGGTAGAGGTATAACACGTTAAATAACACAGTGGTAGAGGTATAACACGTTAAATAACACAGTGGTAGAGGTATAACACGTTAAATAACACAGTGGTAGAGGTATAACAAGTTAAATAACACAGTGGTAGAGGTATAACACGTTAAATAACACAGTGGTAGAGGTATAACACGTTAAATATTATAACTCACACAGTGGTAGAGGTATAACACGTTAAATGTTCTAACTAGTATCAGTTCAGCGGCATAGTAATTTGTATCGGTTCAGATTTCGCTCGAAGTCTAAGTTAATAATTAGGTTAAGTCTAGGATAATCGGGTTTTACCTGGGTTTGACGCAATTATGCACAAGATGTTTCCTTTACAAGTTACACATTAAGTTTTGCTGGCGGTAATAAGTTGTAAGATAAGATTATAAAGTATAATAAAAGTAAAAAAATATATAAACTGCTGACTTAAAGATAGAAAACTTACAGGTGTTTGACACACGTTTCTCAAGTGAGAGCAGGGCCATGGACTACGAAGTAGACCACAGTTACATCACACTCGCCGAGAAAGGAGTTGATTTCATCGCGCAACAGATGTCTGAGTCAAGAGATTTTATACAATGAGGATGTTTTCACCATTTTTATTGGCGATCCTGACGCTAATGAGTGTCGCTAATTTAACACGTTTTTAAGAATTAAGTGTATTTTTCAGTGAACGCACAATTTATATATTTTCAAAACTTTTGTAAGGGTAATCTGCGGTAGATTTGTAAAAAAATTAAGCGAATTTGTAAAGAATTTTGTACAGTGAAGTTGTTGTGTAGTACTAGAACTTCTCATTCTTATCAGCTTTACAAGAATTTAGATTTCATTTCGACAAATGACCGATGATTACATTTTGCCTAGGAATTTGATGAGTCGGTTGTCGCAAGGAATGTCGAGATTGTCTTCTGGTAGTGCAGCTGGCGATGAAGTATCTTAGAGTATATATCCTAGAGTATGCCAAACTTTACATACAAAAATATCTGTTGTATTATCGCCTTACTCGACCAAGCAGTGCCATTTCCGAGCTACAGTTCACGATGCATTAAATCATGCGCCGAATAGATAAAAGTATGTCGTTTTCTACTAATCTTTTTCAAACCGGTTTTTAGCCCTAAACGAAAGTTTTGTTAGGGCTAGTTAAAATCAGTGCAACTGAGATGGGTATTTGAAATTTTGACTGTATTAGTTGACTGCCAGGAAACACTCAGCGGTAAACTCTGGCCGTAATCCGACCATGGGTTTCCAAGAGATTACCCTGAATCATGCTCAAAATATTTATAGCTTATCGAATTTGATACTGAGATATCCGTGGAAGTATGAGATACGAAGTAGCAATGAGATCACTAAATTCTCACAGACGTGAATTTGAGAAGCAGACTCCTGTGACCTTACCATGCCAAATACAGTACCGTGGTATAACTTGATTTTCTATTTTAGGGTACATCATGTTACATATCTCTATGTTGAAAGATAAGAGTTGTGGTAAAGACTGTCGCGTGATCACCTCCTATATAAGATACCCCCGCTCTACTCATCGTCACATTTTAACAACGGTTTGTCTTCCTAATATACTATTACTTCGTTTATTGCAAGTTAACCTTCATCTGTTTTACCATGAAGATCATCGTTCTTCTTCTTAGCCTTGTTGCTGCATCATCGGGTATGAAGCTTTCTCGAGTCCATTATTTCATTTATCAGTATTATATTTACTAGCTGGTAAGATCTAAGATGAGAAGTACGTACCGTACCCGGCTTAAAGTACGTACCGTGCGAACTTCTCATCATAGGGTAAGATCGGTATACAATAAACAGTAATCAAGTTAAGTCATGTTTATTTTAATTTCATTGTTTTTAGTCTAATTTGAAATTACCAACCTAGAATTGAGTTGATAGATTGACATAACATTTGTAAAATTCCGCCAGCTTACAGCCTCAGTAAGTATTACATAACATTTGTAAAATTCCGCCAGCTTACAGCCTCAGTAAAGACCACGGTAAGATATGCACCCTGTGTATCGCTACTTTGGAGGAAGTTAAATCTGCTGCTACCAGCGATGAAGTAGAGGTTAGTTGAAGGAGTCAAGTATGTTAATTAAAGTTCATGTAAAAAATACAACTTTTTAAAAAAGCCACGTGAAATAGGTTTTATAAGAAAATGTGATTCCAATTTGCATATTGAAATGATAATATAGCTTCAAAATTTCAGAATCTCTGCACAGAAGTAGCAGTGACAGTGTGTGCGGTTATGCCCAAGGCACACCGTGATGACTGTAAAAAGTTCGTCAGCAGTTTTATGGAAGAAAACTTCAATATAATCAGAGAGTTTACGAAGATCTGGGGACCCGAGGATATTTGCCAGATGGTCATGCTCTGTCCTAAAGATAATGGTAGGTCATCTTCTCCGTTCATTTGAAAAGAGTATAACATTTATCACGAATAAATTTATATCATCATAAGACTATGATCGATTTTTAAGGCAGAATATAAGAATGTTTTATATCAGCTCGGTTTTGAAATGAAGAACTAAAAACCCTCGATACTAAGCGTTAACTCTATTCAGTGAGTGCAGTGGAAGGTAAGGTTTGCACCGTGTGTACTGACTCAGTAGCCATGGTCAGATTCCTCCTTACTGACCCTAACCTGGAAACAATGATCAAAACTTACGTCGAGACTGCCTGCTCTGTAACCGGCTCCCTCGCTCCTCTGGTAGGATTATATATCAACTTGTTGTAGAATAATCTTAGTTTATTTTGTTAGCTGACTCTTTTTCTACTGATGGTGTAACCAAGGTTCAATTGGTCCATTATAGAACCTTGTGCTAGAATGTCTGATGAACATTATCTTTATGTTATAGTGTTAAATAATAAATACCCATTATACCCCTCAGTGTATGAGAGAAGTTGGTCAGCTAGTCGATCTTGTATTCTCTGAGGTTAAAACCATGTTCGACAATCTCAAAGATGAAGATATCTGCAAAGCTGCACACATGTGTGCTCATGACGGTAAGTACATGGCGAATTTTGGTTGCATTTTACGATATTTTCCTTCCAGAAACCGCTTTCCTTTTGGACCAGCAGGTTTGCTAGTATGAAATCCGATGACCATATTGGAATGGAGAGTCGTGTAATACTCTAAAATACTCGTTTCCCCAGGAACCGTTCTCTACCAGCCCTTCTCTGCGGCTGTCTCCTCTCCCACACCAACTATGTGCGATGCTTGTACTGCAACTGTCAACGAAATTGAGGCTTTCATGGCTATGGATGAGCTGGTGAAGCTTATGGAAGATGTCAGTAAAATTGCCTGCACTTTCCTTCCCATCGAACATTTGACTGACACGGTAAGAGTTTTTTTGCCTAAGAACGCTATTTCAAGCTTAGCTTGAATATATTGGTTTAAGTTGAGCGCGTTTCATCAATCGATCTTGATTCTCGTCAAACTTTCCCTCTTATTCAACTACTACTCCCGCTCTTTCAGTGCGAGGAAATGACTCAAGACTTTCTGGATGAGTTCTTCTTCAACCTCAAACAGTTCATGAACGATTTTGATGGTCTCAAGATCTGCCAAATGGCCCACGTCTGCGCAAGCGGTAAGCTCCCCTTGAATGTATTAACTTGGGGGGGGGGGGGGGGGGCTAACCTTTCCTTAAATCCGTGTATTCTTATAACCGGACACTCTCAATTCCGCTGTTTATGTTCTACTGTAAGGCTTAAACCAACTCCAGCCCTACCAAACATCCTCATTTCACCCTGAACTTCCCCCAGAGGACGTGTTCACGTCCGGACTAGAGCTCTCGTCCGTCAGCCCTCTGTGTGACGTGTGTGAGGACTTCCTCCATCTTACCCGGACAGCTATGACTAACCCCGCCCTTGAAACTGCCGTAAACGCGGACGTCAAAGTTGCTTGTGCTTTCACTGGATTCTTCCACAAAAAGGTGCTTGCTGTTAGCTGTTTCTTAGTAAACAAAACTCACTAATCAATTCAAGTTTAACTATGCTTTCCGAAAATTATAATATTTTATTTATCTTAACCCTCAATATTCCGTCAATACACGAGCAATATTTTGATAACGAATTTTCCAGTGTGAATCGTATGTTGATGCGTTCACTGATGCTATTTTCGGAGAAGTCAGGGACACTTTCGAAAAGTTTGATGATCACAAAACTTGTGTCCTTTTCAAATTCTGCGAAGGTAAACCTAATGCAACATTTACTCATTTTCAATAGTAGTGATCATCAAACATGTTGTCAATGTTACAGTAAGAATAAAACATCATGTTCAAACTTCAAAACACAAATTGCTTTTCTCATAAATTCTGAAATTTCAACGTTCTAGATACCGGCAACAAGACAACTGTGTGTGATGTTTGCATGGATTCATTCGGCGAGGTGTCCGAGTTCATGATTAGTGAGAACCTGAGGAAACTGGTGACAGATGGTGTTGATCTAGCCTGTAGAGCTTCAGGACCCCTCAGCAGAATTGTGGGTATAAATTGCATGATTCAATATCAATACTATATTTAATACGTTCCTAAACTCAATATTTACTCCTGAGTATAAATTGCAATTTCAATATCAATACTGTAATACGTTCCTAAACTCAATATTTACTCTTCCTTTATCTGCCTTTCTGAACTTTAATTTGACAGGCTTACATTGCACACTGAAGTGTGTTTCCATATTTCATTCATAATAACTGAAACAGCATTGATAATGATGCCAACCGATCTTAATAGCTTACTTTTTATCGTAGTGCAAAGAAGAAGCCAATAAAGTGATCGATATCATATTCGGTGTCATTGACAAAGTTTTCGAGATTGAGACAGCAGAGAGATTCTGTGGCCAAATCCACCTCTGCAAAAGACCAGCTCTCTTTTAGAAATCTTCTGGTAAGTTTTCTGAATTGTGCTAGACTGGTGACGTCACAGAAAATTGTGCCCTTTTATAATTGTTTTGTCTCTCAAACCGTTATATGTCTGATAACTGTTTGTATTTTACTTCATTTTCAATCTCAGATCAAGAATAAAAAGATATTCAGTGGTAATGGAGAAACAAAGACGACCGCTCAATGAATACTCTTTTTTGGCTGTATTGAAGATGGAACAATGTTTTTAAAAAAGGATAATTGACTGAACTTTCAGTTTTAGATTATTTTTGGGTTCGATTCCTCAGTATCTATGATTAGATTTGTATTCTTTTCGGGATCTCTTTTAATCATTGAGACAAATTTGTGGTATTCTAAGTTTATTTATCATTTATATTACTAAAAATAATACCTGTGTTTTTATTTGGTTTACACTTATGAGCTTTAAAAATCAAGAAATATTAATTTGATTAACTATTTAAGACTATGGACTAGTCCAGTCGTTTAACTAGTACTGTGCTGGACGCCTTATTTGTACATGCTGGACGCCTTATTTTTTCAGACTCAGATTTGCAGAGACGGTAGATTATTAAATGTTGCATCTGATCTGAAAAAATGATGTGAAACAGATTTGAAATGATGAAGTTATCAAGCATTTTGTGTATCTCGTTAACAAAATTGACTGGGTGATTATGTGACACCGTGACACGACACGTTAATTGGGCAGCCTTAACGATTCCCATAATCATAATGTTTAACGGGGTCACCTTATCACGTGATTAGGTAAGCCAATCACCTGATCACACGTAATGAATAAACTCGTTATGCTTCATATTTCGGTGATCTGAGAAGCTATAGCTCTCATTTTCTCATTTTCAGGACAAACGTTGATTGACGACGTGCAAGAATGCTAGTTTGCGCGGCGCGTCAAAGCGGCGAAGTCCTCCAAGACAAACGTAATTCGAATTGCAAAACACAATTCAATAAAATTTGGCTTGTATCACGGTCGTTTCATGCACTAGGTCGTTTCCCCCTTTATCGTCTTACTGGGCCGCGCTCAGCCTGTCATTCCGCCAAATCTTTATCAAATATATGTTAATGAACATAATAGCCTGGGGTCCTCAGGTAATTATCGTCGTGACTATAGTTATACAGGGGGAGCTGCGCACTCGTGCGCGGCGGGTCATACAACTACAAGTACAACGTATGACAAAATTTGGCTAGATCCGACTATCCAAACTATCAAATAAATGCGAAAATGAACCTTAATTCTTTTAAAATTGTAAATGAACACAAATATTTTTCGATTTGACAAATTCCTCGAACCAGTGGTGGTACTAGTAGTAAGTCATACCAGAAAGAATTATTTCAATTGGGCACTCAGTGACTGAGCTATTTTATGAAGGCCAACGTATGGGTACGGACTTTTGGCCCACCCTGTACAATATAGTAATTATAATATAACCCATGTTGAACAAAGCAATATTCATCGTACATTTGCATTGTTTTCTTCTTAGTTCTTGAAGTTGAAGACACGGAGGGGGCAATCGCAAAGGTATCACTATCAGCCCGAATGGACGCAATGGAAGTTGACGGAGTTACTCGTCTAAATTTCTTCGAAGTAGTGCACGGCGCCGGGCTAGTCCATTAACAATGGACTTACCTGGGGACCCCAGGCTATTATGTTCATAAACATAATAGAATAGAGATTCGGTGGAATGACAGACTGAGAGCCGCCTTGACATACGTTGCATGCCACTTTTCGCGCGCGAAGCGCGCGCCGCCGAAGGGATACGAAACATGTATCAAGAGCCGCCCAGTAACCTTTATTCTAACAATGGACAAAATGGAGGCAGAACGAGTTGAACTGGATCAAGCATACGCCTGGCAGTGGCAAGCTCTTCACATGGCAGCAGCTGCCGCTTGCAGAGTACATCTACTGGAGGCACTGGATCTTCGGGAAACGCTGTCATCGCTAAAGAAAACACAAGAAGTTGTGACGGTATCTGCGGAGATACCGCGTTCAACCTGTGTGACGCTGTAGTCTCCATCAGTGGTTACAAAGGAAAAGCCACATCATACTCGCAGAAACTTGGCCACTTCTACAACCTCTGCACTCTGATGTGATGATCCCGGGGTCACGAACGAGAAGTATGACGAGGTGAAGGCAGGAAGAGATGACGTGTTCAAAAATATGGACACCGGAAATTGGTACTACCGCCCCAACAAGAGAAACAATAAATTAAGAATAAATTAAAACTGCATTCTCAATGAGAAATCACTGGGTCATTCGTTTTACTTGACAACAGATATTTTCAATAAATTAGATAAAATATTATAACCCTCAATAAATTGATGATGATAATTTAGTTCGTGATAAAATAAAAATTCAACTCAAGATCAAAGCGTTTTGGCTAAAAATGGTTTTAAAAGTTCGATGATATTATCAGGCTTCAGCCACCTCAGTTTTGATTTTCTTCTTTTTCTTCTTCTTTTCGACAGTTGAGGTGTCTGTGGTTGATTCTGTTTCTTCCTTAGCCTTCTTCTTCTTCTTCTTCTTTTTCTCGCCTTCAACTGCTGCTCCGTTCACAGGTTTCTGGAAAATAAGTTGTTAAAATTTGGACTCAACATCGTTGATTCGCAATACAGTGTTATCAAATTGGGTTAATAAATTATACTGTTCCACACTTAAATTGACAATGCCAGGGTTGCAACGAAAAGAATACTTGATTAATAAACGGGGAAGCTTCACATGACGTTAATTTAAATTTGCGTAACAGGCGTAAATATAAGACTATAAAAGTTTTTTTCAATTTACAACTGACAAGATGTATTTTCCTACTTTGACTTCATGACCTCTGATAGAAATGGACTCAAGTTTTTATTGTTATTGTTATCAATTTTTAGACCAATCTTTTGAATGAGTAGGGGCTGAGTATTATGCGTATAAACAATAGAAATTAACTATGCTGCATATTAATACTGTACATCATATTGACGATAAAGAAGACGGTTAAGACGGTTATCAGTCACACCGTTTTTTATGCTTAATATATGTTAACTTTTACTTATGCTATATAAGCTCACTTTTTTCTTGATTCCTTTCTCCCTTGACTTTAAACCCTGCAATGTCTGATTTTACAGTTTTTGGTACTCTGGTTTGGTTTCGCAACACATATGAACATGATATATATAAACATATGAACAGTTTACAGTGCTGAATATAGACAATAAATATGCTACATTGTACTAAATATTGATGATACAGAGGGCGTTTATCACAGTACCAATTCGTACACTGATTACATACATATATGCTCACTTTTTTCTTCAATTTTTTGTTTTTTCCCTTATTGGTTTTAGACTTTTTGGTCTTTTTAGACGCCTTTTTTTTTCTTTTTTTTTAAAAAGAGAGGCTGGGCCAAGATAGCCCACGAGAGGATAGCATTGAGATGCTCTGCCTACCTCTGGGGTGTGGCAACCTTGGGGAAGGTTGCCGGTGAAATCAGAGTGATTGGTGGAGGATGGTGTAAGATGATATATGAGTCAAAATGATACGCTTAAATGCCAGCTGGGTTTGGAAAAGTAAAACGAGGCGTTTTTAGACGCCTGCAATGTCTTCCTTACAGTTTTTGATACTCACGTTTTGTTTCACGTATTTATATGTTCACCAACGAATATAACAAGACTATCATTCCATATGTAGAATAATTAATACCATCAGCAAATATAAGAGAGTATCACCACAACTGTCGATCCTTCAGGGGATAGATTATCAATAAAAAACGGGTAAGGACCCATAAATTGAAGTGTTAAATCAAACCTCTTCAGTTGTTCCGTTGCCGTTAGTCGCGACCACTTCTATCTTGGGCTTCTTAACGGTCTCTTCTTCTGCTGATTCTGAAATAACATCAAACCGATTAGGGTAACTGCGTCAAAAATTGGGAACATGACCTGCACAACTAAGAACAATGTGCTCATCATCCATAGTCAGTCATCAGGAGTCTCAGATTCAAAGATTTTGACTAAATTAATGTCAAATATTACCTTTCTTTCGTTTTCCTAGTTGAACGTCTACGTCTGTGTTGTATTTTTGAACTGGAGTCTCATTTTCATAGCTCTTGAATTGTTTTCTGAAGCTACCTCCACCGCTCTGTCGTTTCAACTAGGATAGAAACGTTAGTTTTCATACTTTGAGATGGCGACGAGAGTAGAGAACACAGAACTTTGAGTAACAAGTCAATTAACTAAATTACAAGGATTAAGAATGAGCTGATTGAAGAGGACCGTAGATGGAACTACATGCGGTGACTGTTAAAATCAAAATGGTTAACAAGCTTCGAGCACAAACCTGCTGTTTCTCGAGCTGTTTCAGCCTGTTTTCAATCTTTCCTCGGTTAGCAAATGCGAGCTCAGTATTGGATTCTCCCTCTCCGAGAGCGTCGTATCTGATTGCTAGAGATGCTTTGGCGGCCAGCATTCTGGAGATCTGAAAAGATTAAGTAATTTTAGTTTGGTTCATGAGATGTCTAGTCGATGCAACCTGCACTGAAATATATGTGGCTAAGTTGAAAAGCATGTAATATAACAAATTTGGTTGACAATATCACCGACATAATATAAATGGTTTCTTACCTTTCCCTTGTGTTTAGGCTGAGATTGTCCAATAAGACTGGCATGGTAGATCAAACCGTATTTAGGGGTATCGTGCTTCGTCTTCAAAGCTCTGAAAAAAGGAACTTGTTATTATTCTAAGTATTCTAAAGAAACCTACAGATCAGACAATCATCCCTTTACTAACTGTAACTTATCTTGCTCTCTGAGAATAATTTATGGATTTGAAGAGAAACTGTGTGTTACACCCGGTTGTAGCATATCATCCCTAGATGCTTAAGTAAAGTTAAAAGTTATGACAGAGTATTATCTTACCTGAACAAAGCTTTCTCGGCTCCCAGAATCTGAACAGTAGAAGATGGGTACTTGGCAAGGTTGATGAGAGATCCAGCGTGAGCTATGAGTCTAGCACCTACCAGCTCTCCCACCAATATGGTGAGATTGGGGGCGATGGCGTTCATCCTGTTCTTCAGATATTCGTACAACTGACTCCTGTAGTCTGTTATCGTGGTGATCTGTGTGCACAGATATTGGATGTTCATTATGTCTTCTTCTGAGATCTCCGTTCCCATGGAAATTTCTGATGTTTTCTTTATTTCTATTTCTATTTCTTCTGTTACAAACTCGGAGAGATCTAAACCGGTTGCGTTCGTTCTGAAAGTTATTGTTTTTGGTGACACACTAAGACCCTAGCCCCTATATAAGTGGGGTTAACTAATTTATAAGAAAGGATTTGTAAGGTATGGAGTCAAATTGTAATGCTTCAGAGCTAAGAAAAAGAGGTAACATGTGAATCGACATAGCTAACCTTTCACCAAGAGCCTGAACAACTTTAGCGTACACCAAATTGTCGGTAATAATCTTGGTTAGTTCGGGGAAATGCCATCCGTACCATTCTCGGCATCTCATTATGTAGTTGTTGAGCTCCTTGTCAATGTCATCCAACAATGCTGAGAAGTATTTAACAGTTATTCGAGATGCTGATTGCTGTAAGTGCAATTACAGTGTGCATCGTAACCAGATAATACCAAGGAGTGGTTTATAATAACCTGAAAATGGTTTAATTTCGATCGGAAACCGCGTGATAGATCGGCTGACGTGACAGCACAGGGCGAACAAATGTGTGCGCTATCACAAACGCGCGCGTAAAAAGATGATCAAAATTGAGCTAGCAGTGAAAATTCACCATGGATAAAACCATCGCGCCTTCGTAAACCAATGAGTTATGAGCCAAACAAGGGCCACTGAGACGAGACCCCAGAAGCTCTAATCCTTGCCGCGTAAACAGGTAAATGAGCTTAAATATGGTGAAATATCAAGTACAGTAAGCCCACAGAAATCCTATTATTTTCTTTGACCGCAAAAAAACAACTTACAAATAGCTTGAATGATCATGGTGTCGACTTTGTCCGGGCTGAACTTGAGTTTATATCTTGAGAGACTGTGAGCTAGACCGAGTGACATAAGTCCCATGTTCTCCTCTGAGATTCCCAGTAGACTAGGGGCTTGTTGTCTGATACCTCTGTATAACTCGCTGATGGCTGAACTCGTTACACATGGCAAGTCTAGGGAGTCCTGAGAATATTTGGGGTGAGAATAACTCATTAACACCTCAGTGGGGCAGCTCTGCGTGCAAACACAATAATAATTTGGTTTAGAAGCTTTACAAAATAGAAGGTATCAAACTTTAAGATGAAGATAAAAACCTTGATGGCTTTGCCGAGAGTAGCGTCCTGAACTGCAATCTGTTCCTGTAACCCGCCATCTATAACAACCTTCTTAAGGAACTTCTTCAGTCCTTTACCAATTTTACCTGAACATTACTAACTTAAATGTAAGTAGTGGTTAAAAAGGAACTAGAAGGTTCTGTCTCAGTATTGTAGTAATGAGAGAGTACATTTTGTACATTCATTGTGAAGTGAGTGTAAGAAATGTTTTCTACTATTACTTAACCTACATCACTGACAGAAATATAAAATATTTGAATATCGAGCACTTCTGTATGGTCTAGCTGCTATCTCGAAAAGTTTGTAAAATTAGGCAAGTTACAATACCTTCAATGAATCCAGTAGCGGCAGCCAGAGCATCAGTGTTGTCTTTAAACTTCTTGAACGCTTTCAGCTTCACTATCTATAGAGGAAACAGAGTGAACAACAACAAAAAGTGGAAATAGTGTTCAACAATATATCTTTATCGAAAACGTATGAAAGCAAGATATTTTCATTAGTTCCAATTCTAAGTTATCGTACCTTGCTGGCTCCTTCTGGAGTCTCAAAATCTTTGGCAAAGTCGGTAGACTCAGTTATCTTCTTCTCATCAAGCACCTGAAGGTAAAAACATTATGAATTATGTTTTCTTCCCGGCATGGCAATAAAGGACAAATAGTTGTAATAGTGCAAGACTGAAATATTATTATGTTCATGTCATCATTATGGAAATAGCGTTCCGTGGCTGTTGTGATACCTTGCAATCTGGGAGTTTAAGTAACATTGAAATGTAAGAAATAAACCATACTCCAAAAAAAGAGAGTACTACTAACCTTGAAGAGTGACAGGCCAGCAGGGGTCTCAAACAATACCAACATTTTCTAGCCTAGAATAGTTGATAAATTATAATTATATTAATGAATCTTTATGAATTGTGATATGGAACTTGTTTACCAGTTAGATAGATATGGAAAACGAACTAATGCACTAGAAAAGTATTACAATCTTTGAATGGACAACATTATTTTTAGACATGCAAAATTGTTTAGTAAACAAGCATTGTTCTAGGGTAGACAGATTTAATAAGATCACAAAACAAAATCAAATGAATCAGATGAATTTTCTTAACGTTGTAAGAAGCAAGAGATGCAAAAATATTGCAAGAGTGGATATAAATACAGACAAAAACATAGATTCATGTTTCGGATCGAAAGTTTCGATGTTGCACAGTGCGATGATATTTTGGAGACATGTGTGATGATGTGATGTCTTAAATTTTACTTTACTTTACTTTGCAACTAAAAGTTTACAAAAAATATGAGATGCAATGATAATAAATTTAATGGAAAATAAGAGAGAGATATTTAAAGCTAATACATGTATTGTAATGTAATTAAATTAACATAATCATTTATTGAAGGAAAATTCACATGATAACATTAACAATGATTAAAAACGTTGTATTTTAACATGTCTATTGCACATAATTCCATATGGAATAAAATACATTCATTGAAAGGTTGAATCACGATATTAGATATAATAAGAATGAACAAAATGTGCTATAAACCTTAAATTTATGAAACATTAGATTTTAAACCTAACTGCGAATTAGTTAACGATACAGTGTCGAATTTATGTCCCAATGTTCAAAATCCAGAGTCCCGCTCAATGTACCAGGCTTGGCACATGTTACACATTCCGCTAATAACGAACTCTTTAAATCTCACCTCGAGCTGATTATCACAATCACACATGAAATCATTAAACTTGGCAAAGTCAACTGTTCCTTCCCCCACACACGGTGGTTTCGCATTAGCCAGCATTTGAGTCATAGCATCGACAGGAATAATGTGCATGCAGGGAATTTTATCTACAGATGCACAGGTGCTTTTGCTTTCTAAATACTCTGTTATGTATTTTACTCTGAATAGGTTATCAGCCCTTTCAGTACTCCAGTACTTGTGATCCAAGACCATCTTCAACAAGTCTTTGATTTTACCATCAGGCAACTTATCTGTATTCCTCTTGTATATGGAGCCATCTCCACATAGCTGACCAACAAGGTTTGAAGAACTCACGGCATTAGCCATCTCTAGAGGTGAGTGAATTGTGGCAGGACAATTATTTTAAAATATCATTATTATGTAATATAAGATACAAATGTTAACAAGTCTAACTTAATGACTATGGATGACAGGCTAGGAACAGTTTCCGATCAGTATACTCTACAACAAAAACAGTGCTTCAAAGACCAGCACACCTTTCAAACCTAATTAATAAATAATTGTGGACAAAAGGTTTCTGTCTGTAAAACTTATCTCACTCACTTGAACAATGGTTTACAAGGCACAATTAAGAGTGCCAGAAAGAACATTTTGACAGGGCCACTTCTCATTCAGCTCTCAATCACAGATTACCCGATTGTTCAGTTTAGTAGACTTGAGGAGTTTGCATGAGAGTCCCTAGCGAATGTGGGTTACGAACCTGTAATCTTCCGATTAAGATTCCCTTCGAGTAGGCCCCTCTACTTTGTAATTTCCAGTAATTACAGAAAGGAATAAAAGCATAAGTAGAAACTATGAGAGGACCGTTTAAGAGCGAGAACTGTTCTCAATATTTAATGGCTAGGTGGCTTAGTGCAGTGGTTAGAACTTCCGCCTTCAGAACAGAATGTCCAGGGTTCGAATCAGTGTCATTTAGCTAGGGATCCAATGGATCTATGCGATCTCCTCGACCAACTCAGCAAAATGATAGGAAACTTGATTGAGGGTTAAATGAAGAGGGGTACCTGTTAAAAGATCAAGAATCTAACTAGGATACCCCTTCAGTAAATCTAAATTGAAGCGTACTGCGAACGTAGTACTATCAACTATAAACTATTATTCTATAACATTATAGCCTTGGCAGGGTTCAACCAGGAGGAGAAACGAAATGTTATATTTAAGAGAAACAAACTCTTCTCAGTAAGGGCAGGTACCACTACCACAGGGTACAATTAATTTTATCTAAGAAACAAGTCTTAACAAGTCTTATTGAAACTAGCATAGCTATAGCTCATGTCAATCAAAAGGGAGAGCGTCTTTCATTCCTCTAGTGTTTTCTACAGCAGGGACTACAGCACCAGAATGTGACAGATTTCACAAACGTCTTGCTAGATTGATATCAAAGAAGAGAAAGGAGAGCTACACAGATGTTATCAACTACATCAGGACCAAGATATGCTTTGCTATGCTTAAAAGCATAGTGGTATCAGTTCATGGTGTGAGGAGTCAAGAAGAAAAGAAAGTAACAAAAACGGTTGCTGACACAGCATTTGGACTTATACCTAGTATGACCTCTTATGAGTGCCGTTAAATTATTAACAGGAAAATTGTTTTAACTTTGGTTGATCCAATGTTTTATATCAGATGTTGATTTCTTAAAGATAGGTGTATATTTTTGCTATTATTTCTATGAAAGGGGAGGTACGGATAAAGTACCAAACCTTATTGTGTATATTTGGTTGCAACTCCGGTAAATGATGAAACATGTTTCTTATGAGAGTGATACCGTGAGTTGCTTCCTTTTTTTTCATCAAAAGGGAGAGTATTTGCTACCATGTAACTACCCTTACAAACTATATTGAGTCAAGAATATAATTCGCACTACTCTAATGATATCCTAATGTAAACCCTCAAAGCAAGAATAGAGATAATCGTCGTTGTGATGACTGATTAGACTGGTGAGCATGAGATGTCCTGATACAAAGACAATGCAGAAGTCGACAGTTTCTTATGGATCACCAGCTCAGACCGGTTCATAATTGCATATCGCATCGCAAAATGATCAAAGAATTCTGATCATTCGTTGACTGTTCGACTATTAAAAGACGGGCAGGAAAGTCAGAATTGAAATGATGTGGCATTGTAAAGAAAAACCTCCGTAAATTATGCTTATTGTAGGAAAGAAAATACTGAAACACGGTGTGGAGCACTTACGGAACTAACATTCACTGCGGGAACACACTGACAATTCAAAACAGGTCAATGGAAACCAAGGGCAGATGTGCGATTTCGGTAAAACTTCGAATAAGTTGTAAGACCCCAAATCCGTAGAGTGTTATCGCTGGTTAAGTCGAATTCGAATTTGTAAAATCACTGCTGTAGCGGTCGATTATCGTAATACGAAATACAAATATAGGCACTGCTGTCTTATTTCTCCGTAAAACGTGTCTTATTTCTTTGTAAAAACACAATAGCTTGAGTAGCTTTTGTATCAACAATCAAATTGGATGTGCATTCGGTAGAAATTTAATTCACGATGTCAATCCTTCGCATCTCGCCGCTTTGCATAAAGTGCGAGAAGCATTATTGGATTGATTGCGAGAAGCATTATTGGATGCGCGCGCGGACCAGTAGTGCATTGCGCTACAAATCAATATGCTTATCACAACGAAATTGTAAATAGTATAAAGTTGTGAATTTAAAAATGCTTTGTATCACGTCATGACCCAAACTGTCGTTTCACTTTAGTGGAGTTTCAACGATACAGGGGGAGCCGCGCACTCGTGCGTGCAGCGCGTGGCGGGTCATACAACGTAAAACAAAAACGTATGACAAAAAATGCTGGCGGATTAAATTTTTCCATTGTTTATTGACTGACCTGGCGCGCATTATTTCGCAGCACTTGCATAATGAAATGAAATGAAATGAAATGAGGTATTTATGTCCCGCTCATATGATTAACCAACAACACAAGGAAGAGGTTAACCATGTCAGAGCGGCTGACTGTGAGTAATGTGAGCAAATGTGTAAAATGAACAAAATTATAACTCAAAAAGGCTTAAGACAAAATTAAAACATCTTTTATTGTAAACACCACACTTAACTAAAAAGAAGCAGAAACCATACAATACGTGTAGGTATTATAAATGATAATACAGTGACATGATCAACAAAAAAGAGAGACAGATCCTAGAAAGGTAGAGATCAAGACATAAAATGGAGTGCAGAAAAAATAAAAGCCAATGTGTCTTGCAAAGTGAAGACAAATGGGAAGAAAAAACATCAAAACTGATTATATAAATGGTTCTTTAACATTCGCTTGAAGCAGTTGGTATCAGTAATACATCTCAACATCATTGGAAGAGAGTTCCATGCAATCGGTGCATGGCTTGAGAAACGTCTGTCATCAACTTTGGACCTTTTATTCTTTGGTACCTTTAACATGAGATGGTCACCAGATCTTTTCGACCTGGTCATGGTGTTTGAAAGTTCTGTATCCACTACAGCCACATCTAGTAATGCTTTTAGGTAATCAGGTGCAGTACCGTGAACTGATTTGTGGGTTAAAAGAAAAACCTTAAAGAAGATTCGTTGGTCTATAGGGAGTATGTGGGCCTTCTTATAGAAGGGAACCAAGTCCGTGGTTCTGTCTTCTATGTTATAGATGAAACGAACTGCCCCATTAAGGGTGGATCTAAGTTTGTTTAATCTGGTCTTGGGTAGATTCATGTACAGAGAATTACAGTAATCTAATTTAGATATAACCAGTTGTTTCACCAACATCAATTTAATGCCTTCATCCAGGTAACGACCAATAGTTCTTAAGTTCATCATTGTCCAGCTACATTTCCTTTTCACATTATTTATTTGTCTTTCCATGTTTAAAGTTTCATCAAATTTGACACCTAGACTCTTCCAGCTGTCTCCTTTGCACTCCGTAGGTAGAATTTCAGTGCTTCCGAATTGTAGTCTGACACTGAGTTCACACTTTTTTAGAACATGGCTCTTTCCTAACACCAGTAGTTCTGTCTTTGTTTCATTCAGTTTCATGTAATTGTTTACCATCCATGTTTTGATCTCTGCAAGACATTTGTTTGTCCTGTCTTGGACATCAGTGAACTGTACCACACGGTTTGGTTGAAACGAGATGTACAGTTGGGAATCATCTGCATATAGCTGTATATCAAGACCATATTTGGCAGCAATTTCTTGGAGAGCTACACAATATTTCGAGAAAAAAGCGGCGCGCGCTACTTCGAAGAAATTTGGACGAGTATCATTGTAGCGCGATGCACTACTGGGTCGCGCCGCGCATTTTCTCGCAGATCGGCGAGATGCGAAGGATTGACATCGTCAATCAAAAGTATCATTGATTATAATCATCCGTCAACAGTCATCGTAAATCGAAAACTTACCACAAACCCCAGCAATGAATTACAGCTGCTCGCCCATTTCCTAATTTGCGCACATTTGTTTCATTTTCTCAATTTTTACACCTGAACTGCTGAGAGAAGCTAAGCGCATACAAATAAATTAAAAAATTAATAAATCAAAAATTATACTGGTTTAGGAAAATGCACAAATGACAAAGCAAACTTTTAACAAATTTGTAGAATTTGAACAACACGCGCTGCGCAGCAAGTTCATAATTTCATACATATTTTCAAATTCTATATTACTAGAAAATCCGTGGTCACAGGGAGGAACCTAAAAGTATTCGTTGGCAGTCAGTTTTAATCGTGTCAAAAAGTATTCATTCCCACCAAAGATACAGCCAATTAAAATGTTGATTCACGATGTCAATCCTTCGCATCTCGCCGATCTGCATACATATGTGGTTGCGAGAAGCATTATTTGATGCGCGCGCGACCCAGTAGTGCATCGCGCTACAAATTAAAATGTTGCTCGCACTAAACTGAAACACAACGTAATATTTGATACATGTTACGTATCCCAAATATCAGAGATATATTTCCGCCTTCGGCGGCGCGCGAAAAGTGGCATGCAACGTATGTCAACGTAATATTAACAAAACCGATAAAAATGCCGTTCGCCAATCTTTGCACGTGCATGTGCGTGTAATAACCCTCGTTACCATGGTTACTTTGCAACCTTATGCTTTTTACCTAATTTGCACGTGGGCGGTCGTACAAACATTGTACAAACATTATACAAAGGGAATTCTCTGAATTATAAGTAAGACTAGAAAACCCGTGGTAAGGGAGGAAACTAATAGTATTTTTGTTAGTAAGTTTAAATCGTGTCAAAAATATCCTACACAAGTACACAACTGAAGATACAGCCAATTATGTTGCTCGTACTAAACACAGCGTAATATCAACAAAACTGATCAAAATGACGTTAAAAAAATCAATGCACGTGCACGTGCGTGTAATAACCCTCGTTACCACGGTTACTATGTAACTTCCTATTTCGCGCCCAATTTCCACGTGGGCGGTCGTACATACATACAGCAGAAATAATTCTCTGAATTATAGTAGAGATATATAATCATTAAAAAACGTTGTTCTGCGTATATTATATATACCAGGTATCGTATAAAATGGGTTTGTAACCAGTAACACAGTTTTATATCAAATGCTTAAATTTGTGTTAAATAGCAATGTTATATTATATTGGTATTATTCCAGTTGAATTATAAAATTTGCAAATTTCGATGAATAGTCCACACTACATGCACACAATCTGATGCTGAACATTTCTGAAAACTCTGTTTTTGTGAGCTTTAGACACAGTAAAATTTACCAGCCATTTTATTGAGACATCATAATATTAATATGTACCCATTATATTGAACATTTTATTACACGGAGACCCCAGGCTTGGTGTTTAAAAACACTACCGATTGAAGATGCAGAGGAGTGACAGGCTTGCTCTAACCAGAGCCCTCTCGCTTGCAGTAGCGCGCGACCGCCGAAACAAGAGCGTCACGCAGTACGCGTATACACATCACACATGGCTATGTGAAGTGACAGGCTAGACTGAATGCCGCCGAAACAAGCGCGTCACGCAGTACGCGTATACACATGGCCTTATACTCCTTTCACTCGACCTTATACTCCTTTCACTCGACCAGGAAACCACTCAAAAGCAACTTAATATTCTCGGTAATTTTTGTAAGGAGTGGGGCATTGAAATCAATGAACTCAAAACTCAAGCAGTCATCTTTGGTAAGAAAACGTTAAAACAGGACATACAAAACATCAAATTTACACTCAACGGATCTAATCTTGAAATCGTTGACAGTTATTGTTACCTTGGTTTTGAACTTCATCAATCGGGTCAAGTACAGATCGCTCAACAAAACCTTAAAACCAAAGCAATGCGTGCATTTTTTGGCCTGAAAATGGTTGTCATGCGTTCAAAGTTATCTTTTAAAGCACTCCTTACACTGTTCGACTCTCTTATCAAGCCCATTTTATTATATGGTGCTCCGATATGGACACCCACTAGTACGATCAATAAATCTCTTTGCAAAACGATTAACTCGACAGAAGCAACCGCTAAGTAAAATACAATTTTTAAGTAAAATACAATTTTTATTTTCCACAGAAGAATCAATACATATTGAATTATAAATATCCGATAATTACATTAATAATCATTAAAAGTTGCTTTGTCATTTGTAAAATCAAAAACGAAAAGCCGTACGCTGAACTGTGAACGCGCGCGGCGTTTTTTCTGCAGCTGCCTAGCTTCAAGCTTGTAGCCGCTTGTAGCCTAATAACTTACTTAAAAAAATCAGCGCCTCTCTGCAAGAAAGAGTGCATATTTCATTCCTAAAATGGGCATTGGGAGTCCATCGTAAAGCATCAAATGTAGGTGTTTGGGGAGAAACAGGAAGAATTCCTCTGATTTATCAATCAATTCGCTTAACGTTAAATTACTTCAAAAGGCTAAATACAAAATCAAAGTCGAATTCGTTTGTCACTGCAGCCGTAAAAGAACAAAAATCACTAAACTTACCTTGGTATCGATACATAAAACCACTCCTTGAACTAGATGAAATTTACAAACTAGATCACGTAACTGCGCACCGAATTCTCAATACAAATGCAGCTAACAAAGCCGCGCCCAACCCTGTAAGTGATCACAAATTATTAAAAGACTCCCTCATAAATCAGTCAAATTTTAGTCAATCCATCAAACCACTATGCAGCAAAAAATATAGAATTCCTAAAATCATCGAAGCTCTAACCAATCAATTCAAAAAATGTTGGCAATACCAAAAATCTACTTCTTCTAAACTCTCATTCTATCACTCAATCAAACACACCTTCAACCGAGAGCCCTACTTATACTTATGCAAAGGCTTTTCTCGTCGTTACAGCACCACAAAACTTAGAATCAGCGCCCATGATCTCCATATTGAAAGAGGCAGATACTCCAACACACCCCGTGAGCAAAGACTATGTGGTTGGTGCCAATCAAGTATGGGCGTTGAGACCATCGAAGACGAGTCGCATGTTCTTTACATATGTGACTTGTATTCAAAACAGAGGTCGAAATTAGTCAAAAATCTTTCTCAAATGCCAATCATTGAAATAAGCAATGAAATCACCGACTCCAGCAATATCAATGAAACAAATCTCAAAGATCATCTCATGGAAATTTTGTCTCCTTACTCAACTGTAATTCCTCAAAATCACCAGAGCCTCCATATTCACTGCCACCGCTCACTTGATATTCAACCAAACACCCCACAGTATATTCAATTTCAAGAAAGGCGCTCCTATGCTGTCAACTGTGTGTGCACTTATTTCCTTCGCTGCTCCGAAGAGCGAAATAGCTTCACCGAAGATATGCGTCAGCGTAATTCAAATGCACGAAACTTAAACAATTTTACTATCAATTTGGTGAGAACCTCGCGAATTAGTCATAATTAAGATTTAAGGATAACCCTGGCCTTGACTTCAAGCAGAGATGATTGTTTTCATTAATCTCTGTACAATTATGACGGTCCATGATAATGGATCTATAATTTAATTTTAATCCTGTGTAATCCAATCCTGTGTAATCCTGTGTAATCCATGGCTATGTGAAGTGACAGGCTAGACTGAATGCCGTCTAGTAAACACTGTTACTCCTCCTTTTTTCTGTCTTAGCTTTACATTATGTCTTGTTTGTCCGATTTTCCACTCGATCATTGAAAAAACGAGCTATGGGCTATTTGATAATATAATTGTCATTAGTGGGTTGGTTGTTTTGTAGTATTGGTCCTACCAGTACTGTCACAAACTGTAACCAACTGTTTAAAAATAGGTTAGCTTTTGCTAAAATTTGGGCGCCATCTTAGGGGGGTGCAAAATTGTCGTTTGAATGTGGGACAAAAGCTGAGGTACTAGCAAAACTGCGCGTTTTGCTCTAGAAACACACTTTTTTAGAGATTTTACCGGCGTACGCTCTAAAATCACCTAATTTGTTTAATTTTAGGGAGGGGAGCTAAAAGGGGAGGGCCAACAGGGGGGCGTGGGGGGGGGGGGGGCAACAGGCAACGTTACGCCACTGGCCTTTGTATCAATGGTTATAATGCTTCAAGGTGGATATTGGAGAGCTGGCGAAGTAAATTGGGTGTGCTAAATCAGGGTTCTACTGCATATAGAATTTTAATGAATTACGTTTTATTTTTTGAAATAGTATTTAAATTTTACTAGCAGGTATTTGTCTAACTAATTTATCTATTTAATTTAATTTTTTAATTATCCATACTGCTCAAAAAAATTTCAATCGTTTATCTCTTGCAGTTTATGGTTTATGAGATTAACTTTTTACACCTATGGTGGTATTAACTGAGAGAAGGCTTGCACACTCAGACATCGTATTCTGTATTAGAATAAACTAGTAGTATATATTGTATGCAATTAAGAGTCTGTGTCCTCTTGAAGGAACACAATGCAATAAAAAGGTTGCTCAATAACTTTATTTAGCAATAACCAAACTATGAGCACGGATAAAGCTGATGTATTCCTTGGGTCTTCCGATGCTAAAGATGACCTAGAAGTTGATGGCAGCAAACTGGTAAGATCACATCACTAATTAGCTTGCAATTTGTATTCGCTTCATGATGTGCAGCATTGGTGCATAACCAGCTTACTTAGACTTCTGTCTATGCATGTTTAACACTTTTCTTATTAAGCAATAAGAACAAACAAATGACTGAAAATCCTCCAGGAAGCTGGTAAAGGCGAACTTAAATCTTCTAAGATAGCACCAGTAAGCATGGTAATTTTATCTTTATTCTTTAATTATTCTGTCGTATGTATGTATGTATGTATGCATGTACATATCTTACTTTTGCACTACTTCTTGCACTGAAATGTAAAATAAAAAGCTCTTTTTATGTCCTGGCTTAAAATGAAATTTGGAAACTTTGGTTTAGCAATTTTATTGCATGGTTTATGATATTCACAACAAATCTTAGCACCAAACTAGGAAGCGGAAGAAACAGAGAAATTTCATCTTATCACAGGCCATTACAGCTTCAAAGAACATCTTTGAATAAATTTTGGACAACTACAAGATTATCCTATCGTCTACTATTATAGTATAATACAGCACCTACTAATAGACTCAGTGAACATCTAGAACAGTCTAGCTAGACAAATAAATACCTCACATTCTTTTCCATCCAGTTGTAGTGTTCTCCTAAGTGCATCTCGGCTTTTCTTTTGAGATGGCCCGGACTCGTAAAAGTTGAACCACTGTCAAGAATATACCGTTAAAGATAACACTGGAAGAATGAATCATAGTTTGCATTAGGTTCCCTCGCCCACTCATTTGATAGATAGAACACTTAAAAATATAATCAAGAATGTTCAAGATTGAGGATGGAAGGAATGTGATCAGGTTGCTATCTATCAAATGATCCAGCACTTGGGACGCTGGTTGTTGGTTTAAACCTACGTAAGAATGTTAGAAATGGAATAGAAAGCGTCAAAATTATAAATTATCATTACATCTTGAAACTAAAATTAAATCTATGTTACTTAAAAGCGAATGGTATAGAACCACTAACCATATTGTTGTCACGATCTAGCATGTTCTTTACTCTTTTCTTTCCCTTTTTCTTCAACTTTTACCTGAAATGAATGTTGTTAATAATAGCCTAGCACAGACGGACTTATTTGGTGTTGTACTCAAAAAGGAGGTATGTACAAGATACAAGATACAACAAGCTTTAATTAATATTTATTCTTCGTTAAGTGTGCTAGTCATAGTGTATTGTGTATACTTCGAACAATGTACCTCAATATACACACGGCTGCTCATCATTAAACTACAGTACACTTTGCTTTCGTTAGTCGTTTCAATAATATGTACTTACAAGTCTTGATATTTGGCTCCACTTCATACCAGTTCAGGATCTAGTTCTTGTTGGTTCCTTTTTTTCGTAATGATCGAGGAAGCTAAGGATGAGTCTAATGAACTTGTACCAAAAGATAAGGATGATTCTGATCCACTCGTATCTACTTGTGTGAGTGTTCGATATCTTTGTTAAGGAAATTGATCTTTTACAAGGATGAGATGTGTCATAACCAATGCAGTGATATCTGGCGAATGTTAACAATTATAAATACATGCTTCCCCAACAATCATTAAGTTATTTGCCCAATTTAGCGTTCCCCGATTTAGCGTACCCCGATTTAGCGTACCCCGATTTAGCGTACCCCGATTTAGCGTACCCCGATTTAGCGTACCCCAATTTACCGTACCTTTTCCATTTCCCTTCAAAATTTTTGAAAAGCATCAAAATTTTGAGGTTCTTTCGTGTGATCCTGATAAAGCTGCTTATAAACAGCTTATAAACGAGACCTTGATTTACCGTACATTGATTCTTTCCCCAAACTGCACGGTAAATCTAAGATCGGGGTTTAGCTGTACTTATACCAATCTACGTCAATCTGAGGTGGTTAGATTTAAAGTTAGATCACGAAACGCTGCACTCTGCAGTTAAGAGTGCTCAAGTCTGTTATCCATTAGTACACATAAACCAGGCACACTTTGGTCTGAGACTAATTATTTCTGGAGCCCGGGAAATGTATCTTGTCTAAAGTCAAGTCCGTAGGTCGATCGTTTACATGTGTGTTATCAGACCAAAGACGGTAGGTTCTCACTTCTCACGTGCTACTATTTTCTAGATAAGTCTACAGACATCCTGAAATCATTTTGAGATCATATTTTCAAGAGACTGTAATGTTTTGGCCCCAAAGTTTCCATCCTTACCTTCAAATCAGACTTATAACGCTGAGCAGAAGATTTGATCAGAAACTCAGACCGTCAAATTTACATATTGTTAAATGATAACACTCCATTTATTCCTCTTGAGAAATAATTGCCAGCTAAAAGTTGGCTCAATAGTTAGTGAACGTGTTAGTGAACGAACGATAGTGTCATGCATGTACGCACGATTCCTGCACATGCAATGTACATATATTCATTCTTCATAGCCACAATCAATAAATTAGTGGATTGATTATATGAAAGATTTCGAGACAATAAGATAACCGCGCCCTTATTGACTCCCACTTTGGCAAATACCTCGCCAGTTGGAAGTATTGGGGCACAACAGTTGGAAGTTGATCTGCTGATAGTATGGTGGGGTTGATCTGCTGATAGTATGGTGGGGTTGATCTGCTGATAGTATGGTGGGGTTGATCTGCTGATAGTATGGTGGGGTTGATCTGCTGATAGTATGGTGGGGTTGATCTGCTGATAGTATGGTGGGGTTGATCTGCTGATAGTATGGTGGGGTTGATCTGCTGATAGTATGGTGGGGTTGATCTGCTGATAGTATGGTGGGGTTGATCTGCTGATAGTATGGTGGGGTTGATCTGCTGATAGTATGGTGGGGTTGATCTGCTGATAGTATGGTGGGGTTGATCTGCTGATAGTATGGTGGGGTTGATCTGCTGATAGTATGGTGGGGTTGATCTGCTGATAGTATGGTGGGGTTGATCTGCTGATAGTATGGTGGGGTTGATCTGCTGATAGTATGGTGGGGTTGATCTGCTGATAGTATGGTGGGGTTGATCTGCTGATAGTATGGTGGGGTTGATCTGCTGATAGTATGGTGGGGTTGATCTGCTGATAGTATGGTGGGGTTGATCTGCTGATAGTATGGTGGGGTTGATCTGCTGATAGTATGGTGGGGTTGATCTGCTGATAGTATGGTGGGGTTGATCTGCTGATAGTATGGTGGGGTTGATCTGCTGATAATATGGTGGGGTTGATCTGCTGATAGTATGGTGGGGTTGATCTGCTGATAGTATGGTGGGGTTGATCTGCTGATAATATGGTGGGGTTGATCTGCTGATAATATGGTGGGGTTGATCTGCTGATAGTATGATGGGGTAGATTAGTTATGCGCTGTATATTATGCAGTGTGCATGAAGTGTAACACTTACCTGGTTTGGAGCAAGTAGGAGTAGCGGTATAAGTGTAGGAAGTGATCCCGAGACACGTGACTGTGTTATCTCCTGATTTGATATAGCCAGGTCCACAGGTCAGGGTTATCTGACTTTGGGCGACTATCGGGAAAGTAGCTGAAGTCAGCACCCTATCCCACGTTTCATCTAGCCCCGTGCATCTGTCTGTAAGGGTTTAAAGTCAATCTCACTACAACTACTTGATATAGCACAAGTTACACCTTCTAACCAATCAGCCAGCACTACCGACCAATCAGATCCCAGTATTACACCTTCTAACCAATCAGCCAGCACTACCGACCAATCAGATCCCAGCATTACACCTTCTAACCAATCAGCCAGCACTACCGACCAATCAGATCGCAGTATTACACCTTCTAACCAATCAGCCAGCACTACCGACCAATCAGATCCCAGCATTACACCTTCTAACCAATCAGCCAGCACTACCGACCAATCAGATCCCAGCATTACACCTTCTAACCAATCAGTCAGCACTACCGACCAATCAGATCCCAGCATTGCACCTTCTAACCAATCAGCCAGCACTACCGACCAATCAGATCCCAGCAATACACCTTCTAACCAATCAGCCAGCACTACCGACCAATCAGATCCCAGTATTACACCTTCTAACCAATCAGCCAGCACTACCGACCAATCAGATCCCAGCAATACACCTTCTAACCAATCAGTCAGCACTACCGACCAATCAGATCCCAGCATTACACCTTCTAACCAATCAGCCAGCACTACTAACCAATCAGATCCCAGTTTCTCTGTCACGTGTTAAATACAATTTGACCACCTCCCCATCATTACCCCCGACTAAACAGTAAACAGTTTGGATATTATGCTAAACCGATAGTAGATATAGATTGATTGGATGTAAGCTAGACACACGAGGTAATAACAGTCCTAAGTCAGATGTTACTTACATGTTATACTGTACTCCCTTGTCAGATGTTACTTACATGTAATACTGTACTCCCTTGTCAGATGTTACTTACATGTTATACTGTACTCCCTTGTCAGATGTTACTTACATGTAATACTGTACTCCCTTGTCAGATGTTACTTACATGTTATACTGTACTCCCTTGTCAGATGTTACTTACATGTTATACTGTACTCCCTTGTCAGATGTAACTTACATGTTATACTGTACTCCCTTGTCAGATGTTACTTACATGTAATACTGTACTCCCTTGTCAGATGTTACTTACATGTTATACTGTACTCCCTTGTCAGATGTTACTTACATGTTATACTGTACTCCCTTGTCAGATGTTACTTACATGTTATACTGTACTCCCTTGTCAGATGTTACTTACATGTAATACTGTACTCCCTTGTCAGATGTTACTTACATGTTATACTGTACTCCCTTGTCAGATGTTACTTACATGTAATACTGTACTCCCTTGTCAGATGTTACTTACATGTTATACTGTACTCCCTTGTCAGATGTTACTTACATGTTATACTGTACTCCCTTGTCAGATGTTACTTACATGTAATACTGTACTCCCTTGTCAGATGTTACTTACATGTTATACTGTACTCCCTTGTCAGATGTTACTTACATGTAATACTGTACTCCCTTGTCAGATGTTACTTACATGTAATACTGTACTCCCTTGTCAGATGTTACTTACATGCTATACTGTACTCCCTTGTCAGATGTTACTTACATGTAATACTGTACTCCCTTGTCAGATGTTACTTACATGTTATACTGTACTCCCTTGTCAGATGTTACTTACATGTTATACTGCACTCCCTTGTCAGATGTTACTTACATGTTATACTGTACTCCCTTGTCAGATGTTACTTACATGTTATACTGTACTCCCTTGTCAGATGTTACTTACATGTTATACTGTACTCCCTTGTCAGATGTTACTTACATGTAATACTGTACTCCCTTGTCAGATGTTACTTACATGTAATACTGTACTCCCTTGTCAGATGTTACTTACATGTTATACTGTACTCCCTTGTCAGATGTTACTTACATGTTATACTGTACTCCCTTGTCAGATGTTACTTACATGTTATACTGTACTCCCTTGTCAGATGTTACTTACATGTTATACTGTACTCCCTTGTCAGATGTTACTTACATGTAATACTGTACTCCCTTGTCAGATGTTACTTACATGTAATACTGTACTCCCTTGTCAGATGTTACTTACATGTTATACTGTACTCCCTTGTCAGATGTTACTTACATGTTATACTGTACTCCCTTGTCAGATGTTACTTACATGTTATACTGTACTCCCTTGTCAGATGTTACTTACATGTAATACTGTACTCCCTTGTCAGATGTTACTTACATGTTATACTGTACTCCCTTGTCAGATGTTACTTACATGTAATACTGTACTCCCTTGTCAGATGTTACTTACATGTAATACTGTACTCCCTTGTTAGATGTTACTTACATGTAATACTGTACTCCCTTGTCAGATGTTACTTACATGTTATACTGTACTCCCTTGTCAGATGTTACTTACATGTAATACTGTACTCCCTTGTCAGATGTTACTTACATGTAATACTGTACTCCCTTGTCAGATGTTACTTACATGTAATACTGTACTCCCTTGTCAGATGTTACTTACATGTTATACTGTACTCCCTTGTCAGATGTTACTTACATGTTATACTGTACTCCCTTGTCAGATGTTACTTACATGTAATACTGTACTCCCTTGTCAGATGTTACTTACATGTTATACTGTACTCCCTTGTCAGATGTTACTTACATGTTATACTGTACTCCCTTGTCACTGCGTCGTCACTGTACACCTCCACTTGGGTGAGGAGGTTGCGGAACTGCTCCACAGTCAGACAGCTGCTGAGTGTAGATTGTGACACTGACATTACCCTGTTGCTCACTCCATTGGCCTCACATTCCAGGTACAGCTCGTTGGAGAGTTTGGAGATAGAGAAGGTCCAGATTCTTGTGTTGCCTGTGGGGATGTTCCTCATCATACAGCAGTTTTCCGGTCCATCTGTACAAGGGTGGAGGTCAAACATGATGTAGGTTGTGCTGCTCGTCAGCTCACATTCGAAAGCCACACTTGGAGAGAAATGGATATCAAAGTGTCCTGAGCCTACAGTTTTCAATCGGAGTGACTGAACCTCATCGCTTTCAGCGGTTATCGTCGTTCCGGCAGAAATTGAAGTCCACCCTGAAAATAACATTAATTAATTACATAGTCCGTGCGCTGACTTGATCTCAACGATGAAATTTAAATTTTTATAACTTCATGTCGTTTTAGATGGTGGTACCATAAAATAGACTGATATCTTGCTATCTTTTCAACCAAGTGGATTATGGAAATATCCGATATATTTTATGTTTGGACAAAAGTAACAAAACAAAGTAGTACCCTGTATCAGTGAGACAGCTGCTGAGATAACCAGTGCTTTCAACAATGTTCTTGCTATCATTTCTAAAACACTAAAACAGTTTCATGATGAGATTGAAACGAAAAGGAACTTTTAGAAAGTAAAAACATTCGAATCATTTAAATGAGTGGATTTATATTGATTTCCGTGATAGAATTGCATAAAATCGGGAGATATTTCGTTGTAAGCAGTAATCTCTCACGGAACACGAACATTGTGTAAACTGTATAGTCTTCATGAAGTTTTACGATAAACGATTGACAGATATCGTGCGAATTTGTAATACATGTAATACTAAAGCATCACAAAATGTGTTAGCATCATGCTTCTACAAAGTTAATTTGAATGGTGTACAGACCATCTGAATAGGGTCCGAGACCCTATTCAGATGGTCTGTACACCATTGTGCAACAAATCACGTGATGTGAACTGTCTAGTTCCAGAAGCTCGATCACACACAGTAGTCTAGTAACGACAGGGACTATGTTACCATGGTTACCATCAAGCAAGTGAGTTCTGAATCGGAGTTGGACGTAACAGCTGCAAAAATATCAACCCGTTTTGATTTGCGATGAGCTAAATATGCGTCAAAACCTTTACGCGTCGACTTTTGGTTTACTACGGGTATGTGCCATCAAGATATGAATATGTAGTCTTGAGTAGCCTCATCTGACTCCTACATCACGGACATCACGCTTACATCACGGACATCACACGAGATAAACTTAGGTCCTCTCCTCAGGGACATGTTCGTAAAGTCCTCTCCGTGTGAAAATGGAAATTTCCTCCGCATAGTAGTTGGCAACCTATTGCATATTCAGTAAACAAGTCATGGCACAGTAAGACTAAGACTCCCTTTGCCTTATATATATTTATACGATTATGAAGATGAGATTAGGTTGGAGCCTGGATGGATGGAAAATCTAAATAACAAGAGAACCAGCAAACAAGAGAACAGCTAGGTTGGATTCCTATTTTAATACCTTCCTGCTGCTGTCTAGTTTTACTAGCGGACAGGCGCACTCGTAGCACTAAAAAACTAAGTTGCGGATGAACTCTTCCTCAATATACACACTAAATATACACACTAAATATACACACTAAATTTTAGGTGCTCACTTGTCAAAACAAATAAGGTTCATCTTGCAGCCAGATATAAGGCTTTTCTGATGAAGAAGATTTTGATTTTTGGCGAATGCTGTAATAATTTCATATTTTCAGAACACATGGACGCGGAGAGATGAACTTAACGTGTGGAAGAATGTCATGGTCATTGGATTTGGTTTCATGTTCCTGTTCACCGCATTCCAGGTATTATTCCTCTACACACAGCAGAATTTTCTTTAATGAGATCAGAGCCACTGTGACCATACTAACTAACAGTATCTACATAGCGAACATACCTAACCACAGTGGTTAGGTAACTGCAGTGTGGTTAGTAACCTCTGATATTGTTAGAATTTTAAGTAGGTATAATTGTACATGATGCCGTAAACAATGGCCCTGTTGCAGAACATGGCAGCCCTCCAGTCTTCTCTGAACCCGAGTGACGGTATAGGGGTCTACACGTTAGCTATCATCTACGCAACCATCATCCTGAGCTGCTTCTTCTTACCTACCATATTCATTAAAACGTAAGTAGTTACCTGGTTACCTGGTTACCTGGTTACCTGGTTACCTGGTTACCTGGTTACCTGGTTACCTGGTTACCTGGTTACCTGGTTACCTGGTTACGTTCGTAGTTAAACATGCCATTACTCATTATTCTTCTTACCTACCATATTCATTAAAACGTAAGTAGGGGACGCCCGAGGTGAGACAACTAAACTTATACTGTTTGACAACTTGAGTCAACAAAATGATACAAATTAATGATACAAATTCCTTAGCCCAAAAATTAAAACTGGAATTTCCAGTGTGGTAGATACCATCACCTAATTAAACTGACCAAGTTTGAAATTCCAAAGTGCTAGTAAAGATATACCTGGGTGGTAGGACTGCAACTTAATAGCCACACCCTACAGTTGTCCATATACTTATATCCTTGTGAATCAAATAAACATCTGGAAAGTGGCTGATATCGGCTAATTAGTAAGTTAATGAGAGGGGGACTGCATTTTGGGAGTATTTAGCATAATTTATTAATTTATTCTGCCGAATATTAAAAGACAAATCATCAAGGACTTAGGACACCAATATGCCTGTATTAATATACTTCGATACTAATATGGAATCACGGCGTCTAAATCAACCATTCACCCGAACAACCCGAAGAGTTCATATTTTGATATTTAACCATTTTGGCCATTACGTTGTAGGTCAAAAATTTAATTATTAAAATTCGAATTGATTTCAGTTTTAAATCACCCAATGTCCAATATGCCAGGTTGAAGGTGAAGTTGTCTTTAGTGGTGTGTCAAGCTATGTATACTCTCTACATCGCCGCTCAATTCTACCCTAAATGGGGAACCCTCATCCCGTCCTCCATTCTTCTCGGTAATGTGTGGGACTGTTTTTTATTATTATTAGGCTACAAAAACTCGATAAATGATTTAAAACACTCAGTTTCTGTAAATTGTTTAACATCGGTATTCGGTATAAGGTACCCACTGCCCCAATCTAAATCTAATCATGGGTGCCACTTACAACAGCTTTTAGTTCACCTACAGAGTACAGATTTAATTAATTTACCTTAATTCACAGCAGGGTGAAGAGATAACGTGATTAACAAAATAATAAATGGTAATTGAGCTGAGCTGCAAATCAATGTCTTTTGTTAATTAAAATTGTAACAATGGGTCTTTTATCTCAAGAATTCAATTCAGCTGGATTTTTCGCGACTCCTGCAGGCTCCGGCGACTTTGACTCAAACTAGACTTCACAAAAATGAAAATTGATACACTCTTTTTTGAACAGTTAATGACACCGCATCAAAATTTAGTTTTTCGGAGTGAATAGAATAAATCAAAGCTACTGCCTGATGGATCATGATGTGTAATTTTTTCCTTTCATTTCGACCGTTACAAAAATCCAGAAACGATAGGTAGAGGTAGGTGCTAGAGTTTATATCGTTCGTAGTTAAACATGCCATTACTCATTATTCATCAAATAGTACGCCATACGCTTTGTTAATCAGTCATGTGTCAAAACAAGGAATGAGAATAGCTAGCTCTAAATATCTATTGTGTGTCATGATAGCAGGTTACCTTATACGTTATAGAGGAGTCAATAACGATGATGAATAGTGAGAAGTGAGTAGACATCATTATTGTTAATAGAAGCCGGAGACATAGACCAGAGACTGGACTCCAATGACTTTACAGTTGAGAGATTATTCACTTTCCATATTTGGTTTTCCGTTGAAGTCCGACCAGAAGTCCGACCAGAAGTCCGACCAGAAGTCCGACCAGAAGTCCGACCAGAAGTCCGACCAGAAGTCCGACCAGAAGTCCGACCAGAAGTCCGACCAGAAGTCCGACCAGAAGTCCGACCAGATGTCTGACCATAAGTCTGACCATAAGTCTGACCAGAAGACCGACCAGAATTCCGACCAGAAGTCCGACCAGAAGTCCGACCAGAAGTCCGACCAGAAGTCCGGCCAGAAGTCCGACCTGTAGTATGGCCGGCAATTAAATACGTTTTCACAGGCCTGCAGAGTGCAGACAAGTGTAGTAGGCTGCAATTCACGTGCTTTATTTCGACAACTAAAGTTCTTGTCAAACTAGGGCACGTGTAGTAGGCTGCAAAATCTTACTCCACAAATTACGCTGTACTCATGAATAATCTCCACTGTGGTCCTGAACTTGTGCCCCGAAAAGGGTCCTAATTACGATTATCAGGAATTATTAATCTTCCTTTGCCCGTCATGTCTAATTGGAGATAATTTGCAGGATTGGCGGCGGCCCCAATGTGGTCTGCAAAGTGCACCTACCTGTCGCAGATGGGAACCTACGTCGCCAAAGTGAAGGGGACTAGCTCGGAGGTCCTGATTAACCGGTTCTTTGGGATCTTCTTCTGCATGTTCCAGACATGGGGCATCTGGGGCAACATCGTCACCGCAACAGGTAAAGTGGGGCATCTGGGGCAATATTGTAAGTACAACAGGTAAATGGGTAAAGGAGACAAGAGCGGTAGATACGAGGTGGAGGAGACAAGAACGGAGGACACGAGGGTGTAAAACACAAGGGCGTTACTTTCCTAAAAGGGTGAACATGAGGGCGAATCAGATGAGTAACTTTAACATGGGGGGGGGGGGGGGGGGGGGGGCAAAACCAAACACCGTCCTAAATGATGAACTAGTAATAAACTTGTAACATCACAAAATTTCATTTTAACTTTTGTTTATAAATAAGCGGCCAGGTAGCGCAGTTGGTTAGAACGCCTGTCTTACAATCGTTAGGTTGCGAGTTCGAAACCCACTGACTGCCTGGTCGTGGGGTGAGCGTCGTCGACGTTCAGCTAAGGATCATGAGTGGTCTATGCAGCCCCCCGGTCTACTCAGCCGAATACTCGAGAAATCGGGTGTGAGGGTTAAATGAGGAGCTGCACATTGCAGCAAAGTCTCGGACGAAGAAAGTATGGTACACACTACCTTAACCGTCACTGGCCAAAAAAGATCCTTCGGCTTCCTGTAATTGGCTGGTTGCACTTGTGTAACATTGTGGCTGTTGGAATACACCGAAGTAAAATAAGTGTCTAGATTAAAAAAAAAAAAAAAAAAGCGTCAACCTACTTTTATACACATTAATATATTTTAGCTGTTACCATATAGCAATATTCAATCATTCAACTCGATTAAAACCAAAAAGGCTGAAGCAAAGACGGTTAGGCAAACAAATAAAAGCCTAAATCAATTTGACAATCGTTCACTCAACGGTTTGGTCATTTGTATGATTATGATGAAAAACATCAAATTAAATTACTAATATCTGGCTTGCGTAATACTAATATGTGATAACTTATTATCAGCAGGCCTATTTAGTAGTTTACAAATTTATTGAGAGGAAGTAAGTACTAATGGCCGTTTTAAATGGGAGAACTGATGGTTTGAAATGGAGTGAACACACCTCAGTAAAATTAGACTGCCCAAAGTGAATACCCGTCCTGGTACGTGCTACCCCTGATAGCGACTGCGACAATCACAAGACCGAATTTGTCACATGAACTGATGAACGTTTAAGCAGTGTTTGATTGGTTTAAGCACGTTACCAAACCCCAAAATCTGCTGCTGAGTTGGCTGAGATATTTTAGGAAAATCTCTCAATTTTTGGCTCGTTTAAATATGGGTGATTATTTGTCACATCAGTACGTTTTGTTTCAAATTTACACGTGAGTAGATCCAATTGTTCGAGCTAAGCTTTACCTCAACCTGACGGTTGAGAACATCAAAAAAACCCGTTTAATCTTATGTTTTGCCAGTAAAGTTTCATAAGATGTAATTAAATGATTGAATATGGCTATATGTTAAAAGCTAAAATATATTAATTAATCATTTGTGTGTGTAAAATTAGGTGGACACTTATAGACAATAGTTAAAATGAAACGGTGTTTGGTACCGCCCTCGTGTCCATGTTTAAGTGAGTCCTGTGATTCGCCCTCATGTTCACTCTTTTAGGAAACTAACGCCCTTGTGTCCTACGCCCTCGTGTAGGGTTCCCCAGGTAAAGTTGGGCATCTGGGGCAATATCTTAACCGTGACAAGTAAAATGGGGCATCTGGGGCAATATCTTAACCATGACAAGTAAAGTGGGGCATCTGGGGCAATATCTTAACCATGACAAGTAAAGTGGGGCATCTGGGGCAATATCTTAACCATGACAAGTAAAGTGGGGCATCTGGGGCAATATCTTAACCATGACAAGTAAAATGGGGCATCTGGGGCAATATCTAAACCATGACAAGTAAAGTGGGAATATTGGATAAATTTGTGCGCTCACTGTCAACTATGCAGAGCAATATAACACATATCACTTAGTTTGGCGTATTACCAGATTTTGGGGGATATCAACTTAGCACGGAATCTACCCGTTATATTTAATTTAACTGCGCACTTTTAATTTTACATGTAGGTTCATTTACAAAGTACCCGCTATTTGACGTCAGAAAATACCAATCGTTTTTTCATGATACCCGAAATGGTGAGGTAATATATCCGTAACCGGCGACTCAGACCACGAGAAAATGACGAGCAGCTTTGTTAGTGACGTGTAACTATCGAGAAGTCGTATATCTCCGTTATTGAGTGTATGCGTTGTGTAATGTGTAATTAGATAGGATTGAAACATTTTCCGTATAGGGATGGGCTGAAACAGGTTTCATACCGTTCGAGTACAAAAATAAATTTTTCCAAATGTTTGGTTGAAAGCAAAAGGGTGTAACGGTAAATCAGGGTTTACGGTTAATCAGGTGCAATGAATCGGAGTTTACCTGTTTTTACTAATGTAAGAGAATACATAACTTTAATTATAGTGATAAACAATGTGCCCTTAGTGCTAGCCCCAAAGAGCGACTGGATGGAGCCTGATGCAGCAGGACTAGCTCAGTGTGGAGCTAACTTTAAGGTAGTACACGACGTGGTAGCCGAGGTTACAGACAAGGGAGGGGAGGTGGAAGAGGCTGGTGTTGCTAAGGAACAAGTCTACATGCTGGCAGGGATTTACCTCGTCTTCGCTATCATCGGTCCTACCATCATATTCTTCTTTCTAGATCCTCTATCTAAATACGGGGAGGACGAACGAAAAGAACAAAAGGTTTGAAGCAAACGAACAAAAGTGGCATGAAGCGTGCATTTGTAGTAAAATATGATAAGATAATAGATACTGACCCTGTTTGGACAGGGTTGTCGAGGCTATTACGAAAAATAAACTGTTGTATATGAGTAGGTTGCCGAATATATAATATCTATTAGCATTATAGTAAAGAAATGTTGATTATAAAGCAACTATTGAAAAAATTTGATAATTATGATTAAATTATAATTATGTTTAAATGACAATAATAAAGTAATGTCGTTTAAATGAACAATCTCCACGCCCTTTTTGACCGGATACTGATGAAAAACAAAAGGCATAGGTATACTTAGCAGACTGGCTCAGACCCCCTGGGCCCTAGCATGTCAACTGAATAGTTAAACTGCGGGCAGAAAAGTGCTGTCAAAGTTGTGTGTTGATGATTAAGATATGATTATACCCCGACAAGTTACAAACTATATACTTTATCATAACCACAAAAAAGAAAGAGTTTTAAAAAGATAGTTGTAACCTAAGCATGACGACTCTATGTCAATACCAAGAAGAAGACTGTCGTCTCAGTTGTCAATAAATAATACATTTTACTACTTGGACTGTAACAAAGACCAACATGTAGAGACAAAATCCTAATTCAAGAAGGATATAAACATATTTACAAATATAATCACTTTTTCTCACGAACATTTTGCGTTTGTCAACGCACCTACCGCAAATCCAAAATAGGTCAGCATATCTATGTTTTTTACTAAAATTTCTATTCAATACTTGAACTACCTCACTCACTAATACTACCCAGGGTAAGTCAGGAGTACAGTTGCTGATGGCTACCTTCTCCCACTTTGCTAAGAATAAGTACCAGATGCTAATCATGCCCATCACCATCTGGAGCGGGCTGGAGCAAGGATGGTTTGGGGCTTCTTTCACAGCTGTTAGTCATCTTCTCTTTATTTTAAGGCTCAAACTTAGGTAATAGTCTGTGTATTGAGTGATTGTTATATAAACTTAATCCCCTCCACATTTCATCCCACTTCCCATCCCCAGGCGTTCATTACATGTCCTATCGGAGTTCACAATATTGGATACATCATAATCGTGTACGCCTCAACTGATGCCATTTGCTCTTTCCTGTTCGGCTGGATTCTCAAGAGAATTGGCAGAATTCCTGTTTTCCTCATGGGTACGCTAAATAGTTTCGTGGATCGATTATAGTAACCATCACAGGAATTTTCCAAATTGTCCTAAATTCAAATCAATTCGATACCTGGCATTTTGTGCAGCCAGACGCTTAAGAAATAATCCATCTTAGGAATTTATTTATAAAAATAGCTTTAAATTCTGAGTACCTATGTTTTTTCAGCGGCGGTGTTCAACATGTCGGTTATATTGATTCTGTTACACTGGACTCCAACTGTGGAACACAAAGCTTACCTTTACCTCTTTGCTATTCTCTGGGGTATGGGCGACGCTGTTTGGCAAACACAAATCAACGGTTAGTTCCCTTTTTCAACGGTTAGTTCCCTTTTCAACGGTTAGTTCCCTTTTTCAACGGTTAGTTCCCTTTTTAACGGTTAGTTCCCTTTTTTCAACGGTTAGTTCCCTTTTTCAACGGTTAGTTCCCCTTTTCAACGGTTAGTTCCCCTTTTTCAATGGTTAGTTCCTTTTTTAACGGTCAGTTCCCTTTTTCAACGGTTAGTTCCTTTTTAACGGTTAGTTCCCTTTTTCAACGGTTAGTTCCTTTTTTAACGGTATGTTCCCTTTTTCAACGGTTAGTTCCCTTTTTAACGGTTAGTTCCCTTTTTTCAACGGTTAGTTCCCTTTTTCAACGGTTAGTTCCCCTTTTCAACGGTCAGTTCCCTTTTTCAACGGTTAGTTCCTTTTTTAACGGTTAGTTCCCTTTTTCAACGGTTAGTTCCTTTTTTAACCGTTAGTTCCATTTTTCAAGGAGAAGTTCCCCTTTTCTCTTTCTTGAAGTGTATCTGAGATTAATGAATGGCAAGTTGTTACTTCCTCCAGACTATTCGCTACACGTGATGGGGTAGAAAAATGGAAGGAATTATAAAAATAATTATTATAATTTCACCTGTCGGTACTGGAAGACAAGTTGATTTTATCAGTCGGGCTATTGCGTGGCACTTGGAAATTAGAAGTTAATTTTGCAGATTGTCTGAATTATCTGTACTGTTCTGGGTAAATACAAATAGGAATTAAAACGATAATTTGTTCTAGAACTCCAGTGTTTTTAAGATGAGTTCAGCTAACAAACATAGCTAAACAAACCGTTTTCACTTAAACCAAATTGTGATTTAATTATGAAGTAATCGAACTAACCGAGCTGAAATTACTGGAATTTAGTGAAGGGAAGTTATGTTCTGGTTAAAGTATAGTTATAGTTTTCAACAAAGCTAAACGGTGAAGTAATTGTTGGTGGTGGCAGGTGATTTAGGCGAAATCCGGACATTTTCGCATAAGTTGATAACTGTAAAGCAATATGTACTCAAGTCTGTGAATAAAACTTAAGCTATTTTAAGTAAATAACTTATTTCATTACTTACTTGTCAATCATCAGCTGTATTAATATTTTAACGTAATATATTAAATATATTCTTATCATTATTATATATTCTTAGATAAAGCTCTTCTGTATTAAAAAAAATGTTTTACATAATCAAACCATGCATGATTTTCAAAGATGCCATGGCCAAAAAGTATAAGGAATCTGAAATGAACCTACGAGAACACTTTGCACCTTCCAGCGGTATCTCTCCCATAAACAAATTAAATAAGTATTCTCCGAGAATTTATAAATTACTCGAGGCCTGGTAACTAAAGAGTAACTAAATAACATATGAGACATATCGATTAGGTTTTGGGTTCTGCATTTTTCCAAGACTTGAATGTTTTCATGAAGCTTCCAAACTTATTGATAAAGATTATTCTAGAATATTCTAGAATAACGTCGAAGTTTGTAGTCTGGATAATATTACCGTCTGTATATCACAAACAAAGTTATAAGGTTGGTAATAGCATTATGCGTTGTTAACGTCATCATGTGTTATCGTCATTATGTGTTAACGTCATCACGCGTTAACGTCATTATGTGTTAACGTCATCATGCGTTAACGTGACTGAGACATGGGTACCAGACATGGTTAATGCATTTTTCTATGAAATTTATTGATAAAGATCATTCTAGAAGTTTCACGGTCAACTTCAAAAGTCTGAACCATATTACAGTACGTGTTACAAACTGAGTTATAAGCCCAGTAACTTTACAAAGCCTTGAAGTCATTATATTTTATTATATTATTACACAATACTAGATCAAAATAGAATTCCCGAATAAATTTAGGAAATACTAGAATAACCATTATATTATTAGGTGTCCAGTTCCTTCTTTCTATTGGCCAGAAGTCACATGAGTAGAAACATATAAAGCTGAAACTACTAACGTATCCTCACCGGCAGTTGTCTGGGAGGTCAAATGAACACGACAGGATCTGTCTAGGTCATACTGCCGCGGAGGAGGATAACTTTCTCCTACGGGGTTGTTCACATATTACGTAATCACTTTTTGAACAATTTTTACACCCCCCCTTCGTAATCAGTTTTATACGTCATAGCTATTGTGTCAAAATAACACTAGCGTAATCATTTGGGAACCCACATCCTGATTACGTAATATATGAACGACCCCTAGTTTATAATGAACTGAACGAAGGTTCTCAATAAAGCTGGATTGGAGATGGAAATTCCTACGTTTACCTAAACATCATGACGCCGAAAATTTGCCCTTACTCCTAACTTCCTTGTTTCACTTGTCCTTGTCTCTTCCAACCGGATAATATCCAGATATCAGTATTTACCTAAACAATTGAATATGTTCATCTGTTTGCAAGTGAACACGAACGTGGGAGGCAGAAAAGTGGATAGCGAATGAATTTATTTTTTCCGATCTGGAGAACCTTTGTGGGTACAATGAACTGTAAACTAACGTCTAACAAGTGAAAAGTCTTATCAAAAGTTTGATATCAACAATCATAAAGGTACAGAACGTCCAAATAACTTGCTAAATACATCATACCGGGGAAGTGATCGGCTAAAGCATTGTTTTTAAAAGATCTCTCTATTTTTAAAGAAAATTTGAAAATTTTGTGGTTATTTTTTTGCATGATTTTATAAACATATTGCTGAAGTGGTCATGTAGCGAGTAGTTATTGTCATTAAGTTCGTAAATATTAAAGAAGTCCTATAGGACCAATGGCCGACACCATTTACGGCCGACACTCGGGGTAATTTATTATCGACTGGACACACTGCTTCATTCGATTTCCAAGCATTATCGAGCACATAGAACATTTCGATAAAGGATCTTGGGAATTTGAAAAAGAAATTGAATGATAATACTCAGCATATCCTGATAGTCGGTGAGTAATGGACTATATTATATATAACTTAATATCCGACTGTCTCCTACTCTACGAAAGCAGTCTACAGTTGGCTTGCCCCAGAGACTTGATAACACGTACTTTCTGGTATGATCATCAGTATATTTTTCTAAACTTTTTGCACCGACAACGACATTTTTAACAATGCAGCTGGCATAACGCCTACCCAGTAGAAGTAGATTATTAGTGCGAACTGATAAAAGTCAGTATGTGCTAAATGTGATACAAAGTGACACCAATGTGTGCTCATTCAGACAGTTTTAATGCAGGGTCTGTTGACCCAGCGAGAAGGGCCATTACGGGTCTCTCTAGTAAAGCAGAGAAAACAGATCTTTGGTAGATCTAGTTAGGTAGAGAATCACGTCTGCCTCGAAATATTGTTCATCCTTATTATCCATACTCAAGTAGTTCATTTGAGCATTCTCTGGTTCACGATGTTTTGATCTCCGAATCTCTATAGAGCTATAAATAGTTCCCGCCCCCCTTATCCAATTCCAGGTGGCTCCCCCATTATGTACCACATCAGTGTTTAGACATTAAACGTGACCTACGCGACCTATGGAATGTGCGCTGGCTATGTTCTATTCAAATTTGATGTAAATATCTAATTTTGTCGAAAGGAAATCCAAAAGAATGTCGGTTAACAGTAGAGAACAATACAGTAATAAACTTTTGTATTTATTCATTTTAATGATTCGCGTGTTTGTCATGAGCTTTACGCGTGTCTCCTACAGAACCGTATGTGAGTATGTTAAAGTGTTGCTTTAGTCTACTAAACCAACTCCCTGTCCCCTCAATTCGACCAATGACCCCTTGGTAAGGTCATCTGAAAGGGGTTTCTAAGGATTCCTGGCACGCGGCAGCACAGATTAGATGACAAGAAAATAGAAATATAATAAATACAACAATTTCCCTGATCTGTCTAATCTTTGGAAAATGTTTAAAACTTGTCTAGAAAGAAGCCTTGTCAGCCTAAGTTTAACTGTAAATTTAACTTCCTTTGAGGATCATATCAAATATTGAACAATGAGTTTGTAAATATGTACAGAAAAGAATTTTCAGAAAGTTTTAAAATTCTTTAAATTAAAACGATATTTTTACAGCTTTCTACGGAGTGATCTTCCCGGGCCAAGAGGAGCCAGCCTTCTCCAACTACCGTCTTTGGGAAAGTCTCGGGTTCCTGGCAGCCTATCTGATCGGCAACAACATCGTTCTGAGTGTGAGTTATTACATCAGCCTCAAAATGATTCTTTAGATATCACGCTGTTTACGCTGTTTACGCTGAGTGTGAGTTATTACATCAGCCTCAAAATGATTCTTTAGATATCACGCTGTTTAAGCTTTCCGTTTTTATATATCGTTCCGGTGGAACAGAATTTATTAATAATAAAAAGTAAAAGTGGTAATTTAACTTTCTGCTCTTGGGTTAATGCAGTGTTAAAAGTGATGAAATGTTAACGGTTTATTTGATTTAGCTTAGTAATCAGTTAAACCAATTTCCAAACCAATTCCCCTGATCGCCCGTCTAACAGACCCTGGTAATAATTGACAGGTTTCTTTGCCACGTATATTGTATATTATATATTAATATATGCAATAATTGAATATTTGATAATACGTGGCACGGGCTGAATTGTAAGAGCAAACTTTCAAAATATGCATGATTGTATGTCATTGGTATGCAGTTCGCGTAAAAATTAAATGAAGCCGCTTTTCGATAAGAATACCGGAATTGCGCTTGAAGGTATTAGAATTTAGATAGCCCCTCCTAAAGGTATTAGATAGCCCCTCCCTAAACCCCTCCTTTTCAGACGTTCATGTGGATACTAGTGGGGTGGCTATCTGTCTCCTTCGTGGGATACATCATCATAGAAGTGTTGGAGTACAAGAGAACCGGTCACTACAGCATCTACCTGTGTGATGGCGGCAAGACTACAGCCGTAGAGCAGGATCATTAGGAGTTTTATTTGATAGGAGAAACGGTGATTAAATCACAAAATTAGAGTCGAAATGTAGTTTTGAAATATAGGTTCATTTAAACTCTGAACTCCGCACCAGTTTGAGGACAAAAGGTTGTAAATTTTGCCGCTAGTAGGAAAAACAGTTGGGCATTTTCATTAAATAAAGTGGGAGCGTAGAGATCTGGAGATCTGGTGTAATTTGATCTGAGATTATATGCTATACTAGTCCGGAGTTTAGAGTTTTACTATAGACACATTTTTGAAGTAGGTAACGAAAATATTAAAATGTATTTAAAGTAAAAGAAAAGTTTTAATTAGGTTTTTAATGCTACCATGTAGATGAAATTTATAACGATTTTTATACATTTTATAACGGTAATTTTAATATACAGCGGGCTGACTTGCTGAATCACGAGTTTTTAGAGACTGGCATTGACGAAATTAGACTTATCTATAACATCACCAGTTTTTTAATGTTCATTTCATGACTTTTGACGTTTCACAATTTTTTTAACGTGAAGTAGGTATTGGCAATTCTTATCACTAAATATGAACATTAAAATTTCTAGATATAAATACGGGAATTGTGAATTACGCAAGCACGAACACTGAATTATGTGATTAAATTTAAATTAACGGGATTTGAAACATCTAAACCGGATGTTACCGACATGTTGGTTGCAGGTTGCAGGATGACCATATAATAAGTGAAGCGACCTGATTTTACCCTTGTTGTTAGGCTATAATTCCTGAATTGGTTTTTCCAAAATCACTGATTAAGAATTAACGATAAAACTCTGAAATTGGATTAAGTTATATGGTATTGAGTGACTGTCGCTATAAGTGGGATTAGAACCTTTGCACCTCAAACTCATGAATTTATAAAAATCAGGCTTCCAATTGGAATGGTTCCAACTTTAAAAGATTTAATTTTACTAAATTTGTGATTTTTCGCGACTGATAGTGACTTTTAATGTTAGCATGATTAGGTATCCTACGGTTAAATATTTCTTGTGATTTTCCAAGGTTAAAAGTTACTTCAATGTGAGTTATGTTAGGAATAAATATTTTCTGTAATTTTTCACGAATAAAAATGACTTGTTACAAGGTAATTAAGTCAGGACTACTTTGAAATCTAACCCTATTTAAGGTAATATAATTTTTTGTAGACGAAGGTCGACTACAAACAAAAACATTAAAATTTCCGTTAACAATAAACATGACATATATTAGGTGTTTCTGTTGTTTAGTTTGTGGCTAGGTTTAAAAGTGAGTATCAACTATCATGACTTAGGGTCGTTCACATATTACGTAATCAGCCGAGGGGGGAGGGGGTTCCCGAATGATTACGGTTGATTACGGGGCGGGGGGTTGTTTGGCTGTTGATTACGTAATCAAAATTGTCTTTTTACCCTTTAGAATAATTACAATTTGACAATATTTTAATTCAAATTCCACTCAATTTCACTGTAAAAGTGATACAATTTTAGGAATGGATCGGGTATCGGGGTAATCGGCTGCTAAAGTAATTAATATTAGTGCTTGACCGGATATCATAACAATGATTTCGGCTCATGGGTCAGGCCATGATTACGTAATTTTGCTGTCTTGATAAAAAATTGAGTAAAAATTGCTAAAATATTGATTATTGATGCTTTTCTTACAAAGTTAAAACAAATTCTTCATGTCTTGCATCCTGGGTTTGGACATATTATGTAATATGTGAACGACCCCTTATTACTTTATTAGGCGTATCTGTTGTTTAGTTCTTGGCTAGGTTTAAAACGTGAGTATCATGACTTAGGGGTCGTTCACATATTACGTAATCAGCCGAGGGGGGAGGGGGTTCCCAAATGAATACGGGGGGGGGGGGGGGGGGTCTTGATTAAAAATTGCTAAAATATTGATTATGTAATATGTGAACGACCCTTTATTAGGCGTATGTGTTGTTTATTTTTTGGCTAGGTTTAAAACGTGAGTATCATGACTGAAAATGTTTTAACGGAATCACATGCCTTATCACATTATTCCACAGTAAAGAATGTTATAAAACTGTATATATCTATTTATGTAGAGACGAAATATTTATCATTGTCTAATTTTTACAAACAAACACGCCTTAGATCACTAATGATGACGTCATAATTTCTAGAGCTCAAAGAAAACGCTATAATTTCCAATCCGTACAATTGTATTACAATATCGGTAACCGTGTTAACGGTCCCCAAACTTTATTATTAACGGAAATGTCCACAGTCCTCCGCCTTCTGAAGATGTGCAAATTCTATTAATGAGATCGGCTACCTTGATTGATAAATTCGCCTTGACAATCGGTGAATGACTTGTTCATTATCGGGGTCTCCAGGTTTCACTGTCCTTCTATTTTGAATCTGGAGACCAACCCAATATGATTACATATTTCGTGTCTGTAGTACCGTTATCTGCCCCACGAACAATCTTATCAAATTAGAGTTTTAAGCGAAATAACCTCGTTATGAAGGTGGCACTGATGTCTACAAAATTTGATCTGAGTAGCTGGCTCAGAGGTTTGAAGATTATTAGTTAATCTCAGCTCACAGCCCTCTCTGAAAAATCAGCTAAAGTCATATGTTCTCGATTCACGTACTTTATTTCGACACACGTGTCGAACTAGAGTATGTGCACCATTTGTATCGATATTTTAAAAGCGAAGATGGGACTGATAAAAAACCTGAAAAAACAGACCTGTTTTTTCGGTTTTGGTCTAAGGAAGCGGGTTTCAGCTGTAAATATGAGGGACAACAAATTCCATGACGTGATATCCCTAAAATAGTATATTTGATAAATATCTTTAACTGGCTCGTTCCTGATCATAATCATGATAATCATGACCTCAATAAAAACAGACACTACTTGGTGTAGTATAATTTATATGCCCGTCCGTAAAATGATTACGAGTGATTTTACCTTGGAGTAGAATTCGACCAAAGCCTTCACAAAGTGCAATATGTCGTGGACCTCATTTAGTGTGCCGATCTGTCACATTTTGCGAAAATTATAAACGAAGGGCGCGAAACGTTAATAATGTAAAAATGCTCTCAAAAGACATTTTGTTTGACGGATTTCGCCCATGCGTGAGGGCGCGCGCACCTGGCCGCGCGAGCGTTAGTGGATAACGCAGCGAGATGTTTATGAAATAAAAGTTCTTGGAATTACTGCTACTTATGGCTGTGCATGCGTATTGTTCATAGATACAAACAATACATAAATGGTAGATAGTTAGAGGTTGCACTACTGTGTAGGACCCTCTCAAACAATTTTGTATTCAAACAAATTCCGTAACGGGGCATTCTACTTCTAGTACATGGTTTGTTATACACAGTACACACGTGTGTACTGTGTTTACTATGCTACACCAGAGGAACCACTGGTGATGAACAGTTGAATGGGAAAATAATAAATACCACAAATCACTAGTGAGAATGTGTGAATTCTGACCTAGTCTTGAAAAGGCTAAAACGATACTGGTCAACATTTTTCGCCACCATTTTTCAATATAATATTCAGCTAATAGCTAGCATTTCCACTTTCACTTTCACAACGTGTCCTTCTCAGTCATTAATTTGTACTTCTTAATTGAGTTACCAAATCTTGTTTCATGTTCACACACGAGAGAAAACTTTTAAATTGGGCTAGGTTTATTATTAAGGTGTTCCAACTCACGGTTACATGGGTTGTAATCGACAAAGAGGAACTTTAGCAGAAGTTCCGAAGTCTCAAGTTGCAAGTGGTATGAGCCTCCATCCGAAGGAGCTTCTTTCGGAAGGGGCTTACCTGAGCTTTGATGAGCTCCAACTCTAAGGAACCTATTTATCAAAAACTCCTTATCTAGCGCTAGAACTAGAAGTAGAGAGATGCAATATAAGCAATTTTGGCCTCGATGTGGTGACCCAATGCCTTTCAAAAGGGTGATTTCCGCAATTTCAATCAGATAGGATTACCCTCGGATTTATCATACTACAACTTCTAGCCAGGCGTCCGAGATAGCTCAGATTTTATCAATCCTAACACCGATCGGACTCCCTTAGGAATTAGGATATGATAGTGATACCGGCAATAAAATCCTATCTCGAGCGGCGTTAAGATCCTGGATCTGTTATTTCCGAGAGACGATACAATTTGCTCTCGGACCCGATAGGAAATTTGAATCCTATGGGATTCCGGATCCGATCTGATCGGAGGGCAGATCCTAGCAGGAAAATGACTTAGTAATTCCGAGTGGCGATAGGATTATAAGCTCTCGGACGACATGGGATTAGCTTTGACACACAAGAATGAAGAGATATTTTCTAAAACGATCGATCGTTTAGCAGAATGTTTCTTGATTCTTGAGTCTCAAAGCAAACGATTTAAAGAACAGGGTTCTAAAGTGACCGAGAGTAAGGACAGGCAGAGCATGATGCAAAGCGAGAGCTAGGCTCATGAGTCATGAGATTTGTTGAATTGTTTTGCCATTTTTAATCGCTTGCTTTTAGTATAGCACGAGGTAAGTATATTGTTCGTTATGTGATTCAAGGGAGTATAATATTAGCCCTTTAGTGTGCGGCTCATGAGAGAGTCGAGAGCATATACTACTAGTACTAATACACGTACTACTTTTCAACAATCAAGGTTCATGGCAAAGTGATCTCCCCTATAGGGAGCATATACATACTACAGGGGGGAGGAGGCCAAATGCGAAAGTGGGATTATAAGTTGATAAGTCAGTACAAATACAATAGCTCATACTCGTGTTTGCGAACATGCTATAAACATTTTAAAATATTGCGATAGTTTATATAATGTGGAATTTATCTACCGAATGAAGATATGGTAGAATGGCATTGGCAGGCTGAGCGCCGCCCAATAAATGTGGAATATGATCTAAAAATATTACGGGCCATCTACTTAGGACGTCCGGCAAATAGGAGGGGGTGGTTTTGGAATTTCGGACAACTCCGGACAGGGGAAAGGGGGTCGTTTCTTAAAATCCGGACGTTTTTGCAGAATTAACGAAAAAGTCCCATTCATTTCAAGTTCAACTCTTTTAGAAACGGATTTAAAATTGTCAGAAAACGGCAGATATATGAACATGATCAATCTTTTTTGAAGTAGTATTAGTAAGAAGCTTCTGGTAGCTTTCACTGTCGTTTTTCAGATAAACGTTTCGGGCCCGGGCAAGTGCCCGTTTACTTTCACGATAGTTATTTTGGTATTAAAGGGTTAGCTGAAGATCATTTGCCTGTGTAGTGTGTAAAGTACTAGTAGTTAGTTATACCATAGTTCCTGTTAGTGGAGTGAAACTCCCAGGATCCTCGTAATTTTTTCTTCGGGAGGTACCATAGCTAATTAAACGTCGGATTTATGATATGGGAACCACTCAGGGAAATGGAAATGTTTCGCCAGCGCATCCACCATCATCAGAATGCAGAATTTACGTCCTTACATTTTCATGAGACAAAGACATGGTTTGTTCTGGTCAGTAAGTCCGAATTTAATGACAAACTTCTCTACATTTTTCTAGATCATTTAGATCATAATGATTTGTCTTCATTTAAATGTTCTGATTTTTAAATGTAATTATCCTCCCAGACGTCACTACCTCCTACCACGGGTCTTTAATTAAGACGGGGAGAACTTTATCAGCGGAAAGTCGGTCTTATTTCAAACGGTTGAATGAATTATCAAACCGAGATTCTGAAGCCCTTTTCTCACGAATACCCAAAAATATGGTCAAAAATTACGACTGCAAGGATAATTTTGTTTGAGAATCCCAGACAAATTATCAGTAAGAACATAGAAGATTTTGATTTTCCAATGAGGGAGGCCGGGAGGGGGTTTGGAGAGGGGGCTTATTTCGTTAATATTTATATTTATAAACAAAGAAGTACACATATATGATAGCGTAAAGTAGCCTGCGGAATTACAGGTAAAAATACAAATAATATAAAGCCAAAATATAACGTTTCTTTTCAACAGATAACGTTAAAATCGAATAGGTCCCAGATTAATGTAAAACTTCAAATAAAACTGTGACTTGTACATATAATCTACGGATCAAATATTTTCATTTGATAACTCAAACAGCCTGCTGTATTTAGATCTACAAAATGCTACTTCCAGGAACGTCTCCTCGCAAAACTCAAAACCAATTACCGCTGTTCATGTAATGTGCCATGGTCAACAGCCAAAATATAACCAAGAATATTTTGCAGTAAATTAACCCAAGTAATTTTCAAATTGATAAATACTTGCAGTTTTCATGGTAACTTATATAGTTATCATTATAAGAGAAGGTGAAAAATAATCCAATCATCTATTTAACTAAAATAAAATGGGAAGAGAGCTGTAAAATTAGCTGATAGCAAAAATACTCTTAAATAGTTAGCAATAGATAAGAGTTAAAATATTAATTTACAAATACTTGACCTAAAATAATTGCAATGATCAAGAAATTACTAAAAATCAAAAAAAGTTACGAAATCTGTCTTGGCACCGGTACAGTGTCTCGATAAGCAATAGTTCGGATCTACACAGTAAAACTTGGATTCTGTCTAAAGAGTTTGTGGTTTAGTCCGGACAAAACGGCCGCTATTTGGGCTTGCTTGCAGTCGGGCATTCCCGCCCAGACGGGGGAACTCTCAGGATACTGAGCTCTGAGGTCGAGAAGTTGCTGAGGCGATGTTATCAGACAGGGCTTGTTCTTGGATCCCTTGGGACGGCCTCGTTTCTTAGCAGGGGGAGGCGGGGGCGTGAGGGTGTTGTCAGTGGGGGGCACAGGAGACTGCTCCTGCCCAGAAGTGGACCCGGTCTGCTCCTCCGTTGAGCTTGTCAGACTTCCAAACTGGGAGAAAGAAGTCTGTTATTACAAAGATTTTCCAGCCACGAGTTAGTACTTACAACAATGAGTATTTTTTGCACATAATTACGGCTCAGATAGTAGGACCAATCATGACCTTCTAATATTAAATTAATTAGATAACTTACATTTGCCTGGTTAAGTTGGGTTAAGCCAGCTGTCGAACTGCTGTTATTATACTTCGTCTCTTCGAACGGGAAAAACATCCGCTGGAATAGGTCAGAAACGTTAGTTTACGGGACAGCATTAGATAAACGATAGAATTTTAAAAGTAACTTTTACTGGGCACATGGCACCAGAATTACGGTCATTGCGCTAAAATATCGTTGTAAAAACAGGAGTGAATGGTTTTAATAGCAGAAAGTTTTAATGTCAAGTTTTTAAACAAATCAACTAACCCTTTCCTTAGCCCCGGGGTATTTCATCTTGCCGTTAACAACGTTGTAAAAGTGTTCAGGGTACTTTCTTGGTCGACCTCTGTGTCTCTTACCCTCTGACTGTTTCTGAAAATAAAAATGATCTTCAATCACCGATACTTGGTATTTTAAAACTTTTGATTACACGGTGCAAACAAAAGTTAGAGTCTTAAAAATCACAATAACGGAAACTACGTGACCAGATTTTATTTCTAAACTTAAGTTTTTAAATTGATTTGAGATTAGAGCTGATTTTAAAAGGCGAATTTATATATTTTAAGAACAGTTATTATCATAAAACAAAATATCAATGATCACAACTAACCAGACTGGTGGGGGTCCCATTAGAGGTGCCAGGAGGTCGGCCTCGCGTCTTGGGCAGCAGATTATCCAGATCAGCTCCACTCTTTATCTTGGGTGTGAAGATGGATTGAGATACTTTCTGTTGATTCGGAGATTTAAGACACGATATAAGTTGCTCAAGATCGGACATCTTAGCTTGAGCACCAGATTTAGTTGGTGAACTGTGCGATGTGGTGGGAGTTGGCTGGGCAGGTGGTGCCGGTGCTAGTTGAGCTGGAGCCGGTGATAGCTGGACTGGAGATAGTTGGGCTGGAGCTAATTGGACTGGGGCTAGTTGGGCTGGGGCTAGTTGGACTGGAGCTAGTTGAGCTGGTGCAGGTACACTTTGACTAGGTAATGGCCGGTTTTGAGAGAATATGGTCGGGACATGGGAGGCGGCACTGGAAACACCCGGTGCTTGGTGCTGAGAATTGTTGGTAACTTGTCCGGCAAGCAACTGCAGTAATTGCTCTGTCTGGACAGGATCATTTCCAAGTGACTTTATCAGTTCCAGGAACTGTTTGGTTACGTCATCACTTACGTCACCTGGCCTGCTATTGACAGCGGGCATCTTGTGGTGAAGCGTGTTGTTTTGAATGATGGGAGGAGATATGGTTCCAGCTGCAGTCTGGACGGGTGCAGCTGGAATGTTCTCTAGAGAAGTTGAACTCGACCACACGCTGTGCGGTAATGATGGAGAATATCCCATGATATGGTGGTTCTGATCAGAACTGCTCACACTTTGCGGCACGGAGTGGTTAAGACCATTGTTAGCTGTGGAGAATATCCCGTTTGGACTGATGTGAGAGCTTGAGCTTTGGAGGGATTGTCCTTGAAGTTTCATCATTGTTTCACGTAGCAGGGCGTTCTGTTGAGCTTCTTTTTGTAACGACTCGGAGACAGAACTTTGGAATTGATCAGCACTTGGAACAGAGTTAAACTTTAAAACTTGAGGATTGGAAACACCGCTCAAACTGGCTTGAACCGGGCTGTGCGATGCTATGTTGCTTAACTGATACATTCCAAGATCCATAGTTTGCGGAACCTTTGGCGGAGCGAGTGATGGATTGATCTTGTGTTCCGCGGCGTGGTTTGCCAGAATCTTCTCCAGGTTTGAAATCTCGTGCTGAAGCTGCATCTCCAGCAAGTGATTGGTTTGTGCACTGTTCATTTTCTGCTCATTCTGAGCGTTCATCATGAGCTGCTGCTGAGCTAGGAGGGCTTGGTGTTGCTGCTGCTCTGAGTAGGCCTGCTGGAAGGAGGCATCACATGCCATGAGAAGTTGCATCGCATCTTGTGTAGAGTTAACAGACATCATCTGCTGCTGAAGTTGTTGCTGCATTAGGAGAGCTAGCATTGCCTGGGAGTCGTTCTGTTGAGTGTGAGATTGTTGGTGAGTGTGTTGTCGTTGAGCAGACATTGCCAATAACTCCAGTGTTGAGAGTTTAGATTTGGAGGATTTAGGAGCCCACAAATTTAGTCCGCCGATATTTTTAATCTTCCTGTTCTTGGTAGTAGAGCCTTTGGGTCTGCCTCTTTTTCTAGGTACAATAGTTGGGGTCTGGTTCAGGTAGCCTTCTACTTTGGGGCTGCTGCTCAATGAAGTGTTAGAACTGGAGTTGTTCGACGGAGACTGTTCTGTTGACTGCCAACTTTGGCTCTGTTTAAACTGTCCCTGTATTTGCTCCAATGCCTTCATGGTCTCGAAAGTGTTGTCGTGAAATTTGAAGGTTTTTGAGTTTGCTGGTTGGGAAGCTGGAGAGCTGGACGAGGCGGTGGGGGTCTGGATTATTATATTATCAGGGGTGGGTGATAACATGTCATCGTGAGGTGACGTCACATCAATAGTAGGTTCGGGGTCGTATGGCTCACTCTCTGTCATAAGGACATCTACATTCGGTACCACTCCAGCATCAAGCTCCTCTTCTATGACTAGATCGTTGGAACCCTCAACGGCTGGAGCGCTGCCTGGCTGGTCTGTGACGTGAGTAGAGCACGAGTTTTCCTTTTCTTCATCTTTGTGGTATGTGAGAACTGGAATCTTTCCTTCTCCGGAGGAACTGGCGCTTTCGTCTAACTTCATCTGGTCCATGTTTTGACTTTGCTGCCGGACACGGGCAATAAGGGGGAATATTGTCTTTTCTCTGACTGCTTCGTATGCTTTAGTTCTTAGTCGACTTGAGGTCATTCCTGAGAAAAAAACGATATTCAATAACAATTAGCAACATAAGCAAGTGTTAATATAAGTCTACGGAGTAATTTATCGTTTCACATGACAGTGAAAAATAATATATAATGTATGAACCTAAACGCAAATATTTGTTAACAGGTTAACGCCGTTAACTTAACGGATAGCCACAATTTTTCAAATCTAATTTTAGAGTCTAAGTCGACATATTCGGTTTCACATGAGAAGTTACAACTTAATGTTAAAAGGTAGAATCCAATTAACGGAAGGAATCGATGAAACGTGATCGATGAGATTGGTATGAAATCGGTCACGTGGTAGCGGATTCGCGCTCAAACAAGTCTTTGTCATGAAGAGAAGACGCGCGCGTTTGAAAGGAATATTGATTTCGATCTCTTTACCTAAAATTGCGTGAGGCGCCTTACAGCTTTATGTGAACAAATACATAACAGACAAATTAACAGTTTGACCTTTGTAAAAATGTTTATCACAAATGGCTCATTATGGCCGACTGATACTGAGTCGAAAGAGAATTACATCAGTAACGTCGCAAACAAAAGTAACATTTACCGAAAACCTACTATTGTAACAGAAAATTTCCCCTGTCTAATAAACTTTATGTTTAATATTGTTGAATAGCAATGCTAAAACAGTAGCGTCACGTCACTTCGCATGTATCGACAAGGAACAACGTAATACAAGTTAAAATACTGTTTTCATCATCTTCTGCGGAACATAAAGATTGAAACGGCGTCATGAGGCGATTATGTAACAGTTGGTACACGTAACGATATAAATGTTATTAAAATGGTAACGTTAAAATGACCATTAAATAAATCAGACAATTTAACACAAAATATAAATATGCCAGGTGGTTGAGCTTTAGTCCGACCTCGCTAATGACAAACCAATATTTTCACTTAAATCACAGCTATATTTTTAATGACCCAACATCAAGTTGTGTGTATAAAGACAGAAAGAGTTTTCAAAAAAATTCTTGAAATACAAATATTATTGCGCTGTTAAAACTTAAAGAAGTGTTTAAAAAGTTACACAAAGAACATTTATCGCTATTTTTAATTTATATCAAGGAACGGGCTGCTGTGCGTATTAAAATTTGCCATATAAATTACCGTAACAAAGATTTTACTTGACAGGCTTGATAAATAATAAAGAAAGCATGCGCCTGGAAACAATAATAATCGTTAAAGAATGATTAGAAAACATAGTAAATTTGGCTCGTAAAATTCCAAATATTTTGAGCTGAAGCTCTGCATTCCAGAGCACCTGATACTATATATCGTGAGTCAGAGCTTAAAAGTTTCGTGTTTGTACTTTCGGTCGACGACGATATAAAATCATCGACTAACGGCTGTAAAAGAAATATTAACTATAACGCTGAAGTAATAAAATATGGTAGAATAAGAAATTCGAAAATGTACGATATGCTAAGCTAGAAAGGAGCCGGCCGAGATGTAGATCTAATTTTAAAAAAGCCTAGGAGAAGAGGAGTCACCAGCTGGCGCTACAAAACTGAAACAAAGAAAACTAAAAGAGCGTGACAGAATAAGATAATCTTTGGATGTAAATTAGGTAAATACACTAATTGCATATGAAGTATAGGGAGGTCGCTATGCAGAGTTTTATATTAATTGATCACAGTATTCAAAGATAATGCTTGTGAATAAATAAAATCCCATCATTCATAGATGGATGTACTCATAGGATATAATATTATGTATTACGTAGGAAAAACAATAAACTGCTGAATTAGAGCATACGGATCACTAGATATGATTCTGATTTGATTTCCGTGAAATGCAATTATTAGTTCCGGTGAACATTCCCGACAAATTAAGCCCGAAAAATAGGGAGCAGAGCCAGCCTGAGGGACAGGGGTGAAATGATACAACTACGAGTGCGCCAGCCTGAGGGGAACGGAGAGAAACGATACAAACCACAAGCTGGTAACATACTTACTACGTCTGGAGACAGGAAACCTAACTGCTAAACGATTACAATAAATAAAACGTAGCTCACGAGCACTCGGTGCGCATTGTACGAAAATTATTGCAGCTCACAGTTTTAAAAGATCTGAATAGTCTCAAATATCAAAAGAAAATAACAAAGCTGAAATTTAAAATGTCGGGGTGGGAGGCCGAGCAAATTACCTAATATTATTTGAGCCCGGGTCATGGCAAGTGTGTGCCGTGCTATTGAGTCACAAAAGGTTTATGGAAATGATGGCTACTGTTTGTGGAGCGGTGGGTAATTTGCTCGGCTAATAATCCACATGATCAGCGCCCCCCTGGGTCTCTGACCGCCCTTTAATTGCAAGGTGTCTTCGAGCATACACTGCGTGTTTAATTACTCTTTAATTGCTTTTATAATTCACCTTGATTAATAATAAATCAATCACAGGCACACACAATACTACCCCCCGTTCGCTGGGTAATGAAGTCAGATTAAGGATTGACCCTGAATCGATTATGGGCCAATAAGCTTTCCAATTTAGTGGACTAAAAATGTAAATATCAACCACTCAGGAAACGTTGACTAGTGCACGTGACTGGTGTAGAGCTGACAAGATAATCACGTGACATTAAAAATAGATCACGTGATCTGATTGCAATAACAGGTGTCAAATGAGTGTCTGGAACGACAAATTACTCTCAAAATATCAATTCTCACTACAATAGAGCAATAGGGCAGCTTATAATTATTGAAATATTTTGGGGAGCGAATTACAATTTATGATATGTAAGAATTTTCATGAGAAAGAGCTCTCACACTACCGTTATTATAATCACACGGACATTATCACAGCATATTGCTGCACAATATCAGCATTAAATTAACCGGTGGAAAATGGCAGAGCCCGCTTGATTTGTGGCAGCACGGTAAATGTACACATTGTAAAGTTTTATTGCAGTCAGGGAGAGTAATAGACTAAAATGTCAACTCCAGGTAGGGAAGGTTTCTACAAACAATTTATATCTTAATTTACGAAACCTTAGGAAAAACAAAAGGTTTTGTCGTAAAGACTAATAACTTGAAAATGGACTTAGTTCGAATGTTTAACATTTTTCGGCCTCCCTCGGAAAAATAATAAAATATTACATTGAGTTAAAAGCAAATGATGGGTCTAATTAAAACAAAGTAAGTTTTGTGACATTTTAAAAGTCGAATGGAATGGTGAACAGATTGGTACTTGGACAGTCTGCAATCGGGACACATCAAGCTTAGTAAATGGGGATACATCACGTAGGAACATTTCCCCAACACTACCACGCCACACCCCGTACAAATCACATTTCGTGAAATAGAACTAGGAATTAAAATGCCTCTTATATTTCAAGTTTTAATGATCCTGCTGACGCTTTTCCCTTTCAGTTACTATGACGTCTTTAAGGTGGGCCATAACGTTAAATCACACCTTCACGGAAAACGAAAAATCAGTAATTCTGTTGAAGTGTAAAATAAATGTACTACGACACAAAATATTAGTCTATGTTTAAAAGCTAGGGACAATATACGAAGTCAAGTAATATATGTTGCAAAACGGCGACAATTGGCTTGCTACGCTATAAGCTATACTATTATTGTTTTTATTTCACCAAACCACAATACACACACTCCTCTCTCAGCAAATGCAATGTAAAAATAAAAGACACCTGATCGCCACTCTCGAAAAATAAATAGTTTCTTTTTATAATGCAATATGCCACAAAATAAACGCCGTAATCATTAGTGAAACGCCCGATGTATTGATGTTTGAAAGTACAAAAGCAATTTTGATATCAACTAGCACGGACATGCGAAAATAATCTCTCTCTCTCTCTCTCTCTCTCTCTGTCTGCGAAAATAATCATTAGCTACAAGAGAGGCCGGCCCCGCGACCTCAAATATTATCATTACTGTTATCGTATATCTAAATTGTATTCAAAAACAATATTAGCAGCTCTGAGATATTTTTGTTTTATATTGTCGGGGTATGAAGAAAGTGGTATATTGGGCGGCATTATGATGATATGCCGTGTACCGTGACCGTTATTCGGTCTATTCTTGAAAGATTTGGTGGCCCTGGGAGTTGTGCCATGTCATACGATAATCCAATAACGTGAGTTAGAGACGGAATTAAACAAAGGGCTGGATCGATACCCACCAAACCAAATAGAAATAGCAGTGAAGATATGCACAATTCAGTGTAGAAAGGAAATGTGAAACATTAGAAACTTGTTGATCCTGCAATTGACACCTAATTAGCCAGCCTGGGGATCTGGGCGGCGTGAAAGAATGTCAAGCAGCAAATTAGATTTTTAAAGTGAAACCAAGGTAATGAGGCTCACTAGGTTATAATATTGTAGAGTTGTGGTTAATGAGAAGAGAAAAAAGAATTGCTAAAAATGTACACGTGTACTACATGAGAGTGATGAGATAATTATAGATTTTCGTGAGAGAAATCACGTCTAAGTCTTAGCTTAGGTAATCATTGTACAATGTCTGAGAAGAGCGATAAATTCCTATTAAATCAGTAGCCGTGATCAGGTATTAGGTGAGATGCCGCATGATGCATTATATTTTTAATACTTTGAGCAACTCAATGAGGTATTTCAGAATATCGAGTTTTTAGATAAAGCATTGCGTCTCAAAAAATGTATGTGGAATGAAAAAATTCATCAAAATAAAATAATGCATATCAAGTGAAATATTACGCAATATAAAGCCGACGAGTAACGAATTTTATAGCTTTCAGTGAATAGTTTAAATGTAATCCCACGAATGAGGATGATATTACAATTCTTTTAAATAATTATCATTTTAAATAATTTTCAGGAAAGATAAATTCTATGCGGTTCGTAATATTTATTCAACCGATATTTGAACGGCGGTCCTTACCTATTTCCACAGACAATACAAACGCTAAATTTCGTATATAAAATCGATAATTCTTGTCAGAGAGGTGAATTGCTTTTAGGAAGGTATCGATTTATAACGGTCA